ATCCAGCCAAGGCTGCGGGGTGGGCGCTGGCTGGTAGTGGAATAACCCCAACAATCTACATCAAGCAAACTAACGATGGAAATACCCTGGTGATAGACGGTCAAGTAAATGGGAAAAACAGTCAGCTAACATTAGATACTGGAGCTTCAAGGACGGTGATAAATGTTCGGCTGCTCGAGCAAAACATCAGGAAACACCTTAAACCAATTGTTGGCCTACAAATGAAATCAGCTACCGGCCAGTGCATACCGTTATGTGGAAAACTGCATGTAACAATCAAAATTGGGGAACGTGTTTATCGACATGAGGTTATTGTGGCCAGAATTCTGGATGACTGCATCCTGGGACTTGACTTCCTGCAAGGGCACCAGTGTAACATCGACTTAAAATCTGGAGTATTACTATGTGGAACTGAGGAAATTCCGATGAAGGGTGGAACCCTGGGAAAAGTTTGCTGTTTAAGAAGAACTGTTCTTGCACCAAAATCACAGACTCTCTTACCAATCGCATTACCTAGGAGGAGGGAAGGAAGTTTACCTCGAAGGTGCGCTGTGATTGATAAATCGGAACACGTGAATTCATGGCTACCGGCAAGAACTGTCGTGGGGTCATCTGATGTTAACCGCATTCCGGTATTCAACTTCAGTGATTCAGAAATTACGATTGAAGAAGGAGAGCCTGTGGGCGTATTGGAAGAAGTGGCCTGGATAAGAAAATGCTCGGAAAATCTTGTGAAGAAGGACAGTACGGGAATAGACTTTGTAACGAAAATCTTAGACGAAAACAAAAGTCTGACAAAAGTGGAGACTATGAAAGCTAGAAATTTACTTCTTCGATTCTCTGATGTGTTTTCAAGAAGCGATGGTGATATTGGCCGAACTGGTTTGGTGAAGCATAAAATAAACACAGGTGATACAATGCCAATTCGTCAAAGGCCCAGACGTATACCATTCGCTCGTGAGAAAGAAGTTGAAGAAATGATTGACGATATGAGGAAAAATGACGTGATAGAGCCCTCTTCTAGCCCTTGGTGTTCACCTGTCGTGCTTGTCAAGAAGAAAGATGGTTCAACGAGGTTTTGCGTAGACTATCGACGATTGAATGATGTAACCAAGAAGGATAGCTACCCGTTACCAAGAATCGATGACACACTTGACACACTGAGTGGCATGAAATGGTTTTCAACGCTCGATCTGAAAAGCGGCTATTGGCAGGTGGATTTGGATCCCAAGGACAAGGAAAAGACCGCATTCTCAACTGGGAAGGGACTCTGGCAATTTAAGGTGATGCCATTTGGATTATGCAATGCACCGGCAACCTTTGAGCGTTTGATGGAACAGGTGCTGGCGGGACTGCTGGGCGAAACTTGCCTAGTTTACCTCGATGACATCATCATTGTTGGAAGGGAATTGAGATTACCGGCAGATCTTGTATCGGGCTGTCCACCTGGTGACTCTCGCACCGAGTTTAGCGATTACATAAGCGAGTTAAGGGCAAAAATGTTGGACATTTATGAGCAGATCAGGGAGGCCGGTCTTCAAGCTAGTGATCGCGCAAAGACGCGCTATGATCGACGAGCCAATTCTGTTGGGTTTGAAGAGGGGTCATTGGTCTGGCTTCATAATCCAGTCAGAAGGAAGGGAAAATCTCCAAAGCTGCAACCGAGTTGGGAAGGTCCTTACGAGATAGTCACGAAGATCAATGACATTACTTACAGAATTCGGAAGTCTTCAAGGAGCCCTTTGAAAGTTGTCCATATAGACAGGTTGGCGAGGTATTACGGCAGCAACGATGCTCGGGACGAGCGAATCTAAGAGGGGGGCAGTGTGACAGAAAACTCTTTGACATCATGACGTCAATGGATGGTTGTCAAACGTTGCCTAGAGATTGTAAATTTCGTCGTGAATTGTCAACACGAGTTGGTGTAATCGGTAAGGCGTGTGGATTACACCACAGAGACCCCGAGTTCGAGACCCGCCGTAAACATGAAGTTTTTTAGTTGATGGAAGTTTTGTCGAACTTTCTGGAATAATTGAGTGAAAGTAATGAAAAATTAAGGAGCGAGAAGGAGAATAAATAAAAATGAATAACGAAATTATTGGAAGGTTCTGGAGGCATGACGATCAAAAAGAATAACGAAATTGAATGTTCTAGAACCTGACCAGGGGTATATAAGCGGAACTGCGGCTCACCGCTGGCAGTTGAGTTCTAAGTCCAAAGCGATTCGGAAGAAAAGGAAGAAGTGAAAAGAAGAAAAGTGAGTGAAATAGTGAAGTACAGTGAAATAGTGAAGTGCAGTCAGTTGAGTTGAGTCAGCGTGAACAGTGAACGGCAAAGTTGTGTCAGTCGGCCGGACTCTGCTGGAGAGGAACGCCGATAACTTATCCGTATCCGTGGACGCTGTCACTTAAGTGCAATAGAAAGTCTGAAAACCGGTATTAGTGTTTAATTTCATCCAATCCCGTAACCCAAGCCCGCATAGTTAGGAACGTGACGTCAGGCACGTAACAATATTGTAAGCTCAAAAACCTGTTTTGCAAATAAACGATTTTTATTATTTAATTAATGCATTTTTCGTATAACAATTGAGCCACGATTATTGATTAAAATATTGTAATAAACTTCTTTTTTATGTGATAGGACAGCAAACAGACAGATTACCCGATGGTTAGCAATTGGCGCCACCCATGGACACCCGCAACATCAGAGTAGCAACTCATTCTTTATTTCGGAGATTTAAGGATTGGGGATGGACTGATTTGCACTGTAGGTAAATACTACTAATTGTCTTGTATTGAAAATGAAATTATATTTGGACCCAGCCTTATTTTTAAACTGAAAAACGAGAGTCCAGTGAAAGTTGAGGCACACACACACCGAATAAGATAAAAAAATAATCTTCAGTTTCTTTAGTGACTTTCTTAAATTTCTAAAGGATTCTACTAACAACATGTCGAGCATTACGGGCCACGCTGTAGTTCGAAATTAATCGGGTAACCCGAAAATATTTGAAAGCAAGCCATACAAAAAAACATTTAATTTTATGTAACATAATATTATTTATAACTTATAAGATACCAAGACTATTTCTTGACGTGCTTAAATATACATAAATGTTTAAATAAAAATGCTGTTGTATTATTTTGAAGAAACGTATTCCTATACAATTTATCTTTACCGAAAGGATAATAAAACTAAAATGAAATAATACCTCCTTGTCTTCAGGATGATGAGTCCTAACTGCAATATGTCATATACGAGTAAGTATATTACTTTGACTGGACGGCAGACGCGGTGGCTGGGCAACCGTGCAACGTGTCGCGTTTTCGATTACCGCACGGAACAACACTTTGTGTGATCCGCCAATTTTAGTTCCGGGTTTGGGTGTGATGTGTTTATGAAATTATGTGTTGTTAAACGCATCCACGACACAGGATAAAATGCCTTATGTGGGGCAAGGTTCCACCTCAAAATCTTTCGCGGCAACACTGTACATATAAGCTACGTATCTGTTTGTCAAGATAACACGACCAGCTGCATCATACGCCAGTGACTCATATTCATGAGCGACAACGTCAAATAGTTCTTCAAACAGTATCATCATCATCAGCCTATAAGTGCCCACTGCTGTGCAAAGGCCTCTTCTCACACGGAGAAGGTTTGAGCATTGATCAGCACGCTTGCTCAATGCGGGTTGGCGATTTCAAACTTATAATTAGAAATTATAAGTTCAGGTTTCACCACGATGTTTACCTTCACCGTATGTCAGTGGTGTCTAAATAATCATAGAAAGTACATATAACTCGGAAAAATTCACATTGGGACTTGCCAGGTTTCGAACCCACAGCCTCATGCATGAGAAGCGGGCTCCTTAACCTCCGGGCCACCACTTCAAACAGTATGGTCTTTGATAATTATAAAACCAACGCAATCACCGTACTACTTTTGAGTATTATGGTTCTAGCAATTGTTAATAAAAAAACTTCTTCTTGTTGTATCAAAGTTTAATTAATCATTAATCATAGCTCATTATAATTCAATGTACCTTTTGTGAATGATTGTGAATGATATAAGACCGACACATCTTATTAAGCTTGACTTAATTTTCTAAAAACATTTTTGACAATAATAACATTGTAATACAGGAGAACACTTGCACGAAAATCACCTTTACGACCTAAGTAATAAGGTCGATAACGTGTTCCAAGCTACTGCAGACATGGTAGCGCCTTGAAGGCATTCTGACTAAGTCAGACTAAAGTAAAAAAAAAATACTCGAACCGTAAAAAAATACTTTACAGAAATAAATATGTTAATTTAACAATAATTCGTCTTGATCTCACGCGGGTAAACCCGTAGTTTCATAGCTAGTACAATACTGGCGATAAATATTGCACATCAACTTTTGGAAGGTGACAATTTTGTGTATAGGTATTATAATAATTAATCTTTTTATTTTTGGTAATGATAAAATCGAGAAGTTTCAGATACTTATGATCAAGAAGACAAGTGTCGATTTACACTATTCTCTTTTCAAAGGACGATGTGCAATTTTTATCGCCTGCCACTGTAGATATCCCATTGGAAAAACATGTTTAGCTGGGTCTGGGCACACACTGAATACTAGCACTAGAATACACTTCTAGTAATACGTGTAAACAGCAATATGTGCGCGTAATTATAACAGAATTAATACAAATCGTTGTAGCAGTAGTGGGCAAAGTAAAGCCTTTTTTCATCAAATATTGTTATCTTCTCTCGCTCCAGTAGGGGCGAGAGAGTGTCAGACTCCTACTGACTAAAAAATAAGTAAAGTGTTTGCCTGTAATGTACCTCCCAGGGAAAAGCACTGCTGTCTGAGGCACAGATATTAAGTTATTTAGTTCAGAGACAGATTTTTTTTACGAAATAGGTCGGCAAACGAGCACACGTATTACCTGATGGTAAGCAATCAGCGCCGCCCATGGATACTCGCAACGGAGGAGTAACGAGTGCGTTGCCTACCTTTTAGGAATTAGGGATTTGGAGATTTAGGGATTGGGGGAGGGGAAGGATTAGGGCCTCTGGTAACCTCACTTACACGGCTAAACACAACGATGTGGTTGTTTCGTCGACTCATTGAACAGATGTTCAATAAATTATATTCATTATTAAGATGTATACTAATAAATAAATAAAAATGAACCATCCAGTTACTTCTCCTGCTCCAGGCTGAGGTAGGAAGATGCCTTTACCCACTACTGGACTATAGTAAATTATTTTAGAACTTCAGTGGCCTTAACTTGAAGAATTGTTCTACAACTTCGTCTGTGACCGTCGCTCTTCGTTTCTGGTACTCCTGCACCCAGGGTGTGATCACATCGATTGCTTCCTTCTTCAGCTCACCAGTCAACATCACGCCTGACTCGTATTCCTTCTTTATCTGTAAATGGAAAAGACTGGTTGTAAAGAGTAGCCATTTTTAATTAATAGCAGGTAAGAGTGTATATTGGGCCTCTTGAAAAAGAGGTTTATTTTAAAACACATTAGTATTTTCGCCTGTGTCGTGGGTGCTGTTACAAACATATATTTTCATATACACAAGACACCCAGACCCGGAACAACAATTTGTGGATCACACAAAGTGTTGTTCCGTGCGGGAAACGAACCCGCGACATGTTGCACGGCAGCCAGTTGCCCAGCCACCGCACCAACCGTGCAGTCAAATTAGTTTATATTTATTTTCTTTTATTAAACAAAGTGTTGCCTCTCACTAAGATTTTCTCCTGTTGTCTCCTCCTCCTTTACAATTAACATAAAAACATAAAATAAATGTTTGAAATGCTAATGGTGTTTTTTTATTTTATTTTTTTATTACCTCTGCTAGCCTGTCATCGTCCTCCAAGAAGAACGTAAGATATTTGAATGAAATATCCACTTCAGTGTTACCACCCTTCAGTCTATGTTCCTCTACGGTAGTTTGACCACCTGAGAACGCGTATTTGTTAATCTGTGAAAAAAAAAATATTTATTGAGATGTATTATAATGCGTTATGCCAATTTTATGTTTTATTTTTTTTTTGTTTATTTTTTTAGTTATGTTTATAGTTTATTTATTTTTAATTTTTTTTTTATTGTGGGAATGCCGTTGTTGGGCCGGATCGACCAGGGTGATGCCACGGCCTCACAGAAAAATGGCGTAACAAAACGGAAGCTCGATTCCCCCGCTCATCGATATTCTCATAACTTTAAATACTTATTTGTAACTCCTCTGGTATTGTGGGTGTCCATGGGGGGTGAATGCTTACCATCAGTAAATCAACCAGGTCATTTGCCGTCCAATCTTTTGAAAAACAAATCTTTTGAAGAACTGAAGCCATAATATTGTATAAACAAAAAATACCTTAGTCTTAATATGTTTAGCGCTATCATTCAGGAATATAGACGTGTTGGCATTACTGGCAGACATCTTGTGCTGAGCTCCTTGCAGTGCAGGTAGGAAGGTGGAATGGATGAGTGAAGGCTTCGGCAACTTGAGCCGCGCCGCCACGTCACGTGTCATGCGGAAGTACGGGTCCTGGTCGATGGCACAGGGCACTAAACAGGGTACCTGGCGACAAAATAAAAATATGTATTTACAGCTACCCTCGCGTGATTTCACCTGCTGCTCAGCTACATTTGATCGTAGCGTGATGTTATATAGCCTTTAGCACTCAGGAACATTGTAGCTATCTATCAGTGAAAGAATTTTGGCAATCCGACCAGCGGTTCCAAACATTATCCCCTACATACAAACTTACAAACTTAAAAACATATAAACAAATTTTACCTCTTTACAATATTAGTATAGATTAGTATTTTTGCTTCTGCTAACGACTTTATTACAGACTATAATCCACATCTGTGTTAAATTTCATTCGTATCTGTGCAGTAGTTTATATGTGAAAGAGTTTTAATTTAATAAACTTCCTTCTATACTAACCATACAGTAGTTTTATTTAACTGAGTAAATTCCTTAGTTATAGTATGTTTCGATTTTACAAGCAATTTTTTAAGAATAAGTATTTATTTATTACCCTAATATGTGTTAGTAAAGTATTGAATCAGACTACTTGTCAACTACAGAACAAAATATTGATCACCCTTTTAAAAATGGCGCCCAACGTGGGACACACCAGTACATACCAAGAAAGAAGAAAATTATTCTCCTTGTTTAGTTAACAACTAAAACAATATCGAGACAATAGGAGATGCAAGTATATAAGTATATTTAAATATCAACTTACCACTTTATTATCAAATATAAATGGGAAACTGGTTGAGAACGCGGGGGCAGCCTCAATGGTAGGGAAGGTAATCTTGCCAATGACGTCAGAGTCTCCAAAACCGAAGATACCCTTCACCTGGTTGTAGGTGACACACTTCTGTATCCTTACCATGTTCTGGTAGAAAGCTGGACATTTACTGCAAAGAAAATATTGTTACTCTAGTAACTATATAACCACTCTACATGTAATGACATTTGATTACTAGAAAATCTATTTCTATGGTCTGTTCACTCAATTTTGAAATAAATTACGTTTTGGAAATACAAGAATAATAATATAGCGTACAACCATAGCGTTGACTTTCGCCGTGTGAGTGAGGTTACCGGAGGCCCAATCCTTATATGTCATATACCCTAATTCCCAAAAGGGGCGGCAACACACTCGTAACTTCCTGGTGTGGCTGGTGTCCATGCATGGCGCTGAATGCTTATCGATCGGGTAATTCGTCAGTAGTTTCCAAATAGTTCGTAAGCCGTTTAAAATAATGAATTCCTTCCGTAAATAATGGACACTCACCCAATAAAATCCAAATCATTGAATATGAAAGTTTTTTCTGGATCAAAACCAACAGCTATGATGTCCTTGGCATTATTAAAAGCCATCTGCCGAGCATCTTCAATCTTCAGGTCTCTCCACAATACCTTCTCATCATCAGTCAGCTGAATGATTAGAGGGACATCAAATACATCTTGAAGCCACCTGAAAATATTAAAAAATTGAATTAAACAATTAACCATGTAATGTATTACCATTTAAAGATTCCATCAATGCTAATGACAAATAAAAAAATAATATTTCTTGAATCTATTTTTAACTTATTTTAAAAACTGTAACTGTCATAATTCTGTTGTCTATTTGTGTCATAGATATCAGTAGACCTCTGTTTTTATTTAGAATCAACAAAATATAAATAACCAAAACTACAGAACCACATTAAATAATTTGCTTCATGGTCATATTCTTTCACATCACATTATCAGGATCATCAAGCCTTTTCTCACACGGAGAAGGTTTAAGCATTAATCACGCTTGCTCAAGGCGGATTGGTGATATCAAACTTATAATTGGAAATTATAATTTCAGGTTCCCTCATGATTTTTTCATTCACTATATATATCAGTGGTGTCTAAATAAATATAGAAAGTCCATATAACTCAGAAAGAGTAACATAGGTACTTGTCTGGTTTTGTCCTGCACTTTCATCAATGAGAAGAGCCTTAACCTACCGCCACCACACCTCATATTCTTTATTATTGAGAAAATATGGTGGGAACATGGATAAAACCAAGATAGGGATAATAGTGTAAAGTGTCTATAACTCACTTAGTAAACATAAAAGGGATCATGTGTCCGATGTGCATGCTTTCTGAAGATGGGCCCCGACCGGTGTACAAATAGAATTTCTTGCCCGATTCATACAAATTGAGGATATTATTAATATCTCTATGAGAGAAAAATATCCCACGCCTTAGGAAGTGATGTGCTGTAATGAAATAATATTATAGAATTGTGTAACTATACTTCTAACAGGATTATTTCCAATTAGTAACACAACTTTATCAAACATGTAACTGTAATTTATTTATTTTTCTTATTTTCTAAGAGATAGCATCAATAGTACTAAAACTAAGATTAAATTTTGAAAGATAATAAAATTAATTCTCATACAATAAATATAATATAGATAATAAATTTACAAGTGGGAATAATTTATTAATGACCAAGAAAACTACAATTAATAAAACCTGTCTAGAAGCTTACCCTTTTTCCCAGTCACTTTTTCAAACCTCTGTACAATTTCTTCATCAATCTTTTGACTGCCAAACCTCTCTGAAAACAAGTTTTAATATTCCATGCATAAGTAACTTCAAGTGGTTAGATTATAACACACAGTGAAATACATTTTACTTACTTATTAACTTGTCATAGTCAATTCCTGTCTCCGACTTTCCAGTAACGGTCCATGGGTCTACAAAATCGTCATCTTCATTGGTGGTGGGTTTATTCACTGGTTCCTCAGCCATTGTGTGCTCTTAAACAGACAGATTAAAATAACAGAAATAATGTGTAATTATGACCAAATATTGAATTAAACGAATATTTTAATTCCAGTACAATATGCTGGGATATGCTGAGAATTACTATTCACCTAGAGTTATTTAAATGAAGTGCAAAATACGATCAAAAATCCTAAGACAGGATCTTCACTTTTATCGCCAGATCATCAATGTTTTAAGGTTAGTTTTAATAAATTTATGGAACTTACTTGCAAAATTTTACGCACAATACCGGTACTATTGCAGTTAATTACTGTTTAAAATTCTATACTATTTATTCTAAAATCTGATGCAATTTTATTCAGAAAAATATCAACATCGATCGCATATGCGGCGCTGTCACTTTAGAGCACGTCACGTCACATTGATAATTGGTTAGTTATGTTATTCTGTCATAACCACATGAATTAGATAGAGTTATTTAAATTAATTATCCTTTAAAAAACAAAGAAGGACTTTCTTTGTTTATTTTATTTTATAGCATAATGTAATACCAATTATGAAATACGTAAAAACCTTCTTTTTTAATATAAAATACGGTTTGTAGTTAGCATAACAAAACGTAATTTTAAACTACCAAAATAAAATGTGGCTATTCATCACACCTTTAAACTACCGTCTGCCTTTCACCCTCCATTCATTCTCTCTTCTTAGATGAGAAAACTAGCACAGCTATGGCATTTTTTTTAATATATCAAAATACGTAACTGTTTAAGTAATAATAATAATAAAATGAAGTCAATTTGCTAAAGTTGAAAACTACCATTTTTCGAGTTTTTTTTCTTACTGCAGTGCAAGCATGACAAACGTCAAAATTTGTCAATAATACGTTTCAGTGATCACAATTTTTTTGCTGTATTTATGATAGGGAGTAGGATAAGCTCGCATTTCTTTGTCTGAAAATTTTATGGAGATTTTGTGTTAAACAAGCCCGTGTGTTGGTGTTCTTGATGGTGTCCGGTGACGATTCAAATGGTGGCCGTTTGTCGCGTAAAACTACGAGGTCCCCGAACCGTAAGTCGAAGAAGACAGATGCAGACCTAGCCAAGGGGTCAGCGTTGCGACATGATTCGCAACCTTCAGTCCATAAAAGGAATCTTTATGTCGTTTCTTTCCCAATCATTATTTTATTTAACGTGCTAAGATCAATTTTGTATCAACTTTTTATAATTTTTAAATATTTGTATACGGCGTCGCATCGGTTTATGCACAAGCCTCGTAAGGCAGGCGAGTGTAACTTGGAAGTGGTGGTGAAGGACGGTATAGTGTCTACAGAGCTAGCCCCCAGTGAAGAAATGTCTCACATACACAATGTGGGTCCAGGAGACCCGTTGCTGGCCAAACAGAAACACCATCACCGGAAAGCTTTTGAATATATCTCTAAAGCTTTAAAAATTGATGAAGAAAATGAGGGTGAGTTGTATTCAATAGTTTTTATTTATTTTACTTCAAAATAACATGTCATTAAAAAATATTTATTTATTTACAAAAATTTTGCAAGTCACATAACTCTCAGGTAGGCTACTACTGTTTTTTACTAATGACATTATCATACTTGTGAGTTATTGAAACTACACACCTAATTCAAAACCATAACTTCTTAATAAATAGAAAGCCATATAGAAATATGAGCCATGTTTAAAACCCAATTTTTACTCAACCACCAGTACCAGTTACTAATCTGGACATAAACAGACAACACTTCAGTTTCTGTATCATGTAATCTTTTGTTTGCCTAAGTCACACAGTATATTAATGATTCACACAAAAATAATTTATTTAAAAGTACTATTGAGTTGTACACAAGTTTTCCTAGTGTAAAGTATATGCTAAATTATTACATATTCATTAAATATCAGTTGTAAATATAATTTTACGGAAGTAAATATAACTTTTGTCTTTTATTTAAATATACTTAGAATGTGGCTCACAAATAAAGGAACTATCCTTTTCAACTGCGTGAATGTCTTCTACCTTTTCAAATGAGTCCTCAAATAATTATGTCTTATTTAAATATATAAATTACTATGTCTGTAGTCAATATTTCTATCTGTTTACTGGTCAAGTCATTTTGTCCTTTCTCTGTCTTCCTTGCCGGTCTATTATCATGGAAAATCGTCACAGTATTGTATATTTCTGTTACAGTAAATCTTACTTGTTAATGCACAGAATCTTGAAGGACATTTAGTGCTTACTAGTAATAAAGGATTTAAGTTATGTTGATTATTGTTTACAAAAAAAAAAAAACATAAATACAACACATAAACCAAGAATGAAATGTCTCTAAAGAGGTTTTATGATTTGAAATTGCTGCAATAATCATTTAGTATGTTAGGTTTTTGAAAAAGATTTTAGATCCTTTAAATTTTTATTTTTTTTATTAATAAGAAAGATAGCAGGCCTGTAACAAATATTTTAAAAAGACATAATATAGTTCAGCATAATATTTAGTAACATGAACATTGTTATCTTAAACAAAATAATTTCATTCAAAACAATATACTTAGTTGTAAACAATATTATGTGATATGACATAATGTGAGAATTCAGACATACTTTGTTAATTAATAACAAAGTTTAAATATACCTTTGACATTATCAACAATGAGTAACCTTCTCCCACAGGACAAAAAGAATTAGCAATAGAGCTTTACAAAAAAGGCATTTATGAGTTGGAACGAGGGATCGCCGTGGACTGCTGGGGCGGCCGCGGCGACGCCTGGCAGAGAGCACAACGACTTCACGACAAAATGAAAACTAATCTAGGCATGGCCAAGGACCGACTCCACTTCCTTGGTATGGAACTATCCACCTTTACGATCACTAAGCATCACTGCCACTACTCCAAGCTAAGACCCAACTACGCTATTTTATTTTGAAAGTGGAAATTGGCTGAATGTCTGCATGCTAAGCTTCTTTTATTTTTCTTTCAACATATATACACAAGTTATCCTACAGTTTCTATTGAATATAATTTTATATTCCCCAATGTAGCCAACCTAGTCGCCCTCAGTAAGTTGGGCGTAGAGAGTGAGCCCGAACGGAGTGACAAAAAGCCGACGGAGTCGCCCCTAAAGGCGCGACGGCTTGAGAAGTCGAAGACAACGTTACTCGCGCATACAGAAAGTAACAGTGGTCAAACGAAGCCTCCGAACGAAGGTAGACACACAAGAAATAATGCTTAGCTTCGTTTGACGTAACCTAATGCAAAATTCGATCAAAAATTCAACTAACATTTAATAACTTCATGGTTATAACACTACACTCGACATTGGAAACTAATTGGACCGTTTTTGTTTTTAAATTGTCAGTGTTTGCATGGGTTGTCTGCCTACCATCATATCAGCTTGCAATTGTTTTTAACACAGTGTGATGTGTTTGTTGTGTTAAGCTTTCAACTGCATCTATACAAAGGATATTTAATGAATTACCTTAAAAGAGTTATTGAAGTCTAACAAGTAACTTTCCCGTTCCTAATCCATCGATCATTTTGTATGCAAAGTGCATTAACAAATGTTTGTCTTGTCATTACATGTATGGACGCAGTACTTGCATAGTAACTAGGTCGGCATCTAGGCGCACACATTTATTAGCACAGCGCACAACATGACACGTAACCCGTCATTAGACCGTGTTATCAGTGTTTAGAAGTCTAGATTTTCAGCTGAGCAACACGGTCAAAGAGAAAATAGTTAAGTCCAATGTACTACTTTCGTTAATTAGTCACGCTATTTATCAACAGTTTACTCTTGGCGTAGATTCCGGTAAGAACGCTTCTTTTAGACATATCCAAGAAAAAGATCGCTTGCGCTTGCGTATGCATACATTAGTTAAATAATTATCGTCGCAGGTCGTCGCTACGTCACATTACGCATTTTCATTAAGTAAATATCCTCATATTTATAATAAAGTTACATTAAATATTACGTAAATTTCTTCTAAACCTTAAATAAACGTGTAGAGACATAATGCGGTAGAATAACAAGATAAAACAAGTGCAAGGTTTCAATAAAATCTTGCTGATCTTTATGCAAAAAAACGTCTAAAAATAACTGATGTATCCTTGAGAAAAACAAAGCTGCTGATTTAATTTATCGAGCGAAAAATGTTATGCTAATTGTCGGTTCCTAGTTTAGTTTGGTCTCAGTTCACTTGTGTTGAATGGATGGCCGCGGCGCGTGGGGGACGCAATCATGCGGACAGTGCGCACACGCACGATCTTTTACATACGACTTGTATTTCCCTAACATCTCGTTCCGGTTCAGTGGGTGGACGCGTAGCTACTGTTTTAATTTATCCTATTATACATTACTTGAAAGCTATGTCTGTCCACTAAAACTTCACGCATGGTTTGCGAATAGAATTTGGGCTGGACATTCAATACTTGTCTACGGATATGTTTAACAAGAATGAAAGTATTTTATAACTGTGTATACTATTGAAACAAAAAAATACAAGGCAATGTTCGGTTTTACGCAGACTTCGCAGACATCGAGGTTGTTCTGCATAGTTGGTAATTGAAGATACTGTCTTTCGAGTAAAAAATAACCTTGATTTTTTCTAAAGAAATAGACTTTAGGAGGAAGTAGACATCTACAAGGTAGATGCTACACATTAAAAGCCAGTCATACTAGTAAATATTGGACCTCTTCTAGAAGACTTGCATATAATAATCTCCTTCATTCATCAAAATTGGCTTGCGGCTTCCGGGTTCCGAACTTTGCAGTCTTTTTTAAGGGGGGAAATCATCCAATATATAGATGTGGGAGAGCCCAGCTTCGGCACGAATGGGTCGACCCGACTGGAGTGATACCACGGCCTCACAGAAAACTGGCGTGAAACAACCACAGCGTTGTGTTTCGACGTATTACCGGAGGCCCAATCTCTCCCCCACCCCTTATCCCAAAGAGGCCGGCAAAGCACTCGTAACTCCTTAAGTGTTGCGGGTGTCCATGGGCGGCGCTGATTGCATACCATCAGATAATCCGTTTGTTCGTTTGACGACCTATACCATAAAAAAACTACGTTATTGCGCTTTGATTGCAACCCCAGCCTATAATTCAGTCCTTTAAAAAAGAATTGGTTTCAGATGCATACTACTTGCTCTGCATTCATAAATGTCACTTACAACCATAAACCAACGAAATTTTTCATCCTAAACCTTCATCCTCTTCCCCAATCAATGGGGCAATGGCAACGGCCTATAACTCCTGTGGTGTGGCGCATGTCTTTGGGATTCCTTCAGCTGGATTGCCGAGCATTATCATAAAAAAAAAAATATATTTAATAGATTTCTTAACACGACACTAGACTTCGTGACAGTAGGCGCCAATTTCACAGGTAATGGTCCTTCGCAATCTGTTTTAATCAACCAGGGGAAACGACTTGTTATGGCGTTTATAGTCCGTTTAATGTAACGTAGGCGACGTTTATTAGTCACTCTATAAAATGCCCTTTTATTAAAATTGTCGTACGAGCTCAAAACGTCTTCATTCATAGCTATATTTTTTCTGCAACCGTTATATTTGAATTTTTCACAATATTTCAATTGCCTTCTTATTTATTTCGTTACATTATTCATTTAAGTGTCGGTCCTCTGGTTCTTTTGCATAATTCTCCTCGGTTTTAAGTTTTAAAAGTAATATAGGTAATTTGTAAATGTTTTTGATGGTTTCTAGTTATTATGAATCCCGAAATTCCCCGGAGGGAAATTAATCCAAATCGTTTGCAAACACAATAACATTTGTACCTACATAATATTCTCAATAGAAATAACTACATAATATTCTGAATGGAATCACTTTATTTTTAAGAATGCTGGTTACCTGTAATTGGCGACTGTATAAGGCCAAAACCTAATGTTATTATTGTTTTATTTAATTTGCTATATACAGAAGCTGTTGGTGTACCTTTTTTAAATAAATAAATAACATTTACTCGCTACGTGCACGTCAACGTACCTATCGAGTAATGTTTATTTCTATTCCGAATATTAGGTCTTCAACCGATCAATCTTTTTTTTTGCTATTAACGTAAAACATCGTAACGGTCTTCATTGGACCGTTAGAAGTGATAGAAACGGTCTTCTAACATTACATCACGTTTGTAATACTTGAAAGGGCTAGACAGTTATGTCTTTTAAAGTCTATTGTCATTTGCTACCAGCTAGAATCAGAGAACACAATGAAACTGCTTTAGAATTTATTCTTGTCATTAGTATTTCAAATGCAGTTCATATTACACAGCTTATTTTTTTTGTGAGGGGAAAGTCATCAAATGACTTCTCCTGCCCAGGGTCGGGCGAGAGTGAGTGTCAGACTCTTACTGACTAAAAACCCCACTGTTCCTTCTCCTGCTCTGGGCCAAGGTCGCGGTGCCTCATTGCGCTTACCCCGCAACCCCGGCTGAAGCTCATTGGGCTAAACAAACTGCAGTTGCTAGGATTGCCACCTTCACGTAAACACACAAAGGCATAGCAGTAGCAGTATCTAAAACCTAACGTCATGCTTCCCCTCGTGCATTGTCTAGTCTTCGTGTTGAAAATGTCAATTTCTCGAATAAAAATCCATTATCATTGACAAGAGATCAACAAAGGACACAGAGTGCCAATACACTTAGAAATACAATTCAGACTATTCAATATCTACATCTAGGTAGGTATACCTTATACCTTTCTAAATATCTTTTATCCAATACAAAATCAGTTCTGCTTTAAAATTTACAAAGAAATATTGTAACAGATACAATTGAGCCTATCTAAAAGAAAGTTTTCACTATCGTTTTTATAGAAGCACCTCTCCACAGTTTCTGGTAGAAACCGCGAGATACGATACTATCGTCTGTCGGTCACTGACCTACTGACATTGGCACTGGCACCTTTTCAGCTACTCGATACGATTACTCGATTTAAAAGCAAATCGATTCAGTTAAATCTGTCAATTTCAACTCGGGTGCTGTGGTCGATACAGAATTGGATGCTTCGTACTTTATATAGTTTTGTATACGAATATTTTTATCGGGTGCGTCGAAGTTAGTCATGCAAACCGTATTTGTGTAGGTAGGTACGTATGTATGCATACACGATACCGTACCTATTTCCGTTTGAACATGAAATGGATAGTTGTACAATCACTCACTACCATTCTACAGTAATGTACCTACACCATATTTTGACTTTTGGTAAACATCTATGTAATAAGCCGCTAAAGATTTTGAGTACCAAAATTAGTTCAGGTTTGCATGAGTCACAAAACAAATTAGCACTTCATTTAACCCACGAGAATGGGGCCCGCACAAAGGGGTGGCGAAAATGAGCGGCCTTAATTTTCATGGCCATTCGAAATTCAAAAACGCTTAAAACAATGACAACGTTGACGTTTTTAAGTATAAAATAAAACTAGTTTTTTTGTTGATGCTATTTTATCTATGTACTTGCAATGTTTTTTTTTTCATCATACTCTTTACTTAACTCTGTATTTTAGTGTTGCGTAATTTGATTTTATATATTAACTTCACAGCCATTAATTGTTTATCACGAATAGAGATCTTTTCCTGACTTTTTATGCACGATAATTGAAATGATACCTAAAAATAAATACATTAATGTTCTGAACGGAATAATCTAGTTTAATAATTCATGTTATGCAAATCTTTCAATAGGATATTTTTTGTATTGTATGACGTCATTGTTTGTCACGTCACGCAAATAGAATATCCCTTAAAAGAACGAACGAACGAACTAAAAAGAACAGCTCTTCGAGAATCAGCTCTAATACAGAAATGCATAATTAGTACTACTAACAACTAGTAGATTCTGAAGTGAATAGATTAGTTCCTTTTCATAAAGCAGTTCCTTTATACGCTTTATTTATAGGAATCAAGTCAAGGAGATTTTATTGCTTCCATTAATTATTTATGTTCATTACCCTTGATAAAACGTGCAACGTTAACTATGAACAAACGAATTAGAGTTGTGTAGGTGTATTTTCTTCTATGTAGAGGGATGGTATGATAATACCCTTTGCGTGCATTTGTTCCGCTACTTTTGTTATAAGACGGAAAACGTGTTCACGGATTACCTGGTGGCAAGCAATCAGCGCCGCCCATGGACTCGTAATACCAAAGCAGTTACTACAAGTCCGTTGCCGACCTATTGTAGGAGATTTAAGGATGGGGTGGCGGTTTGGGCCTCCCGTAACCTCACTCAGATGGCGAAATACAACGCTGTGGTTGTTTCATGTCGGTTTTCTATGAGGCCGTCCGGTCGAGCCAACCCATTCGCGCTGAAGCATGACTCACCCATACTTAGAAATTGACATAATTTAATCTTCTATAAAAGTAATTGTTAGATATGTAGGGAGAGTAGAAATAGGCAGTAGCGCCCGCTTCAAAATGATCTGGATTTAAAAATGGAAGTATTTTGTGTAATAGCAAAACAGTTCTTTAAAAAGTGGAATTTTAACACTTTCACTCTTCAAGAAATATTCTTAAGTCGCTATGAATCATACTCGAAAGGACTTAGTATTATTAGTTACAAATAAAGCGAGTGAGGGTTATTCTCTTGATTCTGTGTACAAAACTGGTTCAGTGTAAGAGAAACTTATAATACGTATAACTAGTAAAAACTGAAGCCTTTTACAAGTTGTATGCTAATTAAAAAGTAGATAATATGCCTTGAAAAAGTTTCCAACAAAAATTTTATAAGGTAAAGTAAACAACGACACTTCATTTAAACTTAGTAAATATTTTTAGAGTTCTTAAACTAACGAGATTGTTCTTGTAAAAATTCTCTTTTGAGCTGACCCGAATTGAATTTAAAAATAAAAGGCGCTGCACTTCGTAACCTCGTTTCTTAAATAGTGAGCTATAAACATAGACAATTTTACTTTGAATAGAATTTATAGACAGGAAGTGATAGATATAGTATTATGGACTCTTTGGATGTTAATATTTCCTCATTGGGTACTAATTTTGACCCCAGTTCCCAAACGAAAGACTATCCCATGATTTCGTACATGCGATTTCCAGTAAAATTGTAAGATATTTGGCAAGACTAACGCACAGCTATTAATATGAATTAATGTAGATTAAGATATGGTACGTATTTAAAAAAAAATGTGTTGGCCCGGAGGTTAAAGAGCCCGCTTCTCATGCATGGGGGTTCGAAACCTGGCAAGTACCAATGTAACTTTTTCCGAGTTATATGTACTTTCTATGATTAGGCTGATGATGATGATGAGGTATTTTAAGCGTTTTCGCCTGTTTTTAATAATTGAGTACTTACGTACCTACCTAACTTATTAGATACCAAATTTAAAAGTGATCGTGCAATCGTACCTCCCCAAAAACAATTTTCTCCCGCCTTTTTAAAAGTGAGATTAAATTTGCAATTTTCTGTAAAGGTTATTTCAGGTCGCGTCATACGCCTACGTCTTATTACTTCATTTAGGGAAAGATTATCTTTGATCCTCGAGGAGGCTATGAACAATATTATTATTAAATATTTAGATAAAGGTAGCAAAACAAAGAAGGCCTGTTCCTGTAGTCTCTTAAGAAATTTAATATATTTGAGAGAACTGAGTCACATTTCTCAGAAAAGTCCAACATAATGAAAATACCAGTATAAGTACCATGTGACCACCAATGAATTGGCGAATAATGACGTTACAACTTGGTAATATCTTAGAAATCGTAAAGAAAAAAAATCGTGTTTAATAACGGACTAATTGTCATCATACCGATCTATCCATTCATTAAAAAAATCTCCAAAATAAAAGAATTATAATTCAATCATGATGTGTGTCCATATGTGTCACCTCAAATCAAACCGTCTACCGTTACCATAATAAACTCTGACGCATCGTCGTCCAATGAAAATAGTGCTTCAATTAGCGCCTTGAAATAGAGCAATGAACTTTAAAATGGCAATGGAATCATCAATCAGACTTGACCTATCAATTTTAGCTCATTAGGTACTTTATTTTTTTATGGAATAGGTACGTCGGCAAACGACTATATTTTACCTGATGGCCAGAATTCGGCGCTGCCTATGGACAACTCAGGGCCTACCATGACAGAGAGATGAAGCTATACACCTTTCATAGCTCAATCCCTCTTTCTCGCCCGAGACATTCACGCTTTCACACTTCATAGTAGGCCTACTGTAGCACAAAGTGCGTTGCTGCCCTTTTCTGAGTTTCTATAGGATTTGAAAATCGAAAGAAAGATTTGAGTCTCTGTTAACCAAATTCTTGCGACGAAACTCAACGCAAACGTGGTTTGATGCAATATACTCTTTTGTCTTATCTTTAGGTACTTAACCAAGTTTTGGTATGTCCATAATAAAATTTCGTACTCAAGTTCTGAATTGTTAATCTAGACAATATCCGTCATTTTGACTAATTATAAAAACTTAATCACAAGTGGTATACAAGGTTTAACCTGCTATTGGACATGGTGACAAATGCACCAAATAACATGAAAATATGTACAGCCGTTTTTGACTTATAATAATGAGTGTTACTGGCACGTCTTTGTTCTATGTTTTATCTTACGAATTCGTTTAAATTTATTCTACATACTTAACACGTTAGTGCCGTAACATTTTCCTTAAGTTTAGTGGGATTTTCACAACAAGAAATATTAAAATATTTTTGCTGCCATCTCTCTTTAGACTTATACGGCCTTATTACAAAACAAGGTTTTACTTTAGTCTAGGACTGAACCATAGAGCCAGTTTTTGTATTTCGAATTGAAGGTAGATGACAACAAAGATTCAAAATTCAAAATCCGGCTCAATGGTTTAAACCTGGACTAAAGATAAATGTTGTTTTATAATAAGGGGGATAATGTATCATCCAAATTGTGGATTCTTATTTAATATTGTCTAATAGATACTAAAGCCTTCCTTTACAATTTACCACAGTTCTGTTCTAACCTTACTTAAACATTTTAGTACTGTCGCTTTTCTAGCCTACATTTATAAGAAGGTACAGTAGTGATAGCAAATAATTTAACAAAATAACTTTATATTTTAGAAAGACAAATCTAATTTGCTTTGCTACATACATAGAAGATAGTGCTCCATTTAGTTAGGTGATAAATAAGTTATGCTAATATCCTAATCTTCAGTCGCAGGTCGAAAGCTCACGACGGCTGGTCGTCGTGTGCCAAGTGGGGGTGGTGGGGGGCCATTAATGAAGTCACAGACCCTGCCCCGTTCTATGGGCAGGTCATCGTCACAACCCAACAGCTCAAATGGAAGTTACAGCAGATACCCAGTGAAACCAGCGTCCACGCCGCCAGCTGTCAAACGACAGCTTTCTGTAAGTGAATTTATCATGTCTCCTTTTTAGGCGAAATCTTCTTCTGATCACTTTATAATGCCTTTTAGATAGTGTACGCTATATATAATATAGAAAGATAATGTCTGAATTAAAAGATACAATGATTTTATTTGGCAAGTAAAAAGCAGGTAATGAACTGTAGGTACTTATAGTCAGAATTTTAATTCGATTCCTGATTTGACATGACCTATTGTCATTTTGTGAAATAATGATACCACATATAACAGTGTAGTGATGAACACAAAAATCGATAAACAATCAGTGAATCAGTTTCAGGAAGGCATTCAAAAAATTACGGATCCCATGTTGTCAAAATAGGGGAAAAAATGAGTAAGCTAGATATGTTAATTGACATTAAAAATCACAGACACAATTTATAATAAATGTTACAGAAAGTAACAGCGATAGCGATAGCGATGACGGCGACAATTTATAAAATTTTTGTTTAATTTGTCATGTTCCTTCATGATCACATTTTTTATTTATTTCACACACAATTACAAAAGAAAAGTCTCAGATCGTTAATTAATTGTCAAAACTAAATTATCGGATCAGAGATATTTTATTTCCTGATAAACTTAGTTTACGAGAGTAAATTTATAAACGAGAGGAATCGATTCAAAAATATTCGATTTCCACATCGAATAATTTTGCAACGTCACTATTTAATACGTGTCATAACGTTGCAACACTGAAATTGTCAAATCTGGAATGGAATTAAAAGTCCGAGTATAGCTATTAGATACATATGTTCAACGTTATTATCCTCCAATAATTTACGGCGATTTAACGCCGACCCGGCTTGCATCAGGAGACCACGGGCTGGTTTTTAGTCAGTGAGAATCTGACAGTCTGCCACCATAACACAGTGCGGTTAAAGACAATGGATGATAATCTCACTCAAAAAAAGGAATTAGGTAGATATTTCGAGTTCGACACACCTACATACATAGGAACACCTCGTCTCTTATGGTAGAGAGTTACAGTTTCCTATCACTTAGCTTCTATTGAAAAATTGCTTGAGGTGTATTATTTCTTGAAGCTAATACATAGGTACAATAGGTACTTACAATCTATCAAATAATACAAGGACGCGGCCAACGCATTGTGGTTGAATGCCCGACCTCAAACTATACGATTTGTTGTATTGAATTACCTACACTTTGAAAAAATATGTACAAATTTTTTGTTAGCACTACATTAAAAGATTAATGATTAACTAAGCAATTAAGCAATAGGTATCTCTAAAGATTATTTACCACGATCTACCTTTACCTTTTAGTAAGTCGTGGTGGCCCGGAGGTTAAGGAGCCCGCTTCTCATGCATGAGGGCGTGGGTTCGAAACCTGGCAAGTACCAATGTGACTTTTTCAGAGTTATATGTACTTTCTATGATTATTTAGACACCATTGACATACGGTGAAGATAAACATCGTGAGGAAACCTGGACTTATAATTTCTAATTATAAGTTTGAAATCGCCAACCCGCATTGAGCAAGCGTGGTGATTAACGCTCTAACCTTCTCCGTATGAGAAGAGTCCTTTGCTCAGCAGTGGGCACTTAGAGGCTGATGATGATGATGATGACCCTTACCTTATAGATTTACATTATCTGGATTGCAATTACTTAAGTCAATCTACGCAACTTTTTTACTTCACAAGAAAATGCGTGGCAAAGAAAAAAGTTCACTACAACGGTCTTTTACCGAAATAAAAAAGTAAATTGATAGATTGATAGGCGCTTCACCAAATAGCTTTCACGTCAAACGATGGCGCGAAGTCGCTTAGAAGCCAAAATGGCGGCAAGTAACCCATTTTTTTTTAATTCCATCGACCAGTCGTAAGTGTGCAATGAACTTATTTTAAAAAAAGGAAGCCTTCGTTGTCACGTGACTTGTTTGTGGTTAGCCCGTGGAAATGTATCGTGTTACATTTCCGCCTTTAAAGAATACAATATGTAGGGTAACAAGGAAGTGTAATGCTCTTAATATTGACATAATATGAGATAGCTTAATAGCCTTACATACAAGGCAAAGTCAAATACTGAGACATTGAGTGGCGTATGCCCAATTCGAAATAAAATAGTTAGTATCTATTTTGTTTAATACAGGTTCCAACGGCTTATAATAATAACGGACTATTTTTTCACGGGATTGTAAACGTTAGATTGTTTTGTAAAAAATGGTAGTTATGTGCCAGACCTCTGAGTATTTGTACTACAATCACGCCATTCAAATAAAACAAAACAAAGACAAACAATCAACTTGGTTTTATAAATACTAATTCTTCCTTATTAATTTTACTACCCCTAATTGTATTGAAATCCATTCGATAATATTAGAGTTTTCAACGTTAAAACAGATAGACACTAGAATCCTTGGTTAGATACGATGTATTATTATCGATTTATAATAATAAATATATAAACCTCAAGTAGCTACTTTTGAACGGGTGAGAATCAATTCTATTGTATGTTAAAAGCGAAACGTTATTAACTCTGACAACGTTTTTATGTCTATAGAAACATGTAAAGAAAAATACCTAGTGCCAGGCTTTTATACATGTAAACATTTTATTACCGTAAAAACCTACCGCTGAACCAAACAAGAGAGTGACGTCATCACTGTCAAAGCTCTACTCAGTTAGGTATGTCATAGCGTGTCACCAAAGTTATACCGTTTTACTTAATTCAGATGTTTTCACTGCGAATATTCTCTTCGGCGTATAAAACATTATTTGCTACACGATTAGACTTTTAAATTCGACACGGTGACTTGGTTGCTTGACGGAACTCATAAATGTCCACTACCAGCGTGGCTTGAAACTAGTCGAGGTATCTTGCCTAATAGTTACCTAATAGTTGAGATGGCTGTTAAACATACTATTAAATAAAAGATTTGACATCAACCACGTCTAGGCAAACGTAGTGTAGGGCGCCCTCCAGCTAGCTGAACTGACGATATCCGTAGAGTTGCTAGCAGCGGTTGGATAACAAAAGCTGAACATCGGGCTCACAAATCAATGCAAAAGTTGCCCCACGTTAGGATTTTCTCCTGTGTCGTGGCTGCGTTTATAAACATACATTCACATACACATCATACCCTGAACCGGAACAATAATAAGTGGATCACAAAAAGAGTTGTATCGTGCGGAAATCGAACCCACGACACAGCGTCAACCCTACAGTCGATCTCTTGCTAAGCCAAACACACACGCTCCACAGATAAATTGGTTATTGCAAATTACCGTACACTTATAAATACTCCCACATTTTATGATGACTCCTATGTTATAAGGCGATACCTACACTTACTTAAATACAGTGTGTTATTGCCCTACTGCAGGACAGGGGCTTCTAATACCCTGCCACTGATATGGAGCAATGTCTCCCACCTTATCCTTATAAGTACTTAGAACTTGGTTCAGTAGGATCCTGTTACCTGTAAATCCTGTAACCTATGACTGCTGTTGCCCTAGTTATACAAAATCCTGTTACTATGTCGGTCCATTTATTGTTCTGGATTTTTTTATTAATACCTTTTTTGGTCTTGGCCTTGTTGGATAAATAAAAGGGACTTTGCAGTTCATTTATAAAGTTTTAGACTCCTAATTCCGTGGCCAGAGATATTAAATGATTACTCAAACAGTCAAACCATTGCTTACTAAAGTTTTAAGTTAAGAAATTAATTGATGAGGACTGGATTTATTGAAATTAACATGTGACTTGAAACTAGTAGAGTTTTTTAAATATCAAATTAAGTATATCTTACTATTTTCAACTAAAAAGTAAAGTAACCATTAAATGACTCTAAGTACGACGAGTATTGATTACAATTGCATGAAAAAAAATCTGCAAATACGTATTTTGATACAACACATGGGAAATACATCAAATCAACTATAGAAATGTAAGCAGACAATGTGAAACAAGCCCTTATTTATAGTCATTTAACCTTCGACCTTGAACAAAGTCGTACCAAAGTCAAACAGGTCGGAAATCCAAACATTTTCAATGGTTATGAAACTTAAATAGGTACAATAAATTATATCTATACTTTATATTATAAAGCTGAAAATTTTGTTTGAACGCGCTCATCTCAGGAGTTACTGGTTTGAATTTAAAAAAGTTTTTAGACCATGTATTGATGATCTAGGCTACGAACCATCACGCTACGATCTGTAGGAGCCGAGCAGCGGGTGAAAACGGGAGAGAGTAGCTAGTGATACCTATACTTATAAAAGTAACAACAACCATGTTCATTTTGTAAAAATTAAGACTCAGACATTAAACATATTTGAATTGTAATTTCTAAAATGTAGTCAAGAAATCCTTAAAACAAAGTCAAAGTCAAAATCATTTATTCCAACTAAACCATAAATAGGTACTTTTGAAACGTCAAAATAGAGAAGTAGTCGGTCAGTCTGTTCGAATAGGTATTTATCAGTGATCAGAAGGAGAACTTTCCGCTTTAGCTTCTAAAGTTTAGCAAATACAACAATAAAGAATATCTTAGACTTTCTAATTTTAATTGGCGCAATAGTTGAAATTGCTTTATTGACCTAGTCTCAACTAACTCACCAATTGGCATCTTCATTCACTTAAAATTCACTTCTTTTGTTTTCGTTTTGGAAGTAGTTGAATAATAAAAAAATAAATGATCTTGTTGAAATTTGTGAAATAATAAAAAAAATATTAATGACAGTCAAAATGCCATGACTAGCTAAGACAAAATCCAAGAAGTATAGAAAAAGTTGTCACAAAAAAATTCAGTTAGTTTTTTCTTTGATAACTTTTACTTAGTTTTGCGTTGTTTGTTTAATATACTCAGTACTAGCTGTTTGTTTGTTCTTCTTTCTTCATATTAACATTTCCATTCATCTAACCCACATCATCCTAATTCGCGTCTCAACTCAGAGCGCATACCAGGTACCTTCGAACGGGTCTCCAGTCCGTCGCGTGGTGGGAGGCGGCTCCCAACGAGGGACCCCCACAAGGAGCAGAACACCCCAACCAGCGCTCAGCGTCAGGGGAGTTGACCCCAAACTCGTCCAGCTTATTCTGGACGAAATCGTCGAAGGGGGTCCCAAAGTTCACTGGGAGGATATCGCAGGACAAGATGTAAGTAGTCTTTTTTCTTTTTATCGTTTTGTGGATATTTAAGACTATCGAACTTAATGAGCCTATCGTTGATGCTCAAATCTGCTGTTTTTTTTTTATTAAAACGTTGCCCCGTACCTACTAAGACTTTTTCCTGGGTCGTGGGTTTTTTTTAATTCACATTCACATGACGTCCCAGACCCAGAACAACAATTTGTGGATCACACAAAGAGTTGTTCCGTGCGGGAATCCAAAATCGAACGACACGTTGCACGGTAGCTACCCAGCCACCGCACCAACTTTGCAGTCAAATCAGTGTTCAGAAAATAATTGATGATTTATTTAAATCTAGTTCTAATCTGACTGACGAAACATCAGCATCACCCGTCCCTTTTATCTTAAAGTGGCTCCACTGTTTTATATGAATTGCAATTTGATTATTGCTCAGCAGTACAAATGCAACTCTACTGTCTAGGTTATCATTTTGCACTTTATTTTAGCTTGTGACGTCATAGCGCTAATATGCGAACACCACTAACTAATCATAGAGTTGGCGGCGAGCCAGACTCTGTTCAATTAACAATAAAGCTACTCGCTCAGCCTAAAAGTTCGCTCCAAATTAAGGTGCTTTCTCAGGGATAGTTTGAAAGACAGGTTGAAACTATGTGTGCAAATGAAGCTAGTGAAAATTCTACCAACGTCAATTTGGTTTCGATGCCAAAATTGACGATTTATGTCTATTTCAGTAACAATACTTTGATTTTGTAACGGGTATAATTAAAGTTGGTGTAACATTGACATATTACATTCTTCAGGATCTCCCTATGTCAATATTATTTAAGGGATAAAATCAATAGAAAATACCTCACTCCATCTACCTGCCGGGGTTGCGGGGTAAGCGCAATGAGGTACCGCGACCTCGGCACAGAGCAGGAGAAGGAACAGGGGGGTTTTTAGTCAGTAAGAGTCTGACACTCCCTCCTGCCCGGCCCTGGGCAGGAGAAGTCAAAAAAAAACTCCATCTACCTGACAAGCATTTCGCTTGACATTTTTACGTAACTGTGTGTAAGCGACGGAATTTAATTAATTTGCCAGCGACAGATATAAAACCTTCTTGATAATATACCTTATATTGAAACACATTCGTAACCCAGTGAAATGGAATTAAGCCCGTCACACAACCTGACAAGTTCACCCAGTTTGCATCTCTATTGGTGTCAAAGTTTAGTAGAAACTGTAGAACATACGAGAATATCGGTTTTAACTTGGTGTTTGTGCTGTAGAAACGGAAATTGAAATGTTGTTTCATTTATGTAAGACATTGTCTATTACAGTTATTAATTTTAACACTTTATGTACTTTCAAAATATAAAAGCGGACTTAATGCCTGCAAAGGAGGTGCTGAGAAAAGGTTCTAACTAAACAAGCACACAAATTATAAATAAGCATATATGTACACAAGTACTTCAATGAAAGCTAGATCTATGAACTTAACTAATAGGCCTACATTTTTGTGTGAATATTTTTCGTGAATTTGATAAAAATATTATTCGTGTGCATCATTAGGTTTTTGATATTTGGTTTAGATTCTGGGCGTGCGCAAGCATACATACACAAGAGAATTTCTATCGGTGCATGGCAATCGGCATCATTATTATTAAGCGGTTTTACAGGCTATACAAAATATTATTATTAATATCTCGCTTTGAAAGGTTTTTCGAAACTTTCAACGGTCGGTTTGCCTTAGATTTATATTTAGCCTTGTGTCCTAGTGAATAATTGGTGTTAAAAGCGTGATATTTGCCTTATCTACCTACACTGACCTACAGCTTATAAGCGTGCCACAAATGCATAGATATTAAATGTGACTGTAATAAAACCTTATTGTCAAATCGATAATATTGATCACACAATATCCTGACCTCAATGAAGTTACGATTTTGTTAAATTGTCAGGTAACTGTATTTCATAACATAAACTTGTACATTGACCTTACAAGTAACTGTTGTCCAAGAGATTATCGGAGATATTTACAAGAGAAAGTATATTTACTTTCGATTATGTTCGGTAATATGGCCTTTTATTAGTTCTCACAAGTTATATTAATTTATAAGATAAGATGAAAACGAGCAGACTAATATCTGATGGTAAGCTATTGGCTCTGGTCATGAACATCCACAACACCAGAGATGTTATATGTACGTTGCTTTTGGAGTTGTTAGACTCATAGGTTTTAGGAGTATATGTAGTACATGTTATTTAGTTCCATGTAATGTCTGTTACCACTTTAAAACAAAGGACATTTATGGACTCTGTACTAACTATTGGAAAAATGACAAAAGCCGAACAAGTACCCGTGATGTGAGCCATCACGGGTACTTGTCAGAGCGGTCATTTCATTTGCCTTAAGATAAAATAGTTTGTTTTTTGTTTTTTTATAAAGAGATTGTTGCCTTATTTATGTTTGCTAAGGTCGTTATTGTAACAGTTATGTAAGAGGTTCAAGGGTAAACGTCGGTCACCCCGGCGTAAAAAAAATTGCGTAGGCTTACGTAAAGTTTCCAGTGATATCATCTACTATTTTTGTACAACGGCTGCTAATTTTGTATATATATATATATATGTATATCGTATTAAAATTTTACAATAATTCCTAAGAAATTAACTTTCTTTTTTATTGACGCAACCTGATCGTGCAAATTACAATAATAAAAAAAAAACAATAAACAAATCGATGATAGATCATCCAAGTTTATTGATGTATAAAAAGATTTATTATAATCATATCTGTTCTTTCAATACGTACTTGTTTGTTTTCTAGATGGCAATATTATATGGCATTATTATAAAAAATAATAGTGAAAGTTTACACAATAATATTGTAAAAAAATTGTAAATAAGAAGCCAGACAGACCAATTAGGTGATCGTATAGAAATTCGAAAACGATTCACTGAAAAACTCGTCCCTGTTTCTCGAAACTTGTTAACTATTTTTAGTTGTAAATCTTAATATTGTTTCTGTCTGTCTTACTGTAGCGTATTATTGATTTTAACGACATCTACAGGGTTATTCTTGATCTATTCCGTCGAATAGTTCGGTATACGTTTTATATTTGTTTTTTCTGTGTGATAAGTCATATTACTCGTATTATCTGATGGTAAACAATCGGCGTTGCCCATGGACACTAGTAACGTCACAAGAGTTTCAAAGTTTGTTGACAGCCTTTTGGGGATTTAGTAATTGTAGAGGGGAAGATGAGACCCCTCGTGGTAGGTATATTCTGATCTTTTCAATTGGAGTAATTTGTAAAATCATCACAAAATTTACTTTTCAGGGTGTTTTTTAGGCTTATAGAATCTACTACTAATTTAAATAAAGCCATAAACTTTTATTACCTAACTTATTGTTTTATTTTAACATATTTTTTAAGTTGCGTTGTCTGTGTTGTTGTAGGCCGCTAAGCAGGCATTACAGGAGATGGTAGTGCTGCCCTCTTTGAGGCCGGAGCTCTTCACGGGACTGAGGTCGCCTGCGAGAGGACTCTTGCTGTTTGGACCACCAGGAAACGGTACGTCCCACATCGATCTTTGTATTATTTATTGATTAAGTCAATTAATCTGTAAGCCATACTTCGGCAAGAATGTGCCGGCTCGACTGGAGTGATACCACGGCCCTTCAAAATATTGGCGTGAAGCAACATTGTATTTCATACGACATATGCTACTTTTCTATAAATTATGTATGAAACCGTAACATACTATGTTGTAAAAATGTTTTAACGTTAATCAGCATACTTATATCTGTCCCTCAAATTACTTAATTCGGTATTCTTACTATCTATATAATAAAAATGAATTGCAAAATATTTTTGTAAGTGAATAAAGAACCAACGCTTAGACCAATTTTGCTATTTTTTTTTTTGTGAATAAAAAAAAAATAAGAAAATAAACGAAAAGTGAACGGTAAAATTGGGAAAACAGGACTCTTTTGTTGTAAGCGAGATAGTTGGACCCGTGCGAAGTGGGGTAGGGCCTGTGGTTTATACATATAATAAAAACTTGTTTCTGTATTAGGTAAAACGCTGCTAGCACGATGTGTAGCGGCGGAATGCTCGGCGACTTTCTTCTCAATATCCGCGGCGACGCTGACCAGCAAGTACGTCGGTGAGGGGGAGAAGATGGTGCGAGCGCTCTTCCAGGTCGCTAGGGAACTGCAGGTGAGACCTTCGGAACTAGATGATTATCATGGTGATATTTATCATTGTCAGAAAACTGTATTTACTGTCGCAGCATAGAGAGCCAGATGTGGTGATTTTGATTATTGAGATCTGGCTGACGAAGTGAAATTACTTAGTAATGAATGCCCACACATTTTGGATTAATATGTCAAGTCAAGCACAAATTTTCTATTGACGAAAAAGTACCAATGTGACTTTTTCCGAGCTATATGTACTTTGAACTACTTTGTATGATTATTTAGACACCACTGACATACGGTGAAGGAAAACATCGTGAGTAACCTGGACGTATAATTTCTAAACATAGGTATGAAAGTGTTAAGTAAGCGTGGTGGTTAACCTTCTCCGTGTGAGAAGAGGCCCGTGCCCGTGTGCTCAGCATTAGGTACTTATAGACTGATGTGAGCATGACAAATGCGCCTTAACACTTAAAATGGCAACTCAGTGGAGTTGCCAAAGTTGAAAATTTTATGATAAACTGGCAACTTATTAGGTAACAAGGCAATGATCTTACTTACAAAAAAATCTAAATACAAATATGTAAGTAAAGTGGTTTAAATAATTAACATTTCCTTCGAACTAAGTTTATTATCTCGTTCGCGATATCTGAAGTCGTTGACCTCCTTTCGAACGCATACACTCGATACTTGATAAAAAAAACTATCAAACGTTTGAATGCACTTTCAAATACTTAGTTTGGCGATGTAGAAGTGTCTTTGACCGTAGTATAAGCAGCTTTAAGTACAGAATCTATGTTTCCGTGTCTTTATTTAAATATTTCGTTATTTAACAAACTCAAACGAGCGAAGTAATGAGAATTATCTGTTGGTAAGCAATCAGCGCGCCCGTGGGCACTCGTAATGCCAAAGCTGTTTTTTTCTTAAAACGTTGCCCGACTCTAGTATTTTCTCATGTGTCGTGGGTGCATTTACAAACATACAAATTCACATACACAAACCACCCAGACCCGAAATAACAATTTGTGGATCACACAAAGTGTTATTCCGTGCGGGAATCGAACCCGACGACACGGCGCGAAACGTTGCACAGCAACCAGCTGCCCAGCAGCCAAAGGTATTACAAGTGCGTTGCCGTTATCTTGTGGGCTATTAAGGAGTTAAGGATTGGGGATATAAGTATTGACGATGGGCAGAAGGATTGAGCTTATTTTTAATTTCTTTAACATAAATACAAATTAATGAAATCGGTTGCTTCACGACTATATCGGAGTCATTTTTCAATTATTCTAATTGTAAAATCGAACGAGTACTTTAAAAAAAAATGTATAAAATTGATAAATTGTATCTACCATTACCTAGCAAAATCTGTTGTTTAGTCACGAAATATTTTTGAGAAATAACCAATGGTTCCAAGTTCACGGTCGAGCGTTTGAATGAATACGCTGTATAATATAAAACAATTATCCAGATTGGCGCGAGGTCGGTGCTCCAATGCGGACCAATTAGTATAGAAAGGTTGGACCAATAGGTCAAGTGTAAATGAAAGTGATTTCCGTATCATTTTGCTCAAATTTGTTCTGTTAATGAGCTGCTATCATAACTTTTCGGTGACGATTGTTGTGTTGATGGATTACTCGCGTTACTGTTTGACGAGGAACTCTACTACTTACAAGCCATTTTAGAGGCTCATAATCTATGTTAGCTACGTGACTTTCGACACATCTTGTTTCGAATTTGCTAAACGAAGATAGAAAACAACAAACACTACGGCACAACCTTATCTGCATAATCCTTTAAAAGCTTTTGGTGTAACATCTTACTAAATATAGTGTATAAGTTATTCCAGTCAATTTGTTTAATAGACAATTATTGCACTCAAATATACTACCTATATGTCTAACACCGTAAAGTTGAAATCGATAGAATATGCGGCATATTCAAATAACGAATAGTCACTCGATGGTACGTGACTGTTCAACTTATTTTTCAGCTCTCTATTATAAACCCCGGTTCTGGCTTGAAACCAGTCGAGCATCCTCGAAACTTATATACTAATTGTTTGAGTATATTTCACGATAGATACTTTATCTTAAGCTTTTTATTTCAAATATCCTTATTACAAATAACGTATTTCTCCAACAGCCCTCGATAATCTTCGTAGATGAAGTAGACTCGCTTCTATGCGAGAGATCGTCGGGCGAGCACGAAGCGTCTCGGCGACTAAAAACAGAGTTCCTGGTCGAGTTCGACGGACTACCGGCCGCGGGAGCTGATAGGCTCATTGTGATGGCCGCCACCAATAGGCCGCAAGAACTCGATGAGGCTGCGTTAAGGTGAGGAATTAAGTTGAAAGAAGAAAGAAATAATTTTGTTTTTTTTATGTCATAAGTCTTCAAACGAGCACACAGATTACGTGGTGGCAAGCAATCAGCGCCGCCCATGGACACTAATAATACTAAAGGAGTTACAACAAGTGCTTTGACGACCTCTCGTGGGTGGGAGAAACTTAAGGATAGGGGATTTGAGGATTGATGATCGGATCACCAATTTCAAAGTTAAAGTTGTCTTATTATGTCATGAGAAAGATATTATTTTGTTTTTTGTATATTTCATTCAGATAAATCACTTAAATGCATAAAAGGAATAAAGTACCCATAGTTTACAATGAAAGTGAAAATGTGAATATATTTTTGGAATAACGTAAATATTTATTTATTTACTGTTTATTTATTGTACACCATAAATATATATAGAATACTTGAGATATATTGTACAATGGGAGGTCTTATCGCTAAATGCGATTTCTTATAGACAACCTTTGGATGGAGCCAGCAATTAAGGTTCGGGAAACACTTAATAATTAAAAATATTTTCCCTAGACGTTTTCCAAAACGTGTGTACGTGTGTCTACCGGACGTGCGCACACGCATGGCGTTAATACGGCGCGTGTTGGCGCGGGGGGCGGCGGCCGCGTCCATCAGTGACGAGGAACTGGCGCGGCTGGCGGCCCTCACTGACGGGTACTCCGGCAGCGATCTCACTGCACTCTGCCGAGATGCCGCCTTAGGGCCCATTAGAGGTAAGTTTCTGAAGACAGATGACAAAGAATTTGAATGCTAACTAGTGTAAGTAAATCGAATAAATAATGTAGGAATTCGGTAAAAAGCATAGTCGACAAGCACATAAGTTAACGTTTTGAAAAAATCCAAATCATAAGTTTTCTTATAAAGAAAGAGGGTATATGCCAAAAAATTACGAAATATATTACTTTAATTAAAAATTACTATACATTAATTAATTTATTTCGCGATACTTAAGCTTAGATTTTTTTCGGGTATTTTTTAAGAAAGTATTATGAAAATCGAAAGGTACCTATAATTTGACAAAATACACGATAAGTCATTGTATTCCACATCTTCATCTCCACACTACATGAACCAAACCGCCAAGTTATCTAGGCCACGCATGCAAGCTTACGTGTAACAAAACGTAACGTGCATCTGGCAACACCAGTGTATCACGCAATGGCAACACCCACCTTGACCTCGATTTTATTAAATGTCTTATAACTCATAAAACGGTATCCAATCCACTGACAATGCATGTGACACCTACGCTTTTAGTGTGTCGTGAAGTTTATGTAATATTTTTATTAAGGCCGTATTGTCGAATGATAGATTTAAATATTAAAGTATGAAGGTAATTAAAATAAGGTTTGAGTTCATTGAATGTTTGTTCTACATTTTGAAAACACTTTTCATCATATTCTGCTTAACAATGATATGGAGGCGGTTATTTTAGTTAGTTGATATTAAAATGTCAATTAGATATCAAAGGATTATCACATTTGCGAAATGTTTGACTGTTTAAGGTTTGTGTTTAAAATCAAATAATGAAGAAAGACGACATGGTATCTGAGTAAATAACATTATAAGTTAAAGTTAGTTAATGAAACAATAGTTTTGTGTTAAATAGTAAATTTATCGAAAAAGGCTATTTAGGTTATAAAACATCTCGCTACGACTGATAGGAGACGAACAGCGGCTGGTAAGCATCATAAGTTCAAACATTAACAAATGTCTGAGAGTGTGGCTGTAACAGACAACTTACTAATATCATAAATCTATGACATGCTATAATTATCATCAGTTAGCATACATCAGATGGTCAATAAACTATGACATACTGTAGGCGGCACCCACGACATATAACAACTTTCTGTACCAGCACTTGTGTAATACGTTAGGTAATAAGATTGTTAGCATTCAAGTCAGTCTTAATTCCTAAGTTGAACTAATACTACAAAGAAATATACCTAAGTCCGTTCATTTGATTTAAAGTATGATGCACCAAAAAGTTTTTAATAAGTATTCAATAATTCTTATTTTGAATTTAAAGAAAAATAAAGACTTGAAAATTCCTAATTTGAAATTGTGAATTTGCAGAAAACGCGATATAATCAAGAAATGTCTTTTGATAAAACAAACCACTGTTTTAACTAGTGAATTATCCCTATTGAACTAACTATCTTAGCGGCTTTTTAACTTCTTTAAAAACAGATATATTCTTCAGCTACAAAATATAGAAAGTAAAATAACTCCCTACTCGCGGGAACTAAGCTGAGAAAACTAGTTTCAAACCGCAACGGGACTATTATTAATGAGTGAGAGCTGTTTGCAGTAAGGCGTTATTACACGATAGTTACTATATTATTATAAACCTTTTATTTCAGAACTGGACCCTGAAGAAGTGAAGTGCCTGGACCTGTCGCTGGTCCGCAGCATCATGTTCCAGGACTTCATGGACGCGCTGAAGAGGATCAGACCGTCAGTGTCGCCGCACAGCCTCGTCGCGTACGAGAAGTGGTCGGTCCAGTATGGGGACCTCGGACTGTGAAGCGCTTTTAATACAGGTTAGTATACTTCTTTATTTATTTACTAACATACAATACAACTATTATCACAGGAGTTTTTATAATACAATAGTGTAGTTCCAATACAAACAAACCTTTCATACTAAAAAAACTTCCTATATTCAACTTACTAAACCTACCACAGAACACGCATATATTTATGTAGTATTCATAGTGCAGTGAAACAAGTCTATATGTTGCGACATAGCGATTTATCTATCTATCTACTTCTAATACAGGCCTATATAAAGGCCACGCGGTTGGCTCACTAGCAGCTAGCTAAGTCTAGCTGTATAGTCATACAGAACAAGAGAAAATTGAGGGTTTTTGTACCCCGTTTTTGTATGTGGAAAACAGAAATAGGTATCTAACTATTATTATATTGGTGCCCCTGTGTGGGCGCCGGACTTGAAGCGGCGGCCGGCTCGTACGCTGGTCGCGTCACAGAGGGTCATGGCTATACGAGTAATCCGCGGGTATCGCACGATCTCCGGGGAGGCGGCGAACCTCCTTGCCGGATCACCGCCGTGGGATCTAGAAGCGAAGGCGCTCGCGCGCGTCTACAGTTTGCGCGCAGACTCGCGTCGCCGGGGCGAAGATCCTCTGCCGCGCCAAATTAGTGCGTGGCGGAATGAGCTCCGGCGAGATCTCATGGCAGAGTGGAGACAACGACTGTCGCAACCGAGGGCCGGGCACGCTACCATAGCAGCGGTAAGACCCCTCTTTGAGGAGTGGCTTGAGAGACGCCACGGCGTCCTCACCTTCCGTCTGACGCAGGTGCTTACCGGGCACGGCAGCTTCGGTAGGTTCCTGTTTCGGATTCAGCGGGAGGAAACGCCCGAGTGTCGTCATTGTGAGGACCACCTAGAGGATACGGTGGAGCATACGGTAGCGGTATGCCCTGCCTGGGCTGAGCACCGCCGTATCCTCAGGGAAGTGATCGGCGGCGGCGACCTCTCGCGCCCGGCCTTAGTCGAGGCCATGGTGCGGAGTGAGAGGAACTGGGACGCCGTCTCCTCCTTTTGTGAAGCAGTCATGCTCGCAAAGAGAGAGGCGGCCCGCGTGAGGGAGCAATCCTCCTCCTCACGCCCCAGCAGCCGCAACTGGCGACACTACGGGCGTCGGGGATCGAGGGACGATCTCCGGCCACCGTAAGTACGGGCCTGCGGTCGGCGAGTAAGGGCAGCTCGCCGCCCGACCAGAACCAGGCCCGAGCGTACGGCGCGTAGCGTTCCGCGCGCGCCTCAAAGAGCCAATAGACCACCACAGACGGGGCCCTAAAGGGCTGATGTTCAGCCGGGGTTGCGGGGTAAGCGCAATGAGGTACCGCGACCTCGGCACAGAGCAGGAGAAGGAACAGGGGGGTTTTTAGTCAGTAAGAGTCTGACACTCCCTCCTGCCCGGCCCTGGGCGGGAGAAGTCATTTGATGATTTTCCCCTCACAAAAAAAAAAAAAACTATTATTATATTTCTATTTCTAATGAAGATTTGTAGGTGTATTTATCTACTTAGATTTTTATAGACTCTTGTTCTATCGGGTACTCCGAGTTGGAATGGTAGAACATTGAAGTCATGAATCGGGCCCGGTGTATGGTCATCTTTTGCTATGTATTACAGTAAACTAAATAAATGTATTGGTAAAATTCTATGAATTCATTGAATACTAAATTTACGTTACGTGAATTAGAACTCAACTCTGAGTACCACGCAACCACGTCTTAAACTTCAATAAATTTTGCATTTTCAACGATATTTACTAAACAAAAAAATCGATTAAAGGGTTTTCGAAAGTGTGTCTTTTGAATTAGTTAGAATTAGTTGTTCCATACTGATCTTGAGAAATTGACCTGAAAAAAATATCAGATATTTTTAAACTTTAGGACATTTATAGCTTATCACATTGTATTTCTTGTTTGTCAACAAATCAGCCTTTTTTGCAGCCAGTCATCCATAATATTGAGAAAAATAAATAAAAACCTTTTTGTGGAAACCGGAAACTTTAGGTTCAGTTCAAATGACCTTTTATTTTTTTATCTTCCGTTTACTATTGTTTCTCTTCTTCGCCTTCAGCTTTTTGCTGCAAAACACTGCCTGGATGTAAGAAGGCCCGAATGGTATAAACGCTACTCTTCTCAAATTAAAATAAAACTTAATGGATGGGTTTCACATAAGCTATTGGTTATAAATAGACCCCACCTTCTGACCACAGTGGTCTTGTGGTAACTTACAGCACTTATTTGCCTTTACAAAAAATTCAAATAAAGTTTAGACATATTACAAATAAAAATTTAGAGAAACTCAATGATTCAATAGCAACTAAATTAAGTGTACAAAATTTTGATGTCAGTAATCCGAGCAAGTTATACGAAAAATTTTTTGCGGTGTTAAATAGGGAATTTCAAGCTATTTTGCCATTGAAATGTAAAGATATCTGTTCTAAGTTTCAGTTTAGCGATTGGGCAACCGTAGGTATTCGTAAGAGTAGAGATAAACTTTTTGAACTTTATGGCATGAAACCATTCAATTGCGACCCCCTTTTTCATCAACATGTAAAATTGTACTCAAAAACATTTAGAATAGTATGCAAAGCCGCAAAGCGACTTTTCATCAGTAATAAAATAAAATCAGCTGATGACAAGATAAAGGCTACGTGGAAAATAATACAGAATGAGACAGGTAGGAAACGATTAAAAAATTCGGAATTTTGTTTAAACACTCAAAGGGGACAGATTTCGTCAAGCAAAGATGTAGCTCAGGAGTTTGAGGCATTTTTTGCTAATATACCTGTCACAACAACTGCTCATTTAGAATCATCAGCCAGACTATCGTTAACTTTGCTTAGAGAAAATGTCAAATCATGCAAAGACGATTTTAGTTTTCATTATACCAATCCTTTAGAGATAATAAAGGTTTTTAAAGAAATCAAGATCAAATCAACTGAGGACCTTTGGGGACTATCGGTGAAAGTATGCGGATCACTTATCCGAACTTTAGCGCCGTATCTGGCTTTGATTTTCAATAAAAGTATAGATGACGGTGTCTTCCCGAACCTAATGAAATACAGTAAAGTTATTCCATTATTCAAAAATGGTGACACTAAGGAACCAAACAACTATAGGCCTGTGTCTGTTCTGCCGGTTCTTAGCAAAGTGTTTGAAAAGTTAATGCTATCTCGGATGCTTCATCACTTTGATAAACATGCCATCTTCCATCACCAACAATACGGTTTCACTAAAGGTCGTTGTACAACTGACGCCGGTGTCACTTTGATAAAGGAGGTATTCGGTGCTTGGGAGGAAGCACAGGATGCTGTTGGTGTCTTTTGCGACCTCTCAAAGGCGTTCGATTGCGTTGATCATGAAACACTCTTGCTGAAATTAGATCATTACGGGATTAGACATACTGCACTCCGTCTACTAAAGTCATATTTAGAGGATAGGCAGCTGAGAGTTCATGTAGGTGGTTCTAACTCCCGGGGCTCTGAGATAAGAATTGGCGTACCGCAAGGTTCAATTTTGGGTCCGTTTCTCTTCTTAGTGTATGTTAATGACTTGCCATTTCTATTTAAAACTGAGCCAAGAATGGTGCTGTTTGCAGATGATACATCATTAATTTTTAGAATAGGTCGACGTGTTAATAATTTTGACGAAGTAAACAGATCCATTCATCAAGTTCATAATTGGTTTACAGTCAATAATTTAGCACTTAACGAGAAAAAAACAAAATGTATTAAATTTAGCTTGCCCAACGTACACAGTAATGATTGTGACATAATTTTAAATGGGCAAAAGTTAGAATTTGTTAACGAGACTATGTTCCTAGGTATTACGCTAGACAATAAACTTCAATGGGGTTCCCACATAAAGACGCTTTCGGGAAGACTGAGCTCAGCTGTTTTTGCAGTTAGACAGATTAGACAGCTCACAGACGTGAACACAGCAAGGCTTGTTTATTTTAGCTATTTTCACAGCATTATGTCGTACGGAATTTTGCTGTGGGGTCGAGCTGCGGAAGTAGATTCAATATTTATTTTGCAAAAGCGGGCTATCCGAGCGATATATAACTTGCCCCCTCGTGAATCTCTGAGAGAACTATTTAAAACGATAAATATCCTAACGGTACCTTGTCAGTTTATATATGAAAACATTATGTACGTAAGGAAAAATTTGCAATTATTTGAAAAAAGAAGCGATAGACATAATTTTAATACAAGAGGCAAAGATAGGCTGGCTGTGCCACGATTCCGTCTGTCCAAAGTACAGAAATCCTTTATGGGGTTCTGTGTAAATTGTTACAATAAAATTCCAAGAAGTGTATTAAATCTTAATGAACGAAAATTTAAAACTTATATTAAACGCGAATTATGTAGACAGGCATACTACAAACTTTCAGATTATATTGAGGACAAGAATGCCTGGCATCATGTTGGTTCGGCTCCACTGGACAATACTCAAATATGTAGTCATTAGTTATTGAAATTCTCAAAATTAATGAAACCTTGAATGAGTTTATATAGAAGCATTCTTTTGGATTGTGAGTACGCATATGTGAGCACCATGTTCGAGACAACAAAGGATTAAAATTTTAATGATAGATAGACCATCATTTGTTCCTTTTTATTAACAACTTGTCTCTGCATTGTTCTCACATAGGGGTACAGTAATGTATAAAAAATGTATTATTTATGAATTGTAAAACAAATATTTTTTTTAAAAGAGTTACGATGGAGTTTCTTGCTCGTTCTTCTCCATTCGAAACTACAATTTGGAACGAGCACCTAGCTTCACTGACGAACAGACTGACAGACTACTATTCTATTTTGACGTTTCAAAAGTACCTATTTATGGTTTATTTGGAATAAATGATTTTGATTTGATTTGATTTGAAATTTCGAATGTCAATGTCATTCACATACATGTCTTAATCTTTCAATTGGACTAGCGATTAAGCCATTTTACTAAGATGGCTGATTTTTATTTTAATAATTGTATGGAATTTTTATCGTATAAGGCAGTAAACCTGTAGAATTATCACCTTATGGTATGCAATCGGCGTCGCCCCTAGAAACCCGCAACATCAGTGGAATTGATGATGTCCTTTTGTGGGTGAAGGTTAGGGCTTAGGTTGCCGTCATGGCAGGGAATGGACACAAATGACAAAAACAACACAAGCGTTGTTCGTTCCGGGTTTTTGTGTCGCCGTGGTATCACTCCGGTCAAACGACATATTCGTGCTGTTTTTTGAGAAGGAAAAGTCATTAAATGACTTCTGTAGCCCTGGATGAGGCGAGAGGTCTGTCTAAACCACCCCGTCCTTCTCCTACCCCAAGCCTTGGCTGCGGTATATCATTGCTTTACCCTCTTTGCACTTAAAATAGAGAGAGTAAATATTTACATTATTTTTTTATCTGTTACAGGTATCAGGTATTTACTCGAAGTAATGGTGAGTCATTAAATTAAGGAATATAGACAATAGAGTACGATGTTGATTTACAATAATTGATAATATTTATCATGCAAGTATTCATCGCTCAAATTTTTATACATAATATTATGTTTAATTTTTTAACCTGCCTCGGTGCATCTGTGTAACACTCCACTATATACTGGATCTCCCAAAAACCCACATTCCCTGGGTGTCACCGAGGCATAATGCCAATTAATTAATTTACTCTAAAATTGACGTTTTAACAAATACAATTCCTTTTTCTTTTTAATACAAAATGAAGTCTCGTCTAGTCAAAATTTAGTTGACTGTTCACGCATGATGTATGTAGTGCAGACGCTTGAAGCAACCCCAAACGGTTGAGTTTCTTTTTTTATGAGATTAGTAACTTTCTAAAAGATATTTGACAACTTAGGGTTGCTCGTGTCTGTATAGTCCAATTCTAGTGATGCCCAGTCGATAGTACATTCGTATCGATATCTGCCCTAATCGATTTTATATGTAACATAAAACTTGCCATGCAAAATGTCAATGTTGATGCTTTTAGTATTCTATATTTTTTAATAGAAATAATTATTTTTAATTCAGTCTCTAAGCGATTCAATAAATTGTCGTTTTATGCTTTATAAATAATAACGGAACATTTTTTACAGAGAGTCTAAATTAAAAATAATTATGAAACCAAAATGTCCAAAATCCACTAAGTAATCCTTAACGGGTGATGCCAAATAATATAACTCGAATCATTAAAGAAGTAGTTTCCGATGTATCAAGTCTTAAAACAACGCTTTCGCTCCAAAGACTTCTCTATTGAGTCGGGTTATATGAGCCCTCCTAGTACCCGTCCAGTCAAAAGGAACGTTGTAAAATAGCCTCTATGTCGAGCTGTGAGAGTAGATTTTTTATTGTCATGCTTCCTTTTGGCTTGTTCGGATTCTTTTTACCTTTTGTGGAAACTTGCCATTGTCAATTTGATGGAAATTTTTATTTACTAATCACATGGATGTACAAATTACCATATTTATCACGATGAACCTATTTGTTTTGTTGTAGTTATAAATACTCCACTATGCACCTTATCTCCTGGTACATCATATATAAAATATTGAATAATGAACTCTATAGTTCAAATAATAATGAATATAATATAAAATCCAAGTTATTCCTTAATAGAATTTGTTACCAATGAAATATACTTAGTCGGGTCATAAGTTCTGTCAAAACCTTATATTTTTAATTTTCGATTACTGGCCAGAAATTCTTCGACTTATTTTAAAAATAGAACTTTCGCGCTTGTAGAAAATAAAAAAGAAATTATTTTTTATTCATTTTTAAATATGGAGTGGTCGAATAAAGAAGACAGAATCGCGGTTATCGCGTTGCACCGCTGTGGTTACGCGCCAAAAGACATTTTCAATATTCTTCAAAATTTGAAAATAACGTTACGGTTTGTTTATCGTACTATCAAACGATACACCGAAGAGTCAAGCTTCGAAGATCGTAAGAGAAGCGGCCGACCTCGCACAGTTCGGACACATAAGGTCATCAAAGCAGTGAAGGCGCGAATCGAACGAAATCCCGTACGTAAACAAAAAATCCTAGCTCTGCAGATGGGGCTAAGCAGAACCACTGTTAAAAGAGTACTAAATGAAGACCTGGGACTACGAGCTTATCGTAAAAAGACAGGACATTTTTTGAACGAGCGTTTAAAAAAAAATTAGGCTAGACAGATCCCGCGCTTTGCTACGACGGTACGCGGGAAAAAAATACCGCGAAATTCTTTTTTCGGATGAAAAAATTTTTACTATTGAAGAAAGTTTTAACAAACAAAATGATAAGGTGTATGCCCACAGCAGTGAAGAAGCAAGCGCGCGTATTGCGAGGGTCCAGCGTGGGCATTACCCTTCCTCATTCATGGTTTGGCTTGGAGTCTCATATTCAGGCGTAACTGAGGTGTTTTTCTGTGAAAAAGGTGTGAGAACTAGTGCCGAAGTTTATCAAAATACTGTCCTAACAAACATAGTGGAACCTCTTTCTCAGACAATGTTCAGGAACAGGCATTGGATATTCCAACAGGACTCTGCACCGGCTCATAAGGCACGAAGTACGCAAGACTGGTTGATCGCTCGTGGAATTGACTTCATCCGGCATGAAGACTGGCCCTCTTCTAGTCCAGATTTAAACCCACTGGACTACAAGATATGGCAATATTTGGAGGAAAAAGTCTGTGCTAAACCTCACCCGAATTTGGAGTCTCTCCGAGCATCTCTGGTTAAAGCAGCGGCAGACATAGATATGAATGTGGTGCGTGCAGCGATCGATGACTGGCCGCGTAGATTAAGGGCATGTGTTCAAAATGGGGGAGGGCATTTCGAATAATGTAAATAAAATTATATTGTACATTTAATGACCTTTCATTTCATATATAATTTTTAAATAATTGTCAAAAGGCGTATAAGTTATTACATCAAAAGTTTGTGACAGAACTTATGACCCGACTAAGTATAATCTCATTTATACATATAAAGCTGAACAAAATAATGAAATAATGTACAAAATGCGTTTACCTTTAGTATTACCTCATAATTTTGTATATTTGAATTAATTGCAATTTAATAGTATTGTAGTGTAATAAAATTATTATATTTTATTTGTGTTTTTTAGTAACTTATCGACAACCTTTAGATGTATGTAGTAGTATATAGGAAATATTCACTCTCCACTATGTAAAGTAGACTTTGTCAATCAATATTAAACTCTATTTCAACACAGTTAGAATGCATATCTGAATGCTTATTTGATCAAAAGTATATAAACTTTAAGTTACAACCTATAATCAACCTTATACCGAACAATAGTAAGTGTCATTTTTTTATATATAAATTGAACATCTTCAGAATAATTCCTGAAAGTTTATATACTTACAATATATCATTTTAACATATTTATTTGTTTTATCCTCATTATACACGTATATAGAATTAAATGGAATGCAATCTCACTTATCTATGGTCAACTATAAAAAGTTTTTATTATGTTAAGTGTATGTTAACTGTGTAATGACTAAAGTAGTACATCACTCTTTGGATTAAGGGTCTCTTTCATTATAACCTAAACTATGATATGATATGAACTATGTGCCCCATAAGTTTATATCATTGGGTACATAGGGTGAGCAAATAGGCCCTTAGATTGTTTATTAACCTTCATAGTCATTATACAACTACATAGCCCAAAAATAAAAAAAGTATTTCTAAGTATAAATTTGTTTTCAAAGGTTGTCGGTAAATGTAATAAGTGTAGACTAGTATTAGCACTGCCCAGTTGTTAAAAGTCCTTTAGTTTTCATACAAATCAATTGTTTTATTGTAATTTTTATATATTTCTACTTGATTAGTTTTGTTACGTTAGTAAAATTGCACATAAGATGGGACTAGTTTTGTCGACTCTTCTAAACCTTATGATGATCGGAACGAGGGTTTTGAATTTTGCATCCACGAGAGGGCGTTAGTGAGACGTAAAGTTCTATTAGTCCAATCAGCTTGGCTGTCACCAATTGACACTAGCGTCTCTTTTGGCGCGTAAATCCTCATTAGAGGAATTTGTGTGATTAGAAAGACTCCATATTGACAATGTAATAAAAGTCATAATTAAATTGAGATCAAACAAATAACGGAGCAAAACTGATCAAGTAATAAAAATCTCATTTTAAAATTGTTATCGAATTGTACTTAATTAAATTTAATTATGTTGATTTTTTCATTTTTTTATTCTTATTATTATTGAAATAAAAAAATTAAATTCTTTAATTGCAAAATTATTATTATGAAACGCTGTATCTATACAATACGCTGCAGATCTTATGAATCATTATTAAATTTATAATCGACATTAAAACGGGTAGCCTACACTTCCATTTAGCAAAAGAATTAGAATCATTTGCTCAAAATATTGTGTAATGTAATGGAAACGATGATTTTGAGTACTAAAATGATATATTTTCATAAAATAGTTTGTTAAATTGTCTATCTCTTGGATTGAAAGTTGTTTAATGGGAAATTAAAATTATCAATCACAGGACCATGCAAGTTGTATGTAATTTGTAGTTACGTAGTGCCATTAAGAGATGCGCGGGAGTCGCTAAGAACTATCGGGACTTTTATTATATCACACTTTTGTATGTTTATGTGTATAATTGGATGAAATTAGATTATGGATTCTCAAACAATATTTGAATTCTCGTTTTCTCTATTCAAGTTGCCAAGTTATGGGTGTTGCCAATTAATTACGCTTTAAAATGGACAACTGATAAATTAATTTCAAGTTGATTGTTGATCAAGAGGGATTTGACGGAACAATTCTGAATTCTATTAGTTTTATTGAATAGGGTCTAGTTTTGTGACTGAAATTCACAAAATTGCTATAAATTTTTCAAAATATGATATACATTGGAATGATATTTAAAGTATCATGGCGTTATAAAGACAGCTGTTTGAGAATTCGTCTATTTTGTCTGTGGTTTGTGTCCCAATGGTTCTGCTTCGCCAGATAAATGTCGAAATTTCTCATTTATCTTATATTTGTACGATACGCTTTAGTATTTAAATAACGAGTATCTTCCAAGACTTCAATAAATGAGGTTTTACTGGCCAAATATACGTGTCAGGAAGTTACGGTAGAATGGGAATATGTCTGACACTGCTACAACGTATTAAAGTATCATCACAGATTACATAAGAGAATTCAGGCTATTTAATTCAGAGAGAGAGAGAGAGAGACGGAAAGAAAGTTGTTGATATGCGTACTCTTTTCTACATTTTCGGTACTTAAAATAACAGAAAACAAAAGCAACTGGAAGTAAAAAAGTTAACATTAATTTTTACTTTCCATTCAGACATTATGGAGTAGATTTTTGTTGATTTGGATTATTAAAAAAGACGGATTAGGTCTGCCGTAACTCCCTATCTATCTGTTATACAACTTTAAATGTTAATCGAAGACATGTCTCCCAATGTGTTGCCATTATAAAGCACTATGTTGCCTTATATGAAAAGAAGCAGTTTTCGAAAAGTTGTCACCAACATATTTACACGGGTATTAATGCGAAATGTAATTATCCAAAGAAAATTAAGGCTGCACAGGTCAAAACTTCAATTACTTTTCGCGTTAATACCCGCGTAATTATAACGTTGTTAACATGAAACGCGAAACTTTAAAAGTTGTCACCAAATGTATTATCTTATTCCGCCTCCTTACATTTCTTAAGGATCTGATTACTAAATTATTAACTGGTTTATGTGAAATGATTTTTTCTGTGTTACCATTATAATATATATGAGGTGTAAAACACAGACATGTAATTCGATAATCATTGGAAGTTGTAAAATAGATACCAATAAAACCGGTAATGGATTTAGCCAAAAGTTAAATAGTTTTTGTAATAACTACTTATAAATAGTGAACAATAACATTTTTCCTAAAAAGACAGCGATATAGTGGTTAGTGCGGTTATTGTAGCGTCTATTTTAAAATAACTAGTTTATAGTTAAAAATAACGTAGTTCCCAATGTGTTTAACCTAAACGGTTGTGGGATGATTCTAAACTTTTTTGGTGTGGGCCTTTTTTAAGGAATGTATGCGTTTAGTCATTCTGTTTAGTTAGCTGTATTATTATTTCAAAGCTACTTGTTTACGCATTCTTCATACAAACTCACATTTTTGTTTAAAACTAGTTTAATTATACATACAAGTGCCAAAACTGAATAGTTTGATTTTTGGCGACTATTTCTATAAAATATTCATCAGTCAGCTCCGTGACGCGCTCGTTGCTCATGAATAAGAGTCCTGTAGTGACTTGAAAGTAGTAGAGCGTTTCTGAATTAATTTACGTGAGTAATTTGTTATTTCTCAATTATTTTAATATGTCTCACAATACTTACTATTCAAAGACAATAATATTTCACAAAACAAAATTAATATGCTTTATTTTTAAAAAAAAATCTAAGTTAAGGGAAGCATATCAATTAGGAGGAGTCGGCAATAGCCGTTTACATATCCGGGCTAATATGGACATTAAGGGGTTTGTAATAAAGTTCAGAATCACGCCACAACTTGGCTTTGTAGATAAGCCATTTGTACTTAGTGATGCAAGTTCTAGTGGTAACTAGACAAAATTATTGGTTTTGCTTCACTCGCTCTATGTCCACTGAAATGTTGGTATTACTGGAGTCGCTCTTTTAAATAAAATTCTCTTTTTTGTTATGGATAGTATTTTTAAGTCTAGTTTCCCTAGTTGGACTAGCATAATATTGGTGGCAGTAGGTAAAGACATATGTTCAATATGACAGATGTCTTTCCAATTGTTTACAAGAAATAACATTATTTATTTGATTGAGATTTTGGCATTAGTTTATTTTTTCTTATTATGAAAACAGCGTGGAATATATTAACAGGATGAAATAATTAAATTTTTCAGTGTCTCCTTCTCATTCAAAGTATTAGTTTTAATCAGCATTTCATTGGACGTATACGGCATTTAGATAGAATAATTCCCTAATATCAAGAAACACGACAGACACTATAAAAATAATGTATAACCAATTTTGTACATAATAAAATGAGTAATATCCTAAATAAGAATTCAAATAAAGAAAATTGAAAAAGAAAGAATTATTTCATGTTTGCATAAGAAATTTAAACGTATGCATAACAAGTTAAAGTTCAAATTACATTAAAGTGTATGTCGCGTTTCGTCAGCGAACTTTTCTATTTATTAAAATAATGAATTGTATTTTTTTTAAAAGGCAAGTGTGCAAAGTAAATATTGTTGTGAACATTTTTTCAATTTAGGTACTCGTTTCTCATATACATTTCGGTTGTGGTCAGTTTTTTTAATATTTTGTGCGGTTTTACGCGTAACGTTTTTTATAACGTTATGTTGTGTGTTGGTTTGAAAAATTGGTTAACGTTACGTTACGTTTTCGTAGATTAACGTGAAGTTTGGATACTTGAAAAATTGTTAGGGACTTTGAAGTAATGGAAATAAAATTTGTTTCAAAGATAATTTGAATGATGGCAACATGTTAATGTTACCAGTAAGAAAAATTAAAAGAAATTATATTTTGCTACTTGTTCCACATTTTCCTGCATTCCTTATATACACACGGTATATTCTTATTCAAATAGCAAGCTACAATGTCACAGCTAATGCGGCCTTGATATAAAGAATCCAGCTTTAATTTTAGCTGAACAAAAGCTTTAATTAATTATACCTAAAATGCGATACCAAGTCAAACAATACTTTTTTATATAAATACACGAGTAATTACAAACATACAGAAATTTTAAAAATAAAACATCTACTTTAAATTTGAACACTGAAAGTATCGTTTACTCTTTCCTATGTATATATTAGGAAAAAGAAAAAAATATTTTCATCTATCTGTTCCTAAAATTCCATTTTCAAATTCTTTATTTTATTATTTACCATTGACAGTCTGTATGTTTGTTATTAGTTGCCAGCACGCACATTTGTACAGAATTCAAAATGTTATTAAAACCTTATGAAAGACAAATTTTTTCGTTATAAAATATTGATCACTAGAGCGCTAGATAGGCAATAACTAAGTAATAGCTCAGATTTAAAAACAAAGAGGGAATCAAAAAATCTTTCCTCCCTTAATATTTAATGAAAAAGCGAAATATTTACTGAGCTTGAGGAAAAATTAAACAAACTGCAAACATATGTTTCGTCATCATACAACGTTTGTCCGTTATCGAGTCGCAAACTGTCAAAAATCCCTTAATGGCGGCTACCGTAATGGCGCGAAAACCTTCACTCTCAATGTCTATGAAAATCCTCTCCGACAAGCAATTCCTTAGATTTTTGCATGAACAAGCTCTACCTTGCTGTGATATGGATAATATGATAAAACCCAATGCCTTACCTATTATTTCATGCGCACTATTATTATTAATTACAAAAATAATGTTACGAATTAACGGTGACTGTCTTTCATACCAAAATTATTTTTGAAACTAAGCTCGAAGGATGATACTTATCCTCTTCTTCAAAAGTTTTACCATGGTCTTCACGCTCGCCAGGTGAATTTGAAACCAAATTTCTGGTAAATATCCCCTTCTACCTAATCTCCCTTCCTGAGTATTGTTTGATCCTTATTGACTGAACTTTCTATTTTTCTTCTGTTCCCTCCTTATTTTTCTGTAGAAACACACGATTTTCGACTTTATTGCGTTTATCCAAAATTATGGAAGGCAAATTAAGTATTGTTATTTTTTCCTTCGATTTAATTTGTGCTAACAGACAGTCACGAAATGTTATTTCAAACAAATGAGCTTCGTAACAATTAAGTAATGACAAGCGACTGATTGTTACCGTATAAAATATATTTCAAATTTATTTCTTAAGTCGTTTTGATGTGATTGTTTTAAAAGATAAGGTATTAAAATGAAAGAAGAGTATGGTTCACGCTTTATTGAAGTCATAAAAGTTTGCTAGGAGCGCTTGTTCGGCGTAGGCGCATGGTAAAGATTGTATGCGCTACGCTGTGCCTGCATCTCGTAGCTCGTAGTCGTTTCAACATTCGCTCGCCTACGCGGCTACGTAAGATCGCTACGTGCGAAAGCGCTCTAAGGAAAATCGGTCTGCTACTGAATTTACTCAAATTATGTACTTCTATTAACCAAGGCCTATTTATAAAGAAATGATATTTTTCTATAATTTGTTGGCGTTTGTTGTGGTTTATTTAGCTATATTTAAGATAATTAATATTATAAGATTGAACTTTCTTTAAAAATACGTACAATTTATGTGGTATGAATCTCAAAGTGAATGGTCCCTATGTAACTTGTCTATATTTGATTAAGTTTTATCGTTCCTATATAAATAGGCCGTAATATCCTACTTATTGCGAATAAAAATTCTAAAATGTGGTTGTAATTGTTTTACACTTTTGCCTTTATGCTACTTGTTATTTTAATTTAAGCGCACGAATTTATCGATTTGACTAAAAATCAAAAATGTTTTTTAAGTCTGTGCACACTGTGACATTTTAGTACGTTTTATTTTTTATCTGTGCCCCGTTATTTTTTTTAAATTACTTATTCGCTGGCGATGATTATGGAGTTGTGAGGCTTTTTATCACAGACTATAAAAGTAAATCGTATTAAAGTATCACAGTGTGTTCTAAATAACGTTTTAGGAAGTATCGTTGAATGTTACGAGAAAAAAAAGATAATATTTTTCATAATTAAGCACACTTTCGCCTAAACTGTCGTGAATGTTACACTAAGCATATGTGATACCTACACGGTTTATAAATAAATAATGATTTGTGAATTTTGATGTTTTCAATTTATTCCGTGTTCACCCGGTTTAGAACTGCGAAGTATGAGTATGAACAGCGCAGAATCTGAAATAATAAAGATATAGTTAATTATTTTGTCTGGCACTTTAAAATCAGTTTCCTTATTTTAATTTACAAGAAGAATTTTCATTTCATTCACATAATGAAAATTTAATAATTGTAGAATGCAAGTTTTTTAAAATTGTTCAACATAATTAGGAATTCTTAGCTTTGTGGCATTACCATCAAACTACCTTAGCTCTTCAACAGATTTTTAACATTATCGTAATACCAAAGGGTTGAATATATTATTATACTTATTTTAATTTAATACAGACCGCCACAAAGGTAGGTCGAGACAGAGATATATAGTGTCCCGCTTTAAAAATGATTGGTTTCTTCATACGCTCCATGGCAATGAACAGAGATCTCTTGAACTTGGTATCTTGCTCGTACCACGGACATTGGTACAACCATTCCCGGAGATTTTCGCTCTGAAAAACATAGTGTGGTGAGTATGGTGATTTTACTTCAGTGCATCGCATATTTGTAAATAGGCCTAAGTAACAGAATGGATTGACGACTTCTGAAAAGGTAAGTTGTTCTAAATCGCATACCTTACCTGCTTTAAACAAGCACTGAATAAGTGGGTTTAAAAGTCAAATTGTTTTACCTATGTACTTAAGTAATTTACAAGCCCTTCTTTTACATCAGTTCTAGTTACGTGGATATGCATTTTTTGTAAATCTGCGGCCGTACAATTGTAAACTGATTCTTTTTTACAATTATCTCTCAATTTCGACTCATAAACTCCTATCGCGATGATTCAACTTTCAAACGGATTTCCATAATACGAAGATAATTCTAGGTGAGGTATTAACTCTTGTTACCCTTATAGTAAGCTCGTGGCCACACCAGCAGTACAGGAACAGCTGAGACAGCATCGTGACCATATAGTTCAACATTGAGAAGAACTGCACACTGTTCTTTTCCACCTATAAGCATACCATCTTTTGAACATTCTGTGTAAAGGTAGGTACATTATTCATGTTTTTATGCTATAAAGAGGAACGAGAGGAATTTTTCCACTCTTACCCATTTTTGCTGAAATAGCGTTAATAATTCAAGTTAAAAAAGAAATGGGATAAGATGATCTTTTAATAATAGAGGCCGCACGGTTGGTGCGGTAGCTGAGCAATTGGCTGCCGTACAACACAGAGTTGTTCCGTGCGGGAATGGACGCGGGTTCGATCGGAACAACTCTTTGTGTGACTTACAAATTGTTGTTCGGGGTCTGGGTGTCATTTGTATATGAAATTGTATGTTTGTAACCGCACCCACGACACAGGAGTAAATCGGGCAGTGCGGTAATGTAAAAAAATGGTTATTTTTCAGAAATAAATTATTGTATTGTGAAATACCATATAGGTATGATATAAGTCGATTACAAAAAACCCTTAGTTGTGCAACTTACAATTGAAATCCTCAGACCAATGTTGCAGATAATAGCAACGGTACCGCTTAGTTGGAAGAAGATATTCGCGTGATATGTGTCTTCACACAGTTGAATAAGTCTGCAAAAATTATCATTTAAAAATATAAAATAACAATATTCAACAGGTACCTACCTAACCTACCTAACAGTTTTTAGAGGTATGAGGAACAGGGTGGAAAGTTCCTCATCCTCCATTGAAAAGGGAGGATCCTCCGACCAGGCGAGGTGTTCGTGCCTGGTGGGCTACTGCCCGACGGTTGTTGTCGGGATATCTGTATGGGTGCTAATTGTGTTGAAAACTCTTATAGCGCGATGTAGACTCTGGCTCGTGATTGGTGCTGTTGTTTATGTAGTGCGATAGATGTCGCTACAAGTTCATAGGAACCTATGTATTTGTTCTTCCTTACCTTCCAACCATCTGATGCTGCTTAATACATTCATCTAGTAACTTGTTATTCATTTTGATAACCTCCTTTCGACCCTCGTCTGACTGATTTGAATCGAATATACTTTGTATCTGTAAAGAGAGTTATATAGAAAATGCTCTTTATTTTGTAACTGACTTAGCAACGTCAAGCTGAAAATGTTCCGTTACTATTGCCCAATCGGTAATTGGAAAATAGTAACGAATAAAATGAAAAAACAGATGAGATTAACTGATGATATTATTCAAAACGTTTAAAGGACTTCCTAAGTTTATTTTGATTGGTACCTTTTGAATCTTATCCATAATAATCTCGAGTTCTGCACAACCGAACATGATCATACACACTGCGACGCTGTCCACTGATATGAAGAGGAAAGCGCTAATGTAGATGCTGACCATCTGATACAAGTAGCCAAGCTCATAGTCTGGTGACTTCAATGGGGTTACTGGCATCCTGAAGAACATTACCGAAGTCTCACGATGTTTTCGTAAAAACAAAAGAATAATAAGGAATGCATAGATCATAAACGTTTTGGTGTTATAACAACTAGCATAGAATCTTCTGATTCAAAATTAAGCAAAAATTAAACTTCAAAATATTTTTTCATAATGGACCTCACCAGATCCTAAAAGGGAAAGATCGTTTGCTGGCATCATCGAACAGTGGAATCATTGCCCACAACGTACAAGTGGTCGTGGCACTCGTCAGGAAGAACAAACATAACCGCTTTATCTTCAGAGCTTGAGCTGCTAAAATTCTGTTCAAGGCACAAAATACACTCGTAAAGAAATGGTTCTGAGCTAAATGATGTGATAAATATTATTATTAACAGAAATTCAACTTACAATTAAAACTGAAAAATCTCCTGAATCTATACTAATATTATGAAGCTGAAAAGTTTGTTTGTTAGTTTGAAGGCGCTAATGTCAGGAACTACTGGTTAGAATTGAAAAATTCTCTTTGTGTTTAATAGAGCATTTATTGAGGAAAGCTTAAGGCTATGAAACATCCTACGATCTGTAGGAGCCGAGCAGGGGGTTAAACCGCGCAAGAGTCTTTAATCTTTGATATTTTAAGAATCTTTGTTACCGCCTTGTCCCGTTGCTAAACAAGTTTGATAAAATCAGTTTACTTACTTTTCATGTTCAGCAGATTTGGGCTTAAAAATGTCACAGTCCATTATATCCAGAAGTTCTAATAAGTTCTTTTTGTTAATCATAAAAGTCGTGGACTTGTAACACAGAGAGGCTTGAGTAAAGAGGAGATATGATGCTTCTGATACCTCGTCAATGTCGCCCCAAACATTGACTATGTAAATAATTTCGAAAAGGAGAAAAGAATACTGGGTCCACATCACGAATAGCATGTAGAGTGTGCGCAAAACTATGTAGTTGTTGGGATGAGGCCAGACTCCATGGGCTGTTAGGATTTTTTTAGGTCGTCCTAGAAATAATGTTGTGTTTTTAACAGCCTCCATCGTTTAGAACAGAGACAATATTAGAAAGAACATACAACGTCTAAGTTGTAGAATGCCCGATGGTGCATATGACTTTTGAATATATATAGGTAGCTACGATCTTTTATTCCCATAATGCTGAATGCAAAAAGATTTCTTAGGAACTGTTAAAGTGTTTATAAGTTTTAAATTGTTGTAAATTTGAAAAGTTTTAATAGCTGTTTACCTGAACTTTGCTGTTTTATAATTGGCAGGTTGTTCGCTAATTGGTTTAGTTTCAAGTGGCAATAATCGTCATACTGAAGCCGTTGTATACGAAGGGGTTTTTGGTTCAGTACAACTAAAGATAGATTGAAAATGGCGCCATTAGATCCCATTCGTTACGTATAAATTCGCCACGAACTCTTGTTCCGAGCGCACGCCAAAGTAAGGCCTGTTATTATAAGAGGATTTGGAAGCGTGGCCTTTCTTAGCAGTAACCTGGTGGCACATCAAATCACGTCGTCAGCCTATCAGTGCCATCTGCTGAACAAGTCTTATATCCTCACACGGAGAAAGTTTGCGCATTAATCACCTCAGTTGTTCAAGGCGGATTGGTGATTTTAAACTGTAAAGAGGAGGTAATTAGAAAACCTTAACACTACTTGGTCAGTGGTATCTTAATGCCCTTAGGAAGTAGGTAGATACTGGTGGCAAACCGTGTTGGCAGAATTGCTGAACATAGACTTCATTTAAGTCTTGATTCTTTGATTTCTTATTGTATGAAACGAACATCCATCAATTTTAACCCTACTGTGGGATTGCGTAGGAAATAAAGGCAATTAAAAAGTTCTGCATCAACACAAACTTATTGTGGCTCATAATTAAAATAATTATTATTGACTCATTATAGCTACAGCTGTTCCATAGATTTGGTTTACATAAAACAATAATAAGTATTTTGTATATTTTTTTTCTCTTAATATAAATTGCCCTACACTAGGGTCTCCTCCTGTGTCGTAGGTGCGTACAAACATAGAATTTTACATACCTACACATCACACCCAGACCCAAAACAACGTGTGGATTACACAAGGTGTTATTCCGTGCGGGAATCGAACGACACGTTGCATGGCAGCCAGTTTCCCAGCCACCACGCCAACCGTCCAGTCGAATTTTACACTGCATATTACATTTTGCATGTTGCATCCATATCAGAATGCACTGCTCGCGACGCCATCAATAGCTGAATGACTTACCATAACATTTTACATCTCACATCATCAGCCTATCAGCCTATACTTTATACTTAATAATAATAATTGGATAGTTTCCTAGGTCAAAAATAAATTAATTCGACGTTTCAATACAATAACATATTGAAAAATAACTATACTTTCATTAATCGAACGATCGATATACTAAATTTTTGATACTTTTTAGCTAATTTTTAAGAAATAAGTACCTCCGCTATTTGACGCAAAAGTACTATGACGTCATAACTCAGTATTTCATACAAATTTCATAGAAAAGTACCTATAGTTTTTGACATTTGGACAAAAGTATTGAATTTGACTAGTTGGAATCTACCGTTTGCTGAAAGCGTATTGGTGATTTGAAACTGACAATAAGGAATTATAAATCCATGTTTCAACCGTTTGCTAGTGGTATCTGAATAATCTTAAAGTAGGTACATACCTATATATCTATAACTCAGAAAAGTCGCATTGTTAGTTGCCAGGTTTGGAACCTTCGTGTCTAAGAAAGGTGCCGGAAACTCTGGGCCACCACCTTAACCTTAACTTCTGGGTCATATCACATAAGGAAGGTAGAATAAAAACAGTTTATTGTGCGTATTTTGATTTTCTATTTTTGTTGTCTTCATATTTACACGATGTTTTATCATCATTGTCAAAATGCTGTGCAAAAAATACCTACATACATAAGTAAAAAATATGTCTGCTACAATTAATGTATATGAAGCTTCTTCTACGAAGTACCTTCGCCTCGTCTCGCTTTCTTACTGAGCTTGATTCAAAACTGCGAAGTAAGAATAGGACATACGAAGGATCTGTAACAAAAGTTAAAAATTACGTAAGTTATCCTAAGCTCTTTTCTGTATTTTCTTACTAGTTTTTTTGTCTCTCGAAACTCAAAAAGAAATGATTAAATGCGTAAAGCATAACTGTGGGAGAATCACGGCACGAATGGGTCGCCGCGACCGGAGTGATACCTCGGCCTCACAGAAAAAAGAAAAAGCATGAAACAACAACAGCCTTGTGTTTCGCCGTGCGAGTGAAGTTACTGAAGGCCCAATATTCTTCCCCTCAACCAATCCCTAGTCCTCAAAAGGTGGGCAACGCAGTTGTACCTCTTGCATCGTTGCGGATATCTACAGGCGGCGCTTATTGCTTCCTTAAGGTAATCCATATTAATAATTTGCCATCCTATCTCATAAAAAAATTTAGTATAATAAATATACCAACTGCTACAAAAGTTTGTCGCGACAGGATAATGTAATGCCCAGCACGAAGAAACAGAGGACGGCTGATGCGCATCATGGCGAAACAGAGATCTCTCTTAAACTTGACGTCCTGTTCATACCAGTAACACTTGTACAGCACCCTGTGCAGATCTTCACTCTGAAATACAAGTTTTAGTTAAGATTCTGGTCGAAGAAAAATATTGTCGCTTTCTTCCCGTCTCTTATTTTGATTGACCAGCCTTTTTTTGATAAGGGAAAAACATCCGATGACGTCTCACTCTCTCTCGCCTGGTGTCAGACTCTTGTGACTAAAAACCATCTCGTTCCTTCTCCCGCTCTTAACCCGGCCACAGAAAATAGTTGCGCAGCTGTTGGCTGGACACCAGCCGCAGAGAGCCCATCAATGGTGGTCTGTTGGCTCTAAGAAGGGAATGCAACCCGGTTTTACCGAAATTCGAAAACCCGGGTTTTTGTGATATTTTAAACGGTAAAAAAACTCGATTTTTTTTTAGCCACGTTTCCGGTTTTTCGGTGTTTTCGGTTTTTTTAATGGCAACACGAAGAAGTGAAGACTAGGCTGCATGGGCTCACGCTCTTTGCCTTCCCTTACATGGGAGAATCTTAAAGAAAAAAGGGATGTTTGTTTAGGTATTATTACTCTTCTCTGTGGTTTGTTTCTATAATTTAATAAGTTTTAGCTATTTTCGAAGTAAAAAATATAGAATTAAAGTAAATTTATCGTACAATTTCAAGTGTTCATCGTGCAGTACAGTTTTTTCTGTTATTTAAATATTATTGTAGGTAGATGCACTAGAGTACAGACAGTTCCTATAAATACTTTAAAAAGTAAAATATTCTTTAAGCAATGTTTAATGATTTGTTATTTTCATTTTCAGTCATTTTCAGTATCTTAGCTGTAGCTGTTCTATCAACACGATAATTATGTTTATTCAGTGAATTACTTGTCTAAAGTTGATTATTGTAAGACTGATTGTTAACGATTTCATAGTTTTACGAAAACTATATCTAAATAAATTAAAGTTATTTTCCATTGATCACGATTTTTTATTCGTTTCCATGCAGTTTATATAAAAAAGTACTTACAAAAAAAAAAAACTCGTTTTAAACCCGATTTCACCGAAAACCGGGTTTTTTAAAATAGAACTCGAAAATAAACCCGGTTTTAAATTTTGGCGGGTTTTGCATTCCATACTCTAAGACGCGCGCGAAACGCAGCATGCCGTACGCTCAGGTACAGTTCTGGTCTGGCGGTGAGCTACCCGCAGACCCGCGCTTAGAGAAGTAATTAATTTTATTTTTGCAAAATAGTTACTTCCGTCGTATTCTGGAAACACTTAAGAAATAATACTTTCAAGGTTATTTACGCACCGTAGCAGTTAGTTCGTGGCCACACCAGCAGCAGACAAATAGTTGACTGATCATCACAGACAAATACGTTAAAATGGAGAAAAACTGCATACTGCGCCAATCCACCTAATGTAACAAAAACACATACTTTTTATAGGTCATCACAGCAATGCTGCTGGGGGTTTGATACGAAAATAATATACAAAAAAAGTGACAAAGAGTTTTTGAACGGCCCATTAACGGACATCATGAGTGCAGATAGCGTTCACACAGCCAGACTACCCCTCATCTACCGTATACATATATGTAGATCTTTATCTGTCGTATAGTATATACGAAGTCGTATCATATATAGACAGTTGAGGACGAGTCGTGCCTCTTGAATTTGTCACGCAGTCATCGCTTTTGTCTCACAAAAGACGACTCTAGATAGGTACTACTTGTACAATAAAATAAAATGTAACATGGCTATATTATCCGCCAGTTTTTAGGTCAGCCAGATTCTTACATAACTATCGACTATCTTCGTTTTCTTCAACGACCTGTGAACTTGATTACTTACAACCAAAATCCTTAATGCGGACATACAAATTATTCCAACGCTGCCAATTAATTGGAACAGAAGATATGAATGGTAAGCATTTTCCACCAGCTCCGTGAATCTGAAAACATTATATGTTTTGCTGCGTATTCTACCACCATAAAGCAGTTAGTAGTCTAACTGTATGTTAGTTCCGCTTCAATTATAGGTATAATCGACAGGAATTAGCATCCCTGATCATTACCAGTAATTCAAAAAAGCTCATACTTGACCTTAATTTTAAGATTGGGAGAGCCATTCTTCGGCACTAGTGAGCCTGCCCGACCAAGTACACTATAATTGTATAACGTTAGCCGTACCACGGCCTTGTAGAAAATCGGAGTGAAACCGACCGTGTGAGTGAGGTTATCGGAGGTCCAATTTAGCCATCCCCGTTCTTAATCAACCAATCCTCAAACCCCTCATTACTCATTAGTCATTACATTAAAAACCAATTAGTTTTTGTAAAACAAGCCTAGTGGATTTACATCAAATTAGAAAAGTAGGCACTCAAAGAAATAAACCTGATCATACTTTTATACAAATAAGTTTATGAGGGTAGAACCTTAGACCATGTAGACTATTTCTCCATGGTTAGAACAAACAAAACTCTTACTTGACAATCGCTTGATGATGCTTAATACAATCGACCAGTTTGTTGTAGTTTTTTGCTAAGGCCTCATCCACCTCCTTAGAACCACGATTTCCTTTTATGGAAGTTATCTGCAACGTTTTGAGAATGATAATATCATCATCATTAGCAAATAAGTGCCCACTGCTGAGCAAAGGCCTCTTCGCACACTATGAAAGTTTGAGCATTAATCACCACCTTTGCTCAAGGTGGATTGGCAATTTCCAACTTATAATTACAAATTATAGGTCCAGGTTTCCTTACAATGTTTTCCTTCACTGTATGTCAGTTCATATTCCGTAATTATTTTATACCTGACAAATACAAAGATGAAGGATTTTTGATCAGTCACTACTGCCTACCAGCCTGCCTAGATATTAGTTTAAATATTTGTTATAATATTGGGGTGATCTCCCATTGTGATCGACGTAGGTATTTAAATGAAAAAGTAACCCACACTCATAAGCTTGTCTTTGATGATATCTATTTGGGCGCATCCGAAGATGACTGAAGAAAAAGTGACGCTGTCCACGCCAAAATACATGTAGGCGCTGATGCAGATTGTTCCCAGCTGGAAGGCGTACCCGATGTAGTACTGCACGGCATCTTCTGGGCTTACTGGCATCCTGGTAACAACGGTCACACTTAGATCAGAAATGTAATTTCAAAAATTATTTTTAAACAGTTGCCATCGGAGGATTTTATTTTTATTAATTCAAGGCACTGCACAAACGTAGAAGATATCGTGTAACAGCCATATGTACCTACTTACAGACAATCTGACCGAAATTTGGTCTTATCACCACTCTGACATTCTTGTTGCAGGTAGGAACTTTTATTTAAGTACAGATAAAGTAGGTAAATCGTATTTTTAATTAATCACTTACCACATGTCGAAAGGAAACTTCCTATCAGCATCGTCGAACAATGGTTTCAGAGCCCACATGCCGCATGTTATTTGTGAGCTGATCATGAAAGCTAAGAGCAGTCGCTTTATTCGGGCCGCCTGCAATTCCAACAACCTGATTGGGCTAATCCTGTTTTATTTCTTATAAAATGAATATTAGTTTCATGCCGGAGTACACCAAGTGTAATGAAGAAAGCATTTTAACAATAATAATTTTAATTCGTTTAAAGAAATTATCAAATTCTTTGTACTCCGGCAATTTATTACCCGGTACCTACTTTTCATGAGTATCATTCTCAGGTTTAAAAATCTTTGCATCCATCAACCGCAGCAAATCTTTCAACATAGGCATATTTATCTGAAAAACGGTCACTTTTAAACAAAGACACGCCTGTGTAAACAGCAAATAGGACGCTTGCGATACTGCGTCCAAATCTCCCCACACTTGTATGATATATATCATTTGGAAAATTAAAAACAAATATTGCAATGTGATCATGAACGCCCTATATGCTTTCAGGAAGCACGATGCATTTTCTGATAATACCCAAACACCTAAATATTTCATCACAAATTTTGCCCTATTCAGAAAAAGATCTTCTGAGGAAACCATTGTGGTCGACCCGTTTCTAAACGGTAAAGACATAAAATTATTTACTCGTACTAAGTATGATTGATATACAATCTGTTATGTTTGTCCATTTCAGAAATGAGGTAATTATTGTAAACAACTGAATAATGGCGGTCCAATTACATGTAGTAGTAGTATCTAACGATATGATGGCTCGTAATGATAGAGCCGGAATACAATTTGGCACAGGTAGGTATTTTGCGTCCTAACAGTACACAGGGTGATTGTTTAGTAATGTTTAGCTTAGGAATTTATTCATGTGAATTCTACCTAGTACCTCTTGAATCGAGTATTCTGTACTCTTTTTACAAAAGCAACACATTTTTATTAGGGTGTGTAATATAATCGAGGATTCCTACCCCTCGAACAGAACAGGGATGATCACTTAACTACATATTTTATTTTAGGTGGCAAGTAACCGATGATTCGCCTTTACTCCTCATAGACCATTTCCTTTAGGATACGTCGCTACTCAGCTCAAATACGGCACACCGCCACCGTATGCATCACACAGTAACGACACTATTCCGTCATGTAAGCGTTTATTCCAGTTCCCCACGTAAGAAAGAAATCAAGGGATCGTGTACATTCATTTTGCGTATGATTAGGCTAATCGTATCACATGACTATCAAAACCTTCCATTTTATTAATTGAGCTATGCCTACTGCTTTGAATATTTAAGTGGACATACCTACAATCTACATGCTAAGTACATGCCCTTTTTCTTTTCGAATGTCCTGTAAAGCTGATACATTCTTTGACAAGCCTTTTTAGAGTCAATATATAGTAAACGTGGTTAATAACAATAAAATTATAGAGTAACATCATTAAATCCTTTGTTTGTATTCCGTATAATAGACCAATCAATGTTATTAAATGTACATACACGAAGTAGTTAAGTGGTCTGCTTGGTGGATTTAGGTTTAGTAGTACAATGGAACGAGTCCTTAAGTAGTTGGAGTTCAATTTCCGGATCACGTCAAGCATTATTGATAAAAACTTATTGATTAGAGGAATAAGGGTTGATGTATTGACAGTGCCTCTGTCCTCTTATAAAAGAGGTAACTTAGACCTCTACTAACTTTGTACTGATTATCATCAATTCATCAGCATCTCTCAAAATTATACTGACGTTTTTTCTGTATTAAATTACATTTAAAATAAAATAATTGAGTTGTTGCTCGAAGCAAGCAGATTATTTCATAAAATTCTTTCTAAACGTTAGAATTTTGAAAGAACACACATTGGACACGTAGACCCTACATTGTTATCGTTATAAATATATTTAAATTTTTATTATAATTAAAAACATTGTAGAAATAAGTATTAATTAAAAAATAATAATAAGCAAACTGTTTCCGAACCAAAAATTTGACGTGTGATGTGTCAGTCTTACGTCAGTCGGTTGAAATGTCAAAATGATCGCCTTAGGTACAAGCGATCTAAATAGATAATTTAAACATTTTCCAACAATTCGTCTCAATAATGGTGCCTTCATAATACAATGATAGTGACACGTTAGCATGGAGAATAATATAATGGAGTTTACATTGCCGCCAGCCCCACGGGGACTGTGCTTTGACAGAAACGACTTCGTCAAGGTATTTTCGCCGATTTCCTTGAAATTAATCATAAAAACTAATTTATTGGGCTTAGAGTGTCTGTTAAATTTGTAATTTAAAATTCCAGACGAACTTTTCCGTCGACAATTTTCTGGCGGAGCATCAAAATGTTGCGTCGTTGGAGACAATGCGAGATGACCTAGGGGTGTACTTAAAAGTCCTTAGACTGGCTATGATAGAGCTAATTAACAAGGACTACGCTAACTTTGTCAATTTGTGTGCTACTCTCATCGGGTTTGACAAGGCTATAGTAAAAATACAGGTGCCATTAGGACAATTGAATGATGAAGTTCTTGTAAGTGACATTTTCACTGTCTTAGTTAACTTATCTAGATATTAAAATATGTTATCTATACCGCAGTGTAGTAAATGAACCTACATAGTTATTGTCTCCTTAACAGGTGTTGCTAATTTGTAATTTATTGGCTAGTTTTTATTCTTTTATAGAGTGTCAAGCAATGCCTAGAAGATGCAATGAAGGAGTTGTCACTGTGGATGAGCCAGAGGCATGGCCTACAAAAGAAAAAGCAGCTGCTCAAGCACTATAGCCAAACAATAAACTGTCTTAAAACCTTAGATAGTATATTAAAAAATATAAGTCATAAAAAGAGACAAGAACAGGTAGCTCTTGCCGATCGTGCTGCAATGCAATACAATCAACTCAAGTTTTCCATAGCAAAGTGTGACAGTATTTTAAAACCAGAACATAAATTACAATACAATGAAATAGGAGGCAAACTGACACAAACACTTAATGAATTACTATTCTACTTTTGGAATAATAGTGAAGAAGAGAACCTCTTAAAAATCCTCATCACTTTAGCTTCTTTAGACCGAGTAAAAGAGTCTGAAATGCTAATTAGAAAGCAAGCGGTTGCACCCCTTCTCCAAGATATAATTAATGAACCAGCTCTACAGAAAAGTAAAGAAGGACTTCAAGGAATCTATGAAAGAATTTTATCTTTACTAGACACAAAACTAAAGTTGCTTCTAACTGTAACACAACATTCCAAACTGTCATTTCTGGTTAAAAAATATAGATTTCTAGTAAACTGCTTTTGGTGCGAAGTAGAAAATAGGTTGGAAGTTAATCTAGCATCAATTTTCGCACCTGGTAACCCTCAGATATTTTATAGAAGGTACAGTGAAAGTGTAGAATTTATTAAGAAACTTGAGAATTATTGTTCTGAAGAAGATATGAAGTTGCTGCATGATACTTCAGAGTATAAGAGCTTCCAGAGAAGATGGAACTTGCCAGTTTATTTCCAAATAAGGTTTCAGGAAATAGCAGGTAAAAGTTAATAAATTTTTTATTTATAGGAATTATTGTTGGTTAGTAGCTGACACATTCATTTTGAAAAGTCCATTCCAATAGACAAACTTCTCACATCAAATTCTTTTCTACATTATTGACATTTTCTACATTATTCTTTTCTACATTATTGTGGTAGGTGTTTGGCATAAATAGGGGCCCATATTGCGTCAAATAACGCGTCATACGTCATGACCTAAATTAAACGTTTGAATCATCCCAAGTACCAAATCCCTGCTATAATAAACGCAACAAAATGTGGGTGTTTCGTCAATTCGTGATACAACAACACAACTTAATTTTTTCATTCTGGCTTAAGATTTTTTTGCTAATTACATACCTAGCTTTATTAATAGTATTTCCTATCTGGATGTAAGCCAAGAAAGGCTTTTTACACCAAACATTGTTGACGGTACTCACAACAAGGTTACATGGAAAAATTTCAAGTTTGCATTTGTTTATAAAATGTACAAACAATCACAGGAAGTTACGAGTCGGCGCTTCAGAAGAGCCCTACAGTGGAACCGAACGACGCATTTGTACTGAGAGAAACACAAAAATGTTGGAATGCAATCCAGGAGTGCTGGTCGGACGGAGTATACATCGAAGCCCTGGCCCACAAGTTCTGGAAACTAACTCTGCAACTACTATCGCGGTATGCCACGTGGGCTAGCGCGTATTGTACACAGGTAATAAACATTTTTTACGCGGCGATTTCAAACCTTGATTGAGTGTCCACTGATAAAGTTGTATGCATTGATAAGCTTTATGAAATGTGCCCGATTTTATCGTCGGCTTAATAGGTACACTTGTAAAACTCTAAGCTCTTTGCTTTAATCGCTGGGCAATTAAATGCAAATAACAAGGACATACTATTCATAGTATGGTATAGATTAAGACTTAGGTACGAAATTAGTTTTCATAAACATGTGCGTTTGAACTACTTTTAATTTGTCTTGATTTTTTTTCATGCAACTGTCAATTAATTTAGTTGCTATATGTTTAGATACTTGCTGATTAATTTATACATAATAGTAAATAGATGACGTCATGCAGCTGTAGATTGTCACAATGTCATGGTCTAAATGTGTTATTGACACAAAAACAATAATTTCATTATTCTGTTTCCAGCGAATACCATCACAAAAGTATGAACCAACAAATGTAAATAAAAACTTAATAGATAACAGTATTAACATCTATGTGGATATACAAAGTTTATTGAGAAAGTTGCCGCAATTATTGGAGCTTGTCAAGACCAAAATAACTATTAAAAACAAGGACATTTTGGGGCAGAGCTTGAACGCTTCAGAGACTATTCTACAGGGTACGAAGGAGAAAATAAAAGATTGCGTAGTCAACGAACTATATGAAAATTTCAATGTCCATCTGAAGCAAGTCAGCGACATACCGCGACTGTATCGTAAAACTAATCGTAGCGTACCGAATAAACCATGCACGTACATAGATGTCGTGTCGAATGCCTTGAAGGAATTCAACGAGGAAGCTTCCAAGAAGTTGGATAATGCATTTACCATGGAACTATTTGAATCACTATTCAACATCATGACGGTTTCGTAAGTATCTATTGTCAAATTATATTTTTATTGTAAGATAGAATGCAATACGAGCTGGGTTTTCCCCGAATACATACCTACTAATGTCGCAACATATTCCAAATTCTCATAAAGTTTTAATTTGTTATCATTTTATATGCGATAAACGGGTATATAAATAGAAACTTGTGTTCCAGATACTACAAGTATGTAGAGGATGTTTTAACCTCGGTTCAGAAAACCGAAGAGTCATTGAGAAGACTGAAGCAAATTCGAGAGATGGGTTCCACTCAGAGCAGCGACAGCGCGGGAGTGACGGACGGCGACAAGATCAGGCTGCAACTGAACGTGGACGTGGTCTCGTACGGGAACCTCGCGCGCACACTCCGCCTCAATGTAAATAGTGTTCACAAGTTCCCAGAACTATCGAGTATGGTAACAGATGCTGTAAAAAATATAGATATTAAATGATATGCCCAGTTGTATACTAAAGTTTTTTTGTTTAACCTATATCATCTAATGTATTATAATTAACTATTTATTAGAAATAAAAGATATTTATTTTTAACATAAACATGTATTTGATCAGCTGAATAAAAATTGTATGATTTGAAAAAATAGAAACCATTCACTTATCACTTAAAATAATTAACAAGATAAAATCTTACTAATACTATTTGTGTGGAACAAAATATTTCATAATTGTGTTCGGTTTAGCTTTGTTCGTTCTAGGACTACTTCTCGGCATCTCTGAGCTAGAGGGGTTTTTCCACATGGACTTGAGTTCCTTCTGCATGTCGTTGGGGAGTGCATTGAACACTTCTTTATCAACATAGCTTGGACAGTCATCACAATTCTTTTCTTCACAGTCTCTCATAGTGTCTGATGTATCAGACAAGTTGTCTTTTGCGGGACTGGCGCGTGGCGTGAGTGATCGGTCACGGGAATTCAGTCTTAGTTCTGACACCTTTTCAAGCTCTTTTGAGTTTAGTCGGAGTTCGCCAACTTTTAATTTACTTGGAGATGCAACCTCTTCTTTGGCCAGACATCTTCTTTTTGCTATCCATGTAACTTTTTTGGGTTTTTTTGGTGATGGCTCAACTTCAGCATCAGAGAGATCGGTTGTTGTGCTACTGCTTGGCGACACTGCAGAGTAATCCATAGATGTGGCAGATGTATCACATTCATTTTGTAAATTAAGCACAGATTGGACGGAAATATCATTCATTAAGTAGTTCACTATAGACCCCCTGCCTGTCATGCGCTCTTGGAACTTGGTGAATGCCAATCCCACTAAAGTTAAATGGAATGGTTTGGTCAAATCAATTAACTTGTTAAATAATCTCATAATTATGTTCATCAGTTTCTGCTGGCCTGCCTCTGTCACTGTCAGAGTGCCACTGGTAAGGGTAAAAATGGAAGGAGAGATCTGACTCTGTCTTGATTCTCTGTGACTACTCAGTCTCTTGGCATCTTTCTTCCGAAGTGTGACCCTCAAAGAGACTGGAATACGTCCATCTTCCCTGACTAGGACTAGCAATCTCTGTAGCAGTGCAGTGAACTTATCTTCCACCTCACTCCGGACACTAACAATCTTGAAACTGTCCTCCAGGCCAATGCTCTGAGGTTTACCCGTCTGTTTTACTGGAGTATTATCTTCACCTATACTTAAACTTTTCAATCTGACTGCCATATCACTACTAAAGTGCTTTTTCAACACATCAAGGGATGCCTCCTGTAAGTCACTTACAGTTATGATATTGTTAGATATAAGTGCTTCTGCAGTTTTTGAACCAATACTTGGAATGGACCGTATACTCTGTAAAGTGGACATGAAACTGGTCCCATGTTCAGGGAATATAATAGTTTGGTCATTCGGTTTGTTTTGGGGACAAATTAGTTTAGCTAACAACTTGTTGTGTGCGATACCAGCGCAAGTTGTGAAACCTAAGTCATCAAATATTTTTTTCCTCATGTCACTAGCTATCTGTGATGTTATCCTCAGTCTGGTGTGGCAGCCACAGGGGCAGTCTATACTGGGCTCACTGTACACATGACCAGCATGAGAAACATTGCTACTGTTTACAGATTTCATCTTCTCTTGTACTAAATTTGTGACATCAATGTAATTTTCATCCATACCCAACTTCTCCACTGGACACTTCCAACACTGTAAAACTGCAAATATCTTATTAGAAGCAGTTCTGTAGTTGTGCAAATCTTCACCATTTACAAGTTTTAAATTAGGACAAAGTTTTAACGCTTCCGTAACAAGCATACATTTCTGCACGCCGTACTTCCTGGCCTCGTAGTTGCTTGTTACGACGATGTTCTTCTGTTGTATGCCGAGCGGAACCGACCGCAACTCCGGATTTAGTACCATCTCCACTTGTGCATAGAAACAGTCTACATCGATGTGAATTATACACCGAGCGTGTTCGCTATCAACATCATTGTAATGAGAACAGCCAGATTCCATATTCCTGGAAATTAAAGCATAGTTTAGTCATAATTTACTTTGTTCTAACTTAGTTTTACCTGTTGCGATACAATGTGAAAAATTAACAAATACCGTACCTATCGTCCATGACCGTACCATTGAAAGATTAAATATATTTATTAGTATGTATTTAAGCTTTTTGAGTTACAAATTAGAGCTTTTCTTTCATAAATTTCCAAAATATTGATATTTTATATTGGACAATCACGACACATCAACAGAAGGAATGTTACCATGCTAATAAAAGATTTCCCTCGTTTTTTTTCAATGTGATTGTACGACCCACTGAAAAATATTTTTCGAAAACCGTCATCTATTAGACTATTACAGAAAATAGTGTTAAATAATAACAAAAACCCTTTTTTGTACAAAATATCGAAATTTGTTATTAATATTTAATATTATACTTAAAATATATTTGAAAATCTAAAATTAGTAAATGTTGCATCGAATAAACAAATCGACTAAACAGGGTTTGTAATTTGACGTTTAACATTTTGACGTTTCATCAATCTACAATCACCATACGTCATTTTCGCGAACGAAAGTGGGTTGAAGTGAAGATAAGTGGGTGTTCATGTTCAATACAACTAACAAATAAACAGCTAAATACCGGAATTTACAGTTATGAACTCCTGAAAAACAACGATGGAAGGGCTACCTTCGGGTGATATACAGGCGAAGTACCAAAAATTGGCGGCGGAGTATTCTAAAGTGTGTATCTTTGCTTAACTTGATGCGGTAAATTATCGGCAATTTGGTGAATTCGTTGTTTCCGTTGTTGCAGTTGCGGGTGCATGTCAAGGTGCTAAAGAAAGGTGTTTTAGATGAACAGGCTAAGTCGAATGAACTGCGAGAAACGCTCAAGGATAAGGAGAAATCTTTGAGAAAAGGGGAGTTGGAGATAGATTCGTTGACATTCAGAAACCAGCAGTTGACGCGGCGGGTGTCCGTCCTTCAGGATGAACTCGACGCGTTGCAGGTCAGTTGCAGCACTTGTAAATTGAACAGGAAAGTCTCACGTTTGTTTAGTCATCTGCTGATAAATAACTTTATCTTAATTATCTGTGGTTATCATTATCTGGTTTACAAACAATATCGCCAAAGTTAAAGCCTGTTTCACCATTGTCAATTACTGTTATCATTATGAATACAAGTTTTGACACAATGGAATGGAATAAATGAAAATGTGAAGTAGGCACTACCATCCTTTTTTTAAATAAATTCATAAGTGTAGCCCTAAATTAGGCTAAATACTTAAGAAGAGGTGGTAAGACAGGGCCATAATTTGAATATTGTTTTAGTTCACCTTGTTCTCAATGATATGCTCTGATTATTATTTTTTTAAGTAGGTTTCTCTTCCACTTAGATGCTACTAAATTTAAATTTTAGAAAAAATATTTAGTTTTACTACTACTAAATTTTATAAAAAGTGCATCTTGATATGCAATTTGATGTTTGATAATTGCTTTGTCTGTCTGATTTTATCAAACCTTGTTTTATCTTGAAATTAAAAATAAACACAGATATATGTGTCAATTGTAATTATTTATGATGGACACATGTTATATAATGTAAACAAAAGGAAATACTTATATGAATCTGTTGTATAAATTTCTTATAAGTGAATGGGAAACTGTTATCAATTTATTTATAAAACATGTTAGAAGGCAAAAAGATAGATTCTTTTGTGCTATCATTACCTTATTTTTGCCAGTTCTCAATGTTGGTTTTTATGAAAAATACAATGCTTACTTCCTCTCAGTGCTCTGTGTCTTTCAATAATTAAAAAAATAGTTAAGTTTTGGGCAAAAACCTGAATACATAAACATAAAAAAACAGTATGATTTGTAAAACAATGCTTTCAAAAAATGGTACGGAATATCCATATACACTAAATTGAAATATAAATTATTTTATTAATTCCGCAGCTAAAATTGACAAAGAAATCAAAAAACAAGAATGATGACAAACAACAGGCAACAGCAAGTAGTGCAGCTGCATTAGACTCTGGACTTCTACAAGAAGAACTGCAGAAGAAAATTATTGAAAATGCACAGTATGCTTCACAGGTATAGTTACTTTTTTAATGTGCTTTTGTTACTATGCATGTAAAGTTTGTGTTTGTGTCCACTGCATAGAAAAGCTTTCTTGATGATTACTTTCTGTAGTACCTTCTCTGTGTGAGAAGAGGCCTTTATTCAGGAATGGGTTGATTACAAGCTTATGATGATTATTATTGAAAATAAAAAAGAATACCCTACCAGACATGCCTTTTTTTATGTAATAGGTCGGCAAACAAGCAGACGGATTACCTGATGGTAAGTAATCAGCGCCGCCCATGGACACCCGCAACAGAGGAGTTACGAGTGTGTTGCCGACCGTTTAGGGATTAGGGATTTGAAGATTTAGGGATTGGGGGAGGGGAAGGATAGGGCCTTCGGTAACCTCACTCACACTGCGAAACACAACGCTGTGGTTGTTGCACGCCGGTTTTCTGTGAGGCCGTGGTATCACTCCGGTCGAGCCGACCCGTTTGTGCCGAAGTATGGCTCTCCCACACTTAAGAGCCTATGCCTAAGCCTTCCTTGGCAGTTACAATTGTACTGCATCAACAAAGCTATAATATAGACAAATTTAAACTTTGCCCTTAGTATTTAATAAAAAAATATCTTTATTTAAATTACAGCTGTCAGACAAAGTATTTGAAGTATCTCAGCTTAGAGCATCGCTTGAGGACTACCAGAGACTTATAAGTGAGAGTGACAATAAATATAAATGTGAGATAGCCAAGTTGAAGAATAAGAACCAGGAGTTACAGTACTCACTTGAGGAGGCGCAGAGGGAAAGGATAGGTGGCACTCCGAATAAAATACACCTGGCTACTAGCAGTCAGACTGCAAGCTGTAATGGAGACTTTTTGTCTGAAGGAGGGAGTTTGGTAAGATATATTATGCTTTTTTTAAAACATCATAAGCATCTACAATCTTCGAACAATTTAATTTTCGTTTTGTTAAAATACAAATGATGACCCACAATAGGATTTCTCCTGTGTCGCGGGTGCGTTTACAAACATGCAAATTCAACACAAGCAAGAATCAATTTGTGGATCGCACAAGTTGTTCCGTGCGGTAATCGAACCCGCGACACGTTTGCACAACAGCTATGAGCCAACCGTGCAATCTAGTCTTTATTTGATTATAAAAATACAAAATGCATATGAAGATAAAAGTGATTTAGTCTTATTATCAGCTTGGGTGATCCAAGAATTGTGTCTTGTATCTCTATCTCTGTTCATTTGTTTACAGGTGGGTAGTGAAGATGCGCTTAGTTCTGTAGAAGATATAAATGTAACTGAGCAGCTCAGTATAAAGGCACATTCATTAGAACAGGTACAATTTACAGAATCTTTTTTCTTTCTTTTCTTTTCAAAGTAATGCATACATTGTTGAACATTCGCAACATAATCGTTTTTTTTTTTTAATTTTGGTGGGTCTAAAATCCTGTTTTTCTCACGCAAAACAAGACTGTCAGACAAGTGTTTTTAAACTACTTGAAATTGGCAATCTCTCTTACAGTTTGTCTTCACTAATATTGTAGTAAAAAGGAAAGATTTTATACATTATGTATGTTTGAATTAAATGGGCGAAACTACTTTACCAATATGCAAAATTATTACACTGTGAAGCTACTCTATCCCCTTTGACCATGGGCTACTATGCGGGTAAAACTGTGGGGCACAGCTATATGTACATTTATTGAATTATAGTGTAGGTAATGTTTTTTTATATAGTCAAAAATAAAAATAGTGACAACCTTAACTAATTCCAGGAAAACCAAAAACTAAAAATGGAGTTTGAAATGCTTCGAATGGAAAATGAGAGTCTGAAACTAGAAGTAGCAAAGTATGTGTCCGCTTCTCAGAGGCGGAGAGGTGATGGTCATGATTCAGGTGACTTCAACACTTTTGGGGAGACCTCAGTCGATGCTGAGGGTAGGGTCACAGGTCTTCTGGGTAGTCTACAGGTACCTTTCCTTCTCACCCAGGAAATTGAGACACGGGAAGAAAGAATGAAAACATACTTTAGGAATAAGATTAGCGAACTGAAGATAGAAAAAGAAGAACTAAAGAGTAAGACTGAACATTATGTTAAAGAGGTGAGTTGTTATTTTTTAAATGTATTTTGGACCGTATTCCTATATGCCGTAGAGTTTGAATACCTATCCAAGGTCTTTTTTTGCAGCACAAACTAATCTTGGAGTACTAATCTTTATTTTTTATTCTATAGCACATAAGGACTAATTTCCCAAATCAAATTACATCCCACTTTCCATATGGCATTCCATAATCAACTATATCATATAATACAGAAAAACCAAATTTAGGAGACCTACTCTTCGGATCGAATGAGCCGGCTCGACCGTAGTGATACCACGGCATTACAGAAAACTAGATCTTGAAACAACGCGTGTGTTATGATTCGCGTCTATTCCTATATCCCCCTAATCTCTAAAAACCTCCAATCCCCATATTTGCCCATTCCAATACAGTCTTTTAGTACATAGCTTTGTAGGTTTGTTAGTGTCCATAGCGACTCCGATTGCTTATTATAAAGTGATCCTAATACTCGTTAGCTGCTTTAAGCCATAAAAAACTATTTTCCATAACCACATTCACAATTTAAATTTTACCTCAACAGTGTGAGATGCTGCGTCTCCGGTTCGAGGAGATGGAGAAAGAGAAACAGAGCAACGAGCACACGTTGAGCGAGAAACACAACACTATCAGCAGACTGGTAAGTCAGCGCGTGCGCACCCTACAATAGTACTCGTTTTAAATTTTTTGGTGATGGCAAGAGGTAGAATCATTCATACATTCTTATTTATCTGAACGATTCTAATCTTTTTTGAAGTTCCAAGTTTCGTGTCTTGTGTGGTAACTTTATTTTAAATGCAGAAAATGTGTAGTTCAGCCCACCCTTTGAGGAGAAAAATGTGTATTGTATGTATATTTCCTAAAATACGGTAATTTCCAACTAGTCAAATTCAATACTTTTTACTTTTCATTTTTTTTAAATGTCAAAAAGATACTTTTCTATTAAGTATGAAAAACTGAGTTATGACGTCATAGTATTATTGCGTCAAATAGCTTACTGATTTCTTAATAATTAGCTACAAATAAAACTTAGTGTATCGATAGTATTGAAACTTCGAATTAAGTAATTTATTTATGACCTAGGAAACTAATTTTCACGGGTTATGAAAAGCCTAATGTGTATTTCCTGATAAGGTCAGCAACACAATCTATCTAAACGGCTGCAACTCTTGTAAGTCAGGATCTACATTAGATACAACCACCTTCTGTTTTTTGAAACTAGAGGTAAGGAAGCAGTACAGAAGACACTAGCAACACCAAAGGTCTAAGTTACAAGTGCGTTGCCGCTGCCTTTCGGTGTTTAGCGATTGAGGATGGGAATTGGGAATTTGAAAATTGTATCTTACTTATTACTTTATTTTCTTCTCGTAGGAAGAAGAGCTTCATTCGACGTCGCACAACTATGAGGAACAGATGTCAGTTCTGACGGAACACGTCGCTGGCCTCAACGAGCAACTCACGCGACAACACGACGAGATACAACATCTTAAACATGCGCTCAACACCAGGAAGAAGTAGCCAGGTAGCTGCAAGGACGAGGGTGAAAGGTGATTTGAACTTTACGACCTTGAGCTAAAGTCATAAAAAGGTTAGCCGGACAGTATCTATCCTTGATTTGGGAAAATGGATTTATTTTCAGTGTAATTCCGGCCGAGAACATTTCTGTAGACTGTCAAATTTATGACTTTAGATTATAGACCTTATGATCTTTGCTTATGGACATTATGTAATCGAATATTATGACTTTAAGCTAACTAATGCCAGTCATTTACAAATGAACCAAAAATTTAAAATGACTTAAAATGAACCTTAAGATCTGAACTTTATGACCACTATCAAATGAACTATAATAACTATGAATTTAGTGGATTTTAATTCAATTTATTTTAATCAAAGGTCATAAGTTTTTAACACCTTTCGTCTCAAACACGTCCTCTGAATACATATTGTATACTGTCAAATATTATCTTGTATATAAACTGTATGACCATTATGTACAGAGATCGAAGTTTATAGCAAAATCAAGTTAACTTAGATGTTCAAAAATTATTTATTACCAACTTTACAAACACGAAAGTTACGGACTCCGGTTCACCACGAAAGCAATCGGTGTACACCGTTTTCGGTCAAGAGACAGTTTATAAATTTTTGACGTACCTATTAGATTCAATGTGAATTTTGTGTGTTGTTTATTAAATCGAAAATGAAATATGTTGTTTACACGCTATTATTGTTTGCACATAGAACACATTTGTAATAAAAAATGAGCTGAATTTCAGGATGTAATGGGACATAAAACTATTATTAAGATAGAACAAAAAGATAGCGTATTTGATTTAAATTGCTTACCCTTTAAGCGGAAGCCACTTATCACCGATTTTGTCATGAAATATACAACTTATTTCAAATGTATATGCAATGAAAGTAAAATGAGTTTCACAGTTTTATTCTTAAACACCTCATTAATAATTCTTCTCTATCATCATGTGTTAAATTTCCACTCTTCTATACACATTTTAATGTATGTCACAAAGAATTGTATAAAATGTAAAAATTGTTAAAATTATCATTGAAGAAATGGTATAAAAATGTAATGTACACTCGGCAAATTGTATAATAAAAGTAAAAAATATTTATAATAAATGTGTCTAGGAAATTATATTATGATGTAAATTTAATAAGATTTATTTTTTGAAATTATTTGCATTATACTTGGCTGTTCTTGTATTGTTTGTTTTTGGATTTAAGAGTAACTTGACAAACAATTTTAAGTCTTAGGACCTGTTCATTAACCCTGATTCGTCGTTTTCAACATATAAATGCCCATTTTTAAGCAACTGCCTATGAATTACGAAATTATAAATCGTGTCTGTCTCGTGTATCAGCGGCGGAACCTGGCAACTATGAATGTTTTTTCGAGTTATAATATGTACACTCTATGATTACTAGCTACAATCGGATCTAGCTATAATACAATCAGTGCAAGAATTTTGGCAATCCGACCAGGCAGCGGTTCCAGAGATTACCTCCACATACAAAATTAGAAATTTTACCTCTTCATAATATTAGTATTTTTTTTTTAAAAAAAAACGTTGCCCCACACTAGGATTTTTTCCTGTGTCGAAGGTGCGTTTACAAACATACAATTTCACATGCACATCACACCCATGTATAGATTAACACAATACAGATACCCAGAAGATATTGCTAATATTCTGCAAGCGAAGTGATTATAATACTGAAAACCTCTGTGCTGCGAGAATAGACCTTTGCTCATGAATGGGCATTTATAAATGATGATGATGAGATTAATAGGTATCAGAAAATTGTAAAACAGGTCCTAATTCTAAACTTACATTTAAATTACAAAATGCTTCCTCATTCTACGTCAAAAAGTTAGTCTAGTCTCAGTTAATTTGCATTCCTATCGTCAAAATAAATGTATTGTAATTGGAAAACATTGTGGCCTAACTAATGTATATAATATACAAGTATACATATATATGTAATCGTATTAAATCGGCTAGTGATTCGTTCTTTAGTTAAGACAATATATTTGTATTTTTGCTTATATTGTTTAATGATTTTAAAATATTGGAAATGTAAAGAAATAATGTTGTCATGTACTTTATTTATTGATCAGAAACGAATTTGGTTTTCGTGTACATTGTTATGTACGAAATAAATTGTGTGTGTGAATCGAGACGCACGCTATATTTTTTATGGGCCACCATTTTGATAAATAATTGCACCTCAAATGTCTTTGGACTCGTCAATGTCCATAGCACAGACTGCAATTTTCTCTGCCTGTAATAAACAATGATCTTTATGTAATAAACTCACAGCTTGGAATTCTGACTTCCTGAGAATCTGCACACCCGGTCTCAGTAATCTATTTGTCGCCAATGTTAGTACATTTGGCTATCACTTATCGATATTGACCGTAGTCATTGAGATTATCCAAAACTTCATATATAGCTGTTTATATTAAGTTATGTATTATTATATCTATGTTTTAAACAATAAACGGTATGCTATAGAAATGTAATTATGTGTATAAAGTGTACAATGCGAGTATGTTGGTACATCTGGATGGTATAATAATGATGTTATAAGCATTTCAACGTAAAAAGGATGTATCTAACAACTTGCAAACAGTCGTTGCATATAATGTATAAATAAAAGAAAATAAATTATCAATAAATAGTTTTGAATACTTACATTCGTTTTCTTACATCTTACCATCCTGTTATACTAAAACCGAGAAAATTGAATGACTGATTTAATTTGGGTTGCTTACACAGACACAATTTCATAAATGTTGTCTTGAATGCCAATAGAATTTATTTTCAAGTATCCTCTACAGTCTACACTACAACATACTCGTTTACAAAATAGCTATAATAATTATGAACTCCAACCAACTCGCAAACGAGCATATACTACTCTGTCAAGAAAGTACCGGGAAAAAGTCAATAATACACAAAATGTTTGTTATTCATCTAAATTTATTTTATCACCTTCAAATTATGCTCCTTCAGAAACGATACATTTACGCCAACGAATAATCCAATCATCGAAACTTTTTTTAAACGCTGTTTCCGGAATTGAGTTCAGTGCTCGCCGCGAATTCTCCTTTATGTCTTCTAACGATTGAAAACGGGTGCCACGAAGGGGTAATTTGAGTGTGGGAAAAAGAAAGAAGTCGGCTGTCGCCATATCTGGTGAATATGGTGGCTGCTCGATGGTGTTTGTTGAGTGTTTGGACAAAAAATCGTTTACAATGATGGCCTTGTGCGAAGGTGCATTATCGTGATGCAAAATCCAAGAATTTTCTTTCCACATTTCTGGCCTGTTTCGTCGAATTTGTTCTCTTAAACGCCGCATAACGCTCAAATAATATTCTTTATTTACCGTTTGACCTTCGGGCAAGAATTCTGAGTGCACAACACCGCGATAGTCAAAGAAAACAGTCAACATGACTTTGACTTTTGATCGACTTTGACGTGGTTTTTTCGGTTTTGGTTCAGTTAGAAGGCGCCATTCCGAAGCTTGTTGACTAGTTTGCATGTCAAACTCGTAAACCCACGTCTCGTCACCAGTAACAATGCGTTTCATGAATATTGGGTCGGTATTGACTCGTTCATGTCCTTGACTTTGACCCTGACCCTGACTTTCATGCGATTTAGTTTTTGAAGAAAATTTAGGTCTTTTGGGACTAGCCGAGCGGCAACACGTTTCATACCCAAATTATTTGTTAAAATGGTACGGATCGACTCGTGAGATACAGAAAGTTCGGCGGCCATCTCTCTCAAACTTGAATGAGGATTTTCAGTCACTATTTCCTTCACTTTTGCGATGTTAACTTCAGTTGCAGACGTTGATGGCCTACCAGAACGAGGCAAATCTTCCATCACATCTCGACCGCTTTTGAACGCTTTGTACCACTCATAAGCACGTGTTTTTGATAAAGTCGATTCACCGTAAGCCTTCTGTAACATTTTGAGTGCCTCCGAACACGAAATTTCATTGGCGATGCAAAATTTAAGACAAACTCTTTGTTCGATGTTTTTGTCCATTATGAAATTCGCAATACACACTAGATATTAAAAAACTAAAAACAGCACTGTTTTTAATATAAATAACAGATGCAACTCAAATTCCGCGCCAAAATGGAAAACAGTTATGCCAATCTAACAACAACAAAAAAAAATAAAATTCTAATTTGGAACCATAAAAAAACATTCATTCCCGATACTTTGTTGACTGAATGTACATTACCTGATGGTAAGCATTCAGCGCCACCCATGGACATTCATAAAGGAGATTACCACAAGTGCATTGCCGGCCTTTTGTGGGATAATAGATTTGGGGATCACTAGGTACTTAAAAATTTTGTTTCTATTCGAAGCCCTAGCTCCAGATTGAAGCCCTTCCAAACTTTGTCTAAGGCTAATAAACAAGAAGAATCTGGGTAAAAATTTCCTAGATCATGTACCTACCATGACTCATTATGATACCAGGTATTAGTACTGACCTATGCAAAACATTGCATTAGTGGCTCACTTACTCTTACACCCCATTTCCTAACCAGAAAATATGTTTACTATAATATATAGAAGTGCAAAGGAAAGGAGGTTTTGACACAAACTTAAGTAGTTATTTTATCGTCAGAACTGCATTTTCAAATTTCTTGTTCAGCTAAAACTTATAAAAATAAAAAAAACGTATAATTCTATTATACGTTTTTTTTATTAAGTTTTAAGTAAAAAAAACGTATAATTCTATTATACGTTTTTTTTATTAAGTTTTAGACTTGATTTTTACATTTTTAAATACTAAAAAAAAGAAAAATATTTAAAAACATAAAAAAACAGTATCCCACCGGTAAAGGAGGGTTCCAAGCAACCGGTGGTCAGGGCTCCAGAGAAAGGAATCTCCGGACAATGCGCACCATGTCTAGAAGTACAGCTTTCTGCATCAGGTTCTTAACCCAAACATTTAACGTAAGCCTGCTTAGGTGTTTGTCGATGCTTTTAGCAATGAGACCATTGGCAGATACGACTATCGACACCATGATTGCTGAGTCTACATGCCACATGTCGACAACCTCATGAGCTAAATCAAGATATTTACTTGCTTTATCTTTTTCAGAGGTCATGGTGACCCCGGGGTTAGGGCGCCCGCTTCTCATGCATGAGGGTGTGTGTGGGTTCGAAACCTGGCAAGTACCAATGTGACTTTTTCCGAGTTATATGTATCTACAGACGGTCGCTGTATCTTGGCGAGTCTGAAGTTAGCCGTTTGTCTGCGCAATGGATCTTTTAGGAACAAAATTATGTACTGCGCAGCTAATCGGCTAACTTCAGACTCGCCAAGATACGTCGGCGGTATTGTTCTTTTTATGATTATGTACACTACTGACATACTGTGAAGGTGAACATCGTGAGAAAACCTGGACTTATAATTTCTAATTATAAGTTTGAAATCGCCAACTCGCATTGAGCAAGCGTGGTGATTAATGCTCAAACCCGTGTGAGAAGAGGCCTTTGCTCAGCAGTGGGCACTTATATGCTGGTGATGATCTTTTCAGCTTTCACACGATTCTCGTCATGTGGGATTGTTATATCAATTATCATTGTGCGACGGCTAGATCGATCTGTCATCACAATGTCAGGTTTGTTAGCTGCAATTGTCCTATCAGTGATGATAGCTCGATCCTAATACAGTGTGGCATCTCCATCCTCGAGAACAGGGTCAGGCAGATACTTATTGCACGGCACTACAGATTCAACAAGTTTGTATTTTAAAGCAAGTTGCTGGTGGATAATCCTGGCCACGAGGTTGTGTCTATGCAAGTACTCTCCATTAGCTAGGTGAGAACAACCCGAAATTATATGTCGGATGGATTCCCTTGGGCGAATATTATTCAAAATTGCAAAATCGAAAAGGAAAATCTATGCTAGGTAGGTCCTAGAATAGATTTTCTTTCTTTTTGATTTCTCTTTATAACATGTCGAATCCCGTTAATATGAAGACTAAGGAACTACTTGGAAGTAGCATAAGGTATAAAGGGGAAAGTATAAAAAAACGCACATTGTATGCACAACTTTGTATTATAACGATAATCATAAGCACCTTATAATATGTCATCTGTTACAATATTTGTTTTCAACAGTTACATTATCGTTATAAATATTTATACAAAATTTATCAATTTGTTGAACAGCGTTTTGCAAATAATTCGCTAAGTGAGGTCATATGTCGATCATGCGTCACGCGAACAGACCTACAGACACAGCAAGCGACCGGGGACACTATATGTATATCAAAACATTGCACTCATTTGCTTACCAGAAGCGTATTGCAAAATATTTTATATTAACATTAAATTTAAGTTTATTTTTATACTATATCTTATTTTAAAATTGTTTGCTGTCCGGCAGTCCCTTGCTGCGTAAACTGTAGATATTAGTATGGGATACTATCAACCTCATAAAGCCGAATGGAATTTTCGGGTAAAAGATATCTTCAATGCTTGATTATTATTGCAGATGAGATCGCAGTTATGAAATTGGCTGTTACAATTTTGTATAATAGGAATAAAAAAATCTAAATGCTTTCAAAGAAAATAAATGGAATTGCAATAACAATAAAGTTCGAAATATCTTTTACCTCAAACTGGCTACGAAGTCGCAGAGGCCAATGACACGAAACTGTACATTTAACATTAAGGTCATTATACATGATTGCAAATAACTATAAATATAAAAGTTACAAAATCTATTTCATAGTAGATAGTATCCAATACTTGCGTAGTTACAACTCTTGATAATTCCCTTTCAGTCGTCACTCAATAACACGGATATTTTCATTAATGTTAAAATAAAAAAATAAATAACTCCATACATAGGTGCTCTTCATCACATCCACACTTTCATTCCCGAAGCTCATCTAATACATTTTATAGATACAATACATTACACATTGTTAAGTCGACAGTTTGAAATGGCTTCAACACAACTCCTTTGGCACTCTAAATACGCAAAATAATATAACTTAAATGGATAATCATTACCGCAGGTGCCCCGAGTTGTAAGATTAAAATAATTCATAAAGGCATATAGGCATAATAATGTATAAATAAACAAAGTTTGGGTCGTAACCGGCAACATATTTAGCTTACACCCGGGAAGTGTATCTACGTTTTTCTATTAGCGAATGTGTGGCAAGCGTAGTATGCAACAAGCGAACAACACACGTCACATTTATCAAAATACTTTTGCCGTGGGACGGTTGAATTACGTTTTTATTACAAATCTTATATTAAAACGAGACTTATGTTACGTACTTAAAGGTAGTGTTTATAATATAAGCTAAATATGTTCCCGTGCTGGCGAGAATATTAGGACACGCATTTTTGTATGTTTAAATATTATATCTATACTTATGCGATGTCCTCGCCTCGACTTAAATATAAAAACATTTACCTCCTTATTACAAAACAAGATTTATCTTTAGTGTAAGTTTAAACCATTGAGTTAGGTTTTGTATTTTGAATCTTATTTTCATCTACCTTCAGTTTGAAATAGAAAAACTGGCTCAATGTTTTAGACTTGGAATAAAGAAAACATTGTTTTGTAATAAGGCTTTTATAGTTTGACATGTACACACGTTCCTAATTTTGTGTAAACCTCAATGAGATCTATAACCGATGTCAAACTTATAAGACATTGATGACTATAAACATGCGTTCATGTATTTGGTTTATTATAAATAATAAATTAAAGATTTTACATAAGACGGGAGTTTATCAAATTAAATTTGGACCAACCATAAGACTTTATTAGTTCATATACAGTCATTTGGTGACAAAAATTTGATATCCTCTCGTTTTAAAAAACCGTATGGCGTTAAACAAATTGATTATAATCTAAAAAATATTTTTAAATTAAATACACGATTGGGCTAAGAAGTTTTTGTAAACATTTCGTAGGTGGTTCGCGCGTGGAATGGTATAGAAACCTTTTTATATTAAAAAATATATTTAAATAAAATTTCGAGTAACTAAAACGAGTAGCCTTGTGATGCGTATTGAAGATGAAACGTTAGGAACACACGTCCGTACCGAATTAGAGAAAATGTGTGTTAAAACTGTACAAAATTTTGAATTTCATAAACGTTTGCTTAGCACGTACATAGGTTTAGTTATACCTGTCTTTGTCATACAGATGTTGAGTCAAATGTGTAAAAGAGACGGGAATATAGCTAAGCCAAGTACTAAGAAACGTTTATTACGTTCAGTATTTGAGCCTGATAGGTAAGTAATATAATATGAATGTGTTCATGAAAGACCACAGAAAGAAAACTCTGTCCCAGCCACTCACAATGCCAATTTGCATCACTTTCGTATACAGGTCGACAACGCGACGAACATATTCCTTTTACAATATAATACAATAACAGCAGTGCTTGAGTACATTTAAGTAGCAATTTTATATGGCGTGATAGCCAACCAATCAGGTGATAGCACGCAAAAGCGAACGGCCTCCGATTGGTCGGCGATCACGTGATTCGAACGCGATTGTCGACCCAAGTGGATATAAAACATCAACAAAAGGACACTACCGTAATAATATATGTGTACTAACTAATCAATATCGAGCACAATGCGTCACTCGTGTCACTCATATAGCGTCCTCTCGCTCGCACACTCGGGCGACCGCGGTGTTGCCAGCGGTCAAAACGTTCGGCACTTTTAAAACACGTATTGGCATAATATTAGGTACAATTTTTTTGTCATAGACATCCGTTTCCCACGAGAGGCCGTTGGCATACCTTATGAATTTTCGTAATGCTTCGGGGTGGAATTTTCAGTTTTATCCATCACTGCATTGACAATTTGTATCACGGTGGGTGAAATTATTTCTCAAAGAGTAATATGGATTTTTTTTCTAAGGCATGGTTTGTATTCCACCTCCATTGAGATTAGCTGTGAAGCTTTCTATAGTGTGTGTGTGCGGGCAGGTTCGGTGTTGCTAGCATTGGTTGACGTCCGGCGGGGTGGAGAGATACGGGTCGGCTCGCTTGTGTTCAATCAACGCTTTCACTGTTGTAGAGTCCGCCGGTAGCTCGGATTTCTTGCGAAGAAGGGGTTTGCTAGCGTTGTAGCCTTGTTTCCTGAGCTGTGGAAAGAATTGTACAGTTAATATAAAAATATATACATGTAGATAATTATTTATTCACTTTGTTCGTTCACGAGTTCGTTTCAGCGTCAATTTAAAGAAAAACATATGAAATTTTGTTACAAAGTAACACCTTAAACACTTATAAAATTAGACCCTTATACCAAATCCGAGCATGCTAGACTAAATTCAAGCAAAGAACGGAGCTCATAATCAATCTTTACGAACGCAAGCTGTCTATTTTCAATATTTTGATGATCATGGTGGTTTTCTGCCATAGTTTACAGGGGTAGTAAGTAGGTGTAAGAAGAATGTTACCTCCTGCGCCTCCTGCTCGATCCGCTGGTAGGTGAGGGGTGCGAGGTCGTCCCTGTCGGCGGGGGGCGGGGCGGACGCGCGCGGCGCGGCGGGGGCGGCGGCGGCGCGCGCCTCCAGCGCCTGCCACACCTCCTCGCGCTGCTGCAGCCGCTCCCGCTCTCTGCAGGGGCAAGAAGTATATATTACAAATATTGCTTCAAGTAACTCTTGGGTTTCGAGTATGTTCTCACTAAATATTAATTTCCTATCTGTATTCTTAATAACTAAGCAAACTGTAATGATAAAGACAAGAGTGTTTTTTCTTTTCTATCGCGTCGACAAGGAGCAGTTTTCGTACATTTATAGAACATTTGTCGTTAGAAATAATTATGATGAGGTTACGCATCCACAGAATAGCGATGACTGAGGCTTAAACAGCCTACTTGTTTAAGGCTGAGCCTGCTTTCGATGCGTTAAAATACACATATTAAGGTTACCACGAGACAACAAATTCATGGAATCAGTAAAATGAAGATCAATGAATTTGTACAGAAGTTTGTATTTTAAATGGTTCAAGAAAATACTGGAACAAACTAAACTGCAAATTGAAATCACTTGGAATGTTATCATTTTGTTAGGGACCCTGTGGTCCCGTGATTGGACATACAAATAATAATAATAAAAACGTACTTTTGTTTCTCCTGCTTGTACTGCTGCGTGCATTCATCAAAGAGTTTCTGGTTCATCTCCATGAAGAGTTTGAGAGCATTGTAGACGAGGCCGTGAATGGTCTTGTTCCAGTGGCTCTTTGTGTTGCGGTACAGCGAGGGGAACATTATGGGAAGGATGTGCGTCGCGTTGTCCGATATAAGGGACATTATATACTCGTTGTTCCAGTAATAGAGGGCGCGTTCCGCTACCTGCAATTGAAGAATTTTATATTATGTCATTATTATCATAAGTCGCAAAACGTCTATTGCTGGACAAAAGCTGTGGGAGAGCCATGCTACGGCACGAATGGGTCGGCTCGAACGGAGTGATACCACGGCCTCACAAAAAACAGGCGTGAAACAACCACATCGTTGTGTTTCCCCGTGTGAGTGAGGCTACCGGAGGCCTATCCTTCCCCCTCCCCCAATACCTAACCCCCAAAAGGTCGGCAACGCTTTTGTAACTTCTCTGTTGTTGTGGGTTGTGGGTGTCTATGGGTAGCGCTGATTGCTTACAATCCGGTAATCCCTGTGCTTGTTTGCCGACCTATCACATAAAAAATGCCTCCCCCTTAGTTCTCTACGCCAAACGACAAGATGCCACTGGCATCTTTTGGTGCCTTGCGACTCTGACGAGGTCGTCGGTCCACCTAGCAGGAGCTCGACGCTAAGTCTTCCAGCCCTTGAGTGAATTGATTGAATGTAAATGTATAAGGAATTAACAAATAAGATAATAAAGATTTTAGATTTATAGGAGTAGATATGTATTAACTTAGTAACTTATTATTGACTAGTAATATCTTCTTTGTAAGTAACAATAGAATTTCAAAAAAGGCAAATTTTTATAAATTGTTTAGAGACTGAAGGAGACAATTTAAATTTCCACAAATCGTCGATTGAAGATATTTTGAAGATGTCCTTAATTAACCTTTTAATGCACGGACGTCGGCGTTCGCTTGGGGTTTGGTAAATAAAGTTTTTAGACCTTGCTGTTTTGCGTATGAATACAAGTTTTATTCCAATTGTTCAGTACTTTCCTAGATTTTTGCTTAGGGAACTTATATGAAATTTGGTGCAACGTGCTCTTTTAAATAAAAAAAAACTTAGTTCGTACCTGGAAGTGTGGACTGGAGACGCATTTAGCGAGCTGCTTGAACAGCGGATCCATGATCTTCTGGAACTCCGCCGGCTCTATCACGTCCAGGATCTCCTCCATTTCGTTAAGGAACATCACTTCCTTCGGTGAATGGGTCTTCGGCCAGTATTTCAATAGTGCCCTAGAAAATGTCAAATTTTATATTGTAATGAATCACTCATTTTGGCGCTTAACAAGGTCAGCGTGTATGAAGTGAACTACGCTAAAGTAAACTTCCAAAGGCATATGTAACCTTTTGTGGTGGGAAAATTACCAACTGATTTCTCTCGCCCAGGGTGAGGCGAAAGACGGTGTCAGAATATTACTGACTAAAAACCGCCCCGTTCCTTCTTCGTTTTAGGTCGGGGCTGCAATATAATTTTGAGCTTAACCCGCAACCCTTGCCGACTTTAAATGCTTAGTAAGTTCGTTTTCAAGAAAAATAAAAGATTTATTAACTTATCAAGGCAATAATTTACGACAGTGTTATAAATCACACTTTATTGACGACACACACTATAAAATAATTGAAATTTGTTAATATCACACGCGGTTATTCAAGAATGGGTCTTATAAATACCCTAATAAGATATTGTTTTGAGTATTTTGTCATAGAAATGTACTATATAAAAATAAGTCGGGTTTTCCTTCCTGACGCTATAACTCCAGAAGGCACGAACCAATTTCCACGGTTTTGCATTCGTTGGAAAGGTCTCGGGCTCAGTGATATTTATAGCAAAGAAAATTCAACAGAAAAGCGGGCAAATCTTTACAGCGCCAACTTTACGAAATACATGTGGAGGCGGAACGGAGTTCGCCGGGTTTGCTAGTATGTTATAAAATTGTATCGTACCTAACTACAGGCTGTGTGAGCGAGGGATCCTTCTCAAGGAACTGCACCACGCAGTAGGCGAGCTGAGGGTGGTACACTGACAGGGACTTTGCCTTGTGCAGCGGTAGTAGTACCTGGAACATACAATGTTTTTAAATGTTAATTACATAATGTATGAAAAACATAGCATAGTATACTATGTATTATACTGGCAAATTGTTGCTTAAAAGAAAACAATGTCTTATACAGCTTATATTAAATGTCGACGTAGAACCGTCTAGTACATAGCAAAAAGATCTGTTACCATTGAAGAAACTACGCAATAAATGATAATATTATGAATTCTTCGCTTAATTACAAGTCAAATAAAAAACTTTTACTTTCGAAACGCAAAGAACGACAATTTTATATGAAGTAGCAAATTGTGACGTCATAACTTTTCATTATCAACAATGTCAAATACTATACGTGTAGCCATATGTCTGAATTAGCTAGAAAAAACTTAGTATAAAATCAAATCAATAAACATATTGTAATGTTTCGAAAAGTAGAAACAATTTCTTTTTGTCTAAGAAAATACACCACAAAGTCTTTACTCATGTAAGAATACTGACCCTCAATAAAAATAGTTTGTGTTCCTCTTTGAGCGGCAAAGCGAATCCATTGATGATGGAGCCGAGGATCTCCAGCAACTCCGCGATACCGTTGTGATGCTCTGTCTCGTAGATAAACCTGTATAAACAACAGTTTTATTTAAACTATCTTCTTCATGACTTCTTCTTTTTTTAGTTCAGATTAAAGTCAAAGTCACAATTATTTATTACAATTAAACCATAAATAGTTACTTTTGTAATATCCAAATAGAATAATAGTCTGTCAGTCTATTCGTTAGTGAAGCTAGTTCGTTACATAGTGTAGATTCGAATGGAGAAGAACAAGCAAGGAAATAAATAATTACTTTATTATAATAATCTAAATAATAAACAAGGATTTTCTTTAGTCTAGGTTTAAACCATTGAGACAGGTTTTGTATTTTGAATCTTATTCTTAGTTACCTTAAATTTTAAATACAAAAACAGGCTCAATGGTTTGAACCTAGACTAAAGAAATCTTTGTTTTTTAATAAGGACGGAAGGGTCTGTATACATCCGCTATATACATTTGGTTGTAGATCGTAGTCTGTAACAACTATGTGCCACATAAGTTTATCGTGTACTTATACTTATGAAGGTGGTTAAAATGAATGTCACCTTTAATTCCCTGAGCGTCGTTTCTCGCTTCCTTTATTTAATATTATCACGGGAATGGACATTGAGATGTAATTATAATTTGTTATTGTCCGTCACGTTACCGTGTTTATAAATAGAAGCGACGCCATTTTGCATGTTATGGTATTTAAATAGAGTCATAACAGAACTGAATGCTGTTTTCCGTAATACCTTACACCACTACTTTAAGATACACGAAAATTGACAGCTTCTCTTTTTTATTTGGAATTTGTTTGTTTCAAATTCATTAATTTATCATTTTTGTTTTGTTTTATACTAATATTTTCTCCTATGCCATGGGTGCATTATTAAGCTAACAGCATAACTACAATGGTTGAGATATCATAAGGTGTCGTGTAGTTTTAATTCTTGCACGGAACAATTAATTATTTATATTTTTTGTGTTCAAATACTAAATATCTGCCCGATTACTGCATATCAAACCCAAATATACCAAATAATTAAATACATTCTTTAAAATTATAATAAACGTCATAGACAACATAAATCCACCAAGGAATATCTTTAAAAAAGATCCGTATGCAAAGGGAGTGGACAGCTATTAAGCAATGCACATAATCAACATAGTTTCTTTATCTCTTATCAGCACATAGTCTAATGGGCATGTTTTCCTGTACCAGATGTTACGTGTAGCTATTTTATTGACACGATCGTAAAACTAACAACGCATACAATAGTGTGCGTATTTCCTTGTTAATGCATCTTTATCTAAGCATCTAATCTGTCCATTGTCCTATTATCTCGTATCTTAAAAGAAGGTTCAATAACGGATATAATTAATAAAGAATTAATGGTGCAAGGAGGTACGAAAACGTAATTTTTTTAGTCTGTGGTAAATTCTGTAAAGTATTGTAGTTTTTAAATTAAATATGGAAACGAACATTTGACATCATTTTCGTATGTTTTATTATTTTTGGTACTTTATTGATATAAAAAAAAACAGATAAAAGTTGAGCGTATGAGGAAAAATAATAGTCACTTACCTATAGAACACATTATTGATTTGTTTCCGTATGTACGCCCGTAGCACTAAGAACTTTCCGTATATCCTGTGTAGAGTCGTCTTTAGGAAGTCCCGCTCTCTTGGATCCTCGGAGTCAAATAGTTCTAGCAACTGTGGACAATGACGTCAGAGGCTCAGATTGGTTATAAAAATAGTTTCTTGTCAACAGTAACCTGGGACATACGGCTATACTTCAACTTATGAACTATAAACCAGTATATAAACTGACCGTTGAATCTGTGGAAAGATTTTTTTTAAAAAAAAAAAAAACGTTGCCCCACACTAGGATTTTCTCCTGTGTCGTGGGTGCGTTTACAAACATACAATTTCACATGCACATCACACCCAGACCCGGAACAACAATCTGTGGATCACACAAAGAGTTGTTCCGTGCGGGAATCGAACCCGCGACACGTTGCCCGGCAGCCAGTTGCCCAGCCACCGCGCCAACCGTGCAGTCAATATAAAGCGAGTTCAAGATAAATTGGTTTTCTTATTTAATGTAGCAGAGGTCGGTAAACGAGCAGGCTTATAACCTGATGTTAAGCAATCGGCACCGCACATGGACAGCCGCAGCATTATTAGTAGCAGTTACAATTGCGTTGCCGGCCTTCTGTGGGTTGTTAGATTACTGTATTTGAGGAGGATTTGGCGACTTGGGAAGGAAGAGGTCTCCAATAATATCATACGGCGAAACACATCGCAAGCCACCATTGGTGCCAGTATAACTTCATGTCAATTCTGTAAGGCTGTGGTATCACTTCTTTTCATGTGGTTTGATATGTTATGTGTAAGTAAAATCTTTTCAATTCATTTGGAGTCTTCACAATATCCCATTTTTCTCTCTCTTCAGATCAGTCTGACTTACTCCAGTATGAAGAACAATGCAGGTCTACAAGACTTATGTCTTGATCTTATGTCAGAGCATGCCTCATATGGGGTAAAATGTTTTTAAATTAATAATAAAATCCTAGTCATACATATAATATTGACCTACATATTTTCGCCGATAAATACAGTCACACAATATGGAAAAACTTCCATAAGTAATTTGGATGTTAAAAAAATAGGTAAGTACATCTATTGATATTTGATATACCTACCATAAACAAAGAGGCTCGAGTTTAACAAAGGCAAAACTAAACTTGTTAGACTTCAAAAACAATATTTTTTACCCCAATACCTACATATTTTCTTTGCGCGTTTAACCTTCCTCGTTTATCGACCTCATTTTGAAGATCAAAAAAAGAAGTTTGGATTCGTTACTTTGATATTGTCGTTTAGCGATTATAAAATAAATTAATAATAAATAATTGTTTACACGCAATAAATAAATGAGAAATAAGTTCCTAGTGCGAGTTTGCTTTACGTCAATGCAATTGACACCATAATTTATGACGTTCGGTGCTCCGATTGGCCAGCTTAGCTTAAAGTTAACTAGCCAATCAGAGAACCAGCAGGAGCAACGTTTCGATTGCGTAAACCAAATAAAGAACAGTATCTACAGATCACGTGGGTTGGAGATCTCTTATTTAAATGTTCAGGTTTTATAAGAGAACTCTGCTGCTGTTTCAAATGTAGTTTTCCTTAATTGTGGGAGAGCCATGCTTGGGCACGGATGGGTCACCGCGACCGGAGTAATACCATGGCCTCACAGAAAACCGGCGTAAAACAACCGCAGCGTTGTGTTTTCGCCGTGTAAGCGAGTTTACCGGAAGCCCAATCATTCTCCTCCCCCAATCAAATAATCCCTAAAAGATCGGCAACGCACTTGTAACTTCTCGGTTGTTGCGGGTGGAGCTGATTGCTTACCATCAGGTAATCTGTATGCTCGTTTGCCGCCCTATCACAAAAACAAAAATTCTGTAGTCGTCACAAGAAAACAAACGGGGAAGAGTAAGGATGATGAAAAAATATAAAGATAGAGAGACACAAGACGTCCTTTTGAAAACATAGGCCTCTCAGAATGATATGTTCAGATCGGTCAACCGACCTTATTACGATTCTATTCATAACATACCTATCTAAAATTATTTATTTTCCGTTACATTATTTACGAGAACCGAGTCAACCAATCAGCGCCCCTGTCTCGGTCGCCAGTGACATCGATTGATGAATAAAAGAGGTATATACATAAATCACTGAGTTAGGTAACTATCTATAGCACTGGTATCAAGGGCGAATGAATATAGGTACACAGAATGAGTTATTTATTGAGTGTACGTGGTCATAATGACCATTCATAGGGGCCATATTATACTAAAGAGATGTCTTGAAAATTAAACAAATCCAAAACAAATATAAAACGCCGCTCCTGCCAAGTGAATTCATCTCAGATGCAAGATTTTCAATACACAAGTAAAAAGGTCGGATAGGGCCTGGTTAATTTTTTTATTAATAAAGCGTACACTTCTCAGTCATTCGATGTTTGGGTTCTAAAGTTAGTAAGTACCCTTGTGACTTATTTGTTTTATAGTTTACCCATTTTAACATTTGTCTTAAAATGTTGTGTTGGAAGAAAAATAATAACAATTTCTTTATTTGTAATGCTTGATGATTAGCAGGAAACTATGAAATTCATGGCAGTATTGGCAGGTCTACGAAAATAGCTCTTATTTCTAAGTATACAAGATTAAACTTACTTGTAAAACAAACTTCTGGTCGATATACTTCTTGGCGATGTTAGGCTGGAAGTCGGGGGACTCCAGTAGCCTTAGGAACAGTTCGTAGACTAGTTGTAGGTGTGGCCATGCCGCTTCTAACGTGGGCTCGTCTTCTTCAGGGTCAAACTCCGCACCATTCGGGTTTGACGACGGCGGTAGTGTCCGGAATAAGTTTATCGCGAACTGCGGACAAAATAACATTCGTTAGTTGGTGATGTGGATATAAGGATTTATTATAGAAGAACTAACTGACCCGTTTTTGGCTATTAAAAAATAAGGGTTGATCGTAGATGGGTGGAAATTGAGGATTGTATGTATTTTTGGATGTTGATGATAAAAAAATTGAAATTAAAAATTTTGTGTAAAAAAACATGAGTGAGGTGGACTACCCCTAACATTTAGGGGGATGAAAAATAGATGTTGGCCGATTCTATAAAAAAAATCATCAAAATCGGTCAAGCCGTTTCGGAGGAGTATGGCAACGAAAACAGTGACACGAGAATTTTATATATTAGATGAACATCTAAGTGGACTGACGACATCCGCAGGGTGGCTAGCAGTGGTTGGGTGAGAAGAGCTGAACTTTAAGCTCAGTGGCGTGCTATTGGGGAGGCCTATGTCCAGCAGTGGACGACATGAGGCTGATGATGATGATGAATGAACATCTTCTTTATTGCGGAAGATATCCATGCTTAAAGAGGAATAAATATGTAGGTAAATAGACAACTTTGAGGGAAATATCTTCAAATTACTTGAAATGACTGAATGACTCGCCCAGGGTGAGATGAAAGGCAGTGTGACTCTTACTGACTAAAAACAGACCGGTTTCTTCTCCTGCTCGTCCAGTCCTTCCAAATTTTTTTGCCTGTCGCGACATGCAATTTGGAAGTACTGGATTTAGTAAAAAATTTCCACATTTTAAAGCCATGTAATATTAACAAATAATTACATATTAGCTCATCCAATTAACGAATTTTATTCAATGATGTCAGTCGATACAAAAAGTAAAAACATGACGTCACAAAACATGTTCCATACAGAATTCAAAGAAAACTTTCGATTCAAAGATAATTAAAAAATGTGTTGAATTCGACAAATTGTGAAGTAGGAGAATCCAATTCAATTTTAAAGGTCGTAGAGAAATTGTGTGTAAATATTATGTAATTTAATTGTGGACTTTGCGTCCAAGGACACTGAGCCCTATTTTCTTTGTTACAGAACAGATGTTTTCAAATCTTTCATAGCGCTCGTATACATTTACTATTTTACTTGTTAATAAACATTATTATGTATTATCTAATCTATACTAATATTATAAATTTATACAAAAATTTGTAAGTTTGTATTTAGGGGGTAATCTTTGGAACTGCTGATCGGATTGCCAAAATTCTTTCACTGATAGGTAGCTACAATGTTCCTGAGTGCTATAGGCAATAAAATATCACGCTACGATTAAATGGAGTTGAGCAGCGGGTGAAACGGCGCGAGAGTAGCTAGTACATTATATAACAGTACAAACGGATTACTGTAATCATAAAGTTTAATTCTTTTTCTTTTGATGTGGAATATCATCAAATGACTTCTGCCATGGGTGAGGCGAGAGGGAGTGACAGACTCTTAGCGACAAAAACCACCCTGTTTCTTCTCCTTCCTTCTTTTTTGGAACATTATTGCGATTACACCCGCAACCCCGAAAGATTGTAAGCGAGCGGGTTCAATTCCCGCACGGAATAACTCTTTGTGTGATCCACAGATTGTGGTTCCGGGTCTGGGTGTGATGTGCATGTGAAATTGTATGTTTGTAAACGCACCCACGACACAGGAGAAAATAATAGTGTGGGGCAACGTTTTAAAAATAACAAAAGTAAAATAGTTTAATAGTTTTGTTTTCCTCAGTTCAAATCATAGAGTGAAAATAAGTGTATCAGCTTATCAGTTTTGAGTTCAAAAAACTAGGTCAATGTCAGATAATGAATGATTCTAATCAATAACAAGTACTATAAGAAAGGTAATCAAAAGATTAATTATGTGATCAGGCAATAAATTATACTTTCATAACTACGCAAAACGATAATTAGACGTCATAAAACATTTCAGACTGTTAAATATTTATTTTATTATATTTATGCATTAAGCGCTTGGTACGCCAGGGAGGAAAACAGATTAGCTGTTAGCGTATCAAGCGCAATAAGGCACTGCAGCCTCGGCCTAGAGCAGGAGAAGGAACGGGGAAGATTTTAGTCAGTAAGAGTCTGACACTACCTCTCACCATACCTTGGTCGAGACAAGGCATTGGATGAGACAAGGCATTGGATGAAAACAAAAACGAAAATTGGGTGAAAAACGGATAATTAAAACTACACACCATTACAAGGGGAAAGAGCAATCCGTCAGAAAATTGATGCACATCTACATCAACGGGTAAAGTGCCCAGAAAGCTGTTAGCATTGCCACGTTATCAGATATTTTTAACGTTGCTCCACACTAATGTTTTCTCCTGTTAAACGCACCCGAGCGTTTACAAACATTCAAATACACATCACAAAGAGTTGTTCCGTGCGGGAACCGAACTAAATGCCCAGCCGTCGCGATTACGGCGCAGTCAGTCAGTAATACAATGCTTACCTTCCCTTACCCGAAGAACAGGCTTACATACATACTCGTAATATTTAAAATAAGGAACATTCCATATAAATGTATAATAAAGATTCTATAAACACATATATCACAGAACATATACCTACTTTCGTACCGCCATATCCGAGACTTCTTGATTGAGCAAGCATAAACAATTTGTCGGTAAATGATAAAATCCCATTCAATACTCGCGCCATTGTCTCGTCAGAATTCAATTGGACATATAAATTAAATGGGTATATCGATACGTATGTATGTACGTGCTTACTTATATGTGTATACAAGATGTGTCATTGATAAAACAGATATGAAAGGTTGGAAGAAGGAGGAGAACTCTGTAAAGAATGAGAAATTAAACTTAGTAGAAAAAATATTGAGATTTTTTGGTCCTTTACAAACACTGTCTTTTTTTTATTTTATTTTTTTGCCGGCAGGGAGTGTCAGACTCTTACTGACTAATATCCCCCCTGTTCCTTCTCCTGCTCTGGGCCGATGTCGAGGTGCCTCATTGCGCTTTTACAAACCCTGTCTGGACTTAAGGTTTTTTCCCGCGACTATTTTTAATACGATGAAATGTTTCCACCATAGTGCGACCGAGATTTAAGAGTTATCTATACTAATATTTAAAAGAGGCAAAATTTGCAATTCCTAACTTTATATGTAGGAGGAAATCTTTGGAACCGCTGGTCGGATTTCCAAAATATTTTTACTGATACGTAGCTACAATGTTCTTGAGTGCTAATGATATTACATCACCCTACCACCACTATAGGAGTCCAGCAGCGGGTGGAAACGCGAGACAGTAGTTAGTTTACAAAATAATGGTGTTTCCAGATCAAAAGATTTAAAATTTCGGATTTTGGAACATGAGGTTAAGAGCTAATTTTGTTTATGCTTATATCTCTACACATCGATTTTAATTTTAATCGAATAGCGAACTAAACAGATGTTTGTGAAAGCTCAAAAAAAATCCAGTAAGTAAAACCTTGGCCTTCCAAATGTTCAAGGGCTTTCAGTAATAATAAATGATTGTGGGCTCCACACTTATGTGGACTTGAATCGCCCTTGACCTACGAGGACTTTGGTGAGCTCCATTTGGAGTATACAATTATTATTTACAGTAATCAACTCCAAAAAGAAATAAATTACAGAAATAAACAGTAACAATGTGTGTTTGACTGTGCGGTTGACGCAACAATGGGATGATTCCCGCAAAGACAAAGCACAGGCACCCATGTCACACAAAATTCTTATGTGGAGTGACGTACAAAAAGTGTTATAAGGAGGAAGTTTATTCCTGGACGACGGACACCCAGTTTAACCATACCATTGTTCACAAAAAAAAAAAAAAAAATTAAAACAGGACAATTCAAAAGGTCTGCAATCAGAGTTGGGAGTGCAAACGTAATGATGATATACCGTGGAACGTCTCGATCTCGATGTAGGAGAAGGAACGATGTGGTTGTTAGTCGAATCTGACACGCCCTCTCAATTAAATCAGGGCGGGAGTAGTCATTAGATGCTTCTCCTCACACGCCGCAGGAACACAATAGCAGAAGATAATAAAAACAAACCACCAATTCCACATTCAACAGCCGCACCCTAAAAACTTCCGCAAACAATTCCCTTTGTCGAATGCACTTAACCGAGAGAATCTTCGAATACTTTCCAAAGGAAATTGTAGGGTAGTTAAAAAAGAAAAAAGTTCACAAATTATTACGGGTATTCTTGAGCCGGGACGTTTTAGGGATCTTCGAAAACAATCTGTGTTTCATAAAGCGAGGCTGGGCTACTTCCATTGTCCACTGTGCCAGTTACTTAATCTAAAAATTGAGGACCGTCCCTTAATTTTCTATTTAGAAGAATATAAAGAAGTACATTATTATGAGATCAGTGATTTATTTTCTTTTGTTTTTAAGTAATTAATTTGTTATTTTTGTTTATTTTCATAAAAAAAGATAGTTCATATAAGTTCATGGTTTAGATAATGAGTTCTATTTAAAATTTCAATTTATGAGTCAATTTAAAGTTAGTCGAGGTAACTTCAGTCTTGTGTTTTTGACTACAACAATCAATTAATAAGCTATAATTTTAATATAATAATAAATCAAGCTTGTTAAAATACAGAAGAAAATAATCTAGAAAATTCTAAAGCTAATATATCCTTGCACGGTCGTTAAGATTAAAAATATTCATCGTAAGATACCCTTAGAATGTCTAAAGCGACTTATCTGCTCTACAAGGGAGCCAATCTTGGATCTCGGCGTGTAAGCCAAGAAGCTGTCGTAAGCTTATCTGTTTCAAAGGCGTTACTGGCATTGTGAGACGTACAGCTCATCTCGATGTTGAGGGCTGATTGAAAATTGAAAATTTTATATGGGACACATTCATGGGCTTCTTTACTGTTGCTTGATTTATTTTATTTCTAAGACATTTACAATATAATTTTTTTTTGCATAATAATGTAGCCACACAACGCAAACCTCTCAGGGTTTATCTGTGTAATGGCGAGTCGTTTTAGACATCTATACTAATATTATAAAGTGGTACAGTTTGTAAGTTTGTATGTCTTCTTCTCTTCTTTGGAACCGCTGGTCGGATTGCCAAAATCCTTTCACTGATAGATAGCTACAATTTTCCTGAGAGCGATAGGCTATAAAACATCACGCTACGATCAAATGGAACTAAGTCACAGCCGGGTGAAACCGCTCGAGACTAGCTAGTACCTAATAATTGTTCCTATAAGTACCTGGTAAATGATGTGTCAGAAAACGCTTACATTTGTACCCATAGCTGATGGGTTATCTACATTCATAACTATCAGAATTTTTTCGTGATGTCAGAATCTAACATGGCTGCACCAATTTTTTTTTTAAATAACATTTATTATCGATAAAAAATAGCTTGTGTAGGACAGAAATAGTTTTTTGTCAATAATAGTCCGACATTCTGGGTCTGGATAGATGATTATATTATACATCCTAACCAAATGGCTCCTTTTTGTAGTGACATCTTACATGATCTAGACCTACTGAAGCAATGGTAGTGGAATCTCTCAAACTAAGAACGGATGAAACAGAATAGGGATCACTCACCATATTAACCGCCTCAGGATATATAGGTTCAGTAATAACGCCTCTTTGTGACGTCACGTATTCCACCATCTCCAGGAGTGCTGCCCTTTTGACCTCCTTCCATTTGAGGTCGGATAGGGGCTCGTCTGCGAAGTCGAAGAGAAGACAGCATTGCTGCAGCTTCTGAACGAACAGCTGTTCACGCTCCGCCGCTGGTGCATCTGGTGGAAGAAGTGATATTGAGTAAAGTCTTCTATCGTGGTTATTCGAGACACAAAGATGCGCGAACGCCGGCGTTAGCTTGGGGTTTGACGAATTAATGTGACGATGGGCTACAAAACATAGATATTTGAATTTGAAATATTTTGTATACATCCTTCATCAGAATTACACCTCTAATGACTATAACAATAAATTATTGCATATGTTTTACGTTACAATACACTTGTGTGTGCTAGTATTAAAAGCTTTCATCGCTGGAGTAAAATGTTTCAATCAAAAAAGTTTGATAATACGCAAAGTTTTAAAAAAGCTATGAAAACTTAAACTGTATTCATCCGTTACAAACTTTTTGTAAGAATATTCTGACTAACTAGCTGACTCGGGGAACTTTGAACCATCAATAAAATTGTATTTAATTAATAATATGAAATACGCTTTATTTTCAACGCGCAACGTTAGAAATGACTGTTATAAAAACTTTGTAACAAGTCTTAACAAATATGATTAACAAACAAATGCTTCAGTGATTTTTTTTTGACGGCAGTTTTACCTGATGGTAAGCAATCGGCGATGCAAATAGTTCTTCATTAAATGCACCCAAATGGTGCTTAGTTACACATACATTTGAACACTTATACACTAGAGGTGAAAGACATTCTCCGAAACACCTAACGGATATGTGTCCCTGGTACTTTAGGATAAGACATTGCTCTAATAGAGAAAGAAAAAAATATTATTCAAAAAGGCATAAGTTCAGATGAGTCATATATAGGCGCCGCAACACCAGAAGAGTGGAGTTAGAGGTTCCTGAGATTAAGGGATGGCGGGAGGGGAAGAAAGATTGGGTCTTTTAACTTTTACAAGTAAAAGAAAAGGTAGAAGAATAAGTAGATAAGAGTTCAGCTTTTCAATTCAGTTTGATTTCAAACTTGTAGCTGTTTCAAATTCACAACACATTACCTACAGAATTAAAGTTTGAAACACGTAACAACAACAGCCAAACTAGTTTCCAAGCTTTGGGGTACAAGTTAATTAATATTGAAAGTGAAATTACAGTGATCTGCCGTTTGCATCTTTAATTGTTAAAGGGGAAATCAATACAACAAATCTTAGAGACTTTACTAGATATTTAGACAATGATTCTTCTGTGCATGCAAATGGCACTGAAAAGTCTTCCTTTGTAAGCAGAATTTTATAAAATTCACGAGGGATTTTAGGTAGATATGGTGAAGTTCCAGCATCCTTAAAGACAATGACCCTTAGAATAAAACAAAACGGCACAAAACGAAAGCGTTCTCATTGAGGGTTTAAGTAGAGTATTTCAAGATTTACGACTCAATATTCCAGCAAAAAAACAATAGTTTAAGGAAAGAGATGGCTTTGCCAACAATTCAGTGCTTCTTTTCGTAATAAATTTGTCACCCGCACCAGACACCCTTGCAAGGGGCCCCTGAGTAATGTCCCAAATGCGTGCCCCAAAGAAACAAAGGAGGACATTTAAATTCTTAGTTGACGAAACTCGAAAAGCCCTTGCTTGTACAGGATTCAAGAAAATCGTAGAAAAACCCTCCATTTTTTCTTCCATCACCCAATTTCGTAAAAGTGTGAAAGCGTCCAATTAAGGACCGGGATCCCAGTAATGGCTCTTAGGTTTTCGCGTATTGTGTAAGAAGTAAAGTGGTCATAGTACAATAAGGAAGTTAGGATAAAATTTAATTATTTAGAAAGCTAGCACATTGTGAATAAATATTGTCTCGATCGAATCGATACCGAGTCAATAGTAAGGTCACTTAGATGTTTTTCTATTAAAGTGTTTACATTTTACTGTCACATATCGATTGCAAGTTATGTCTGCTTCACGATATATCTTACTATATTACAGTTTTCAACTCTACGGTTTAGCGTTCAAAGCATTCCTGGTTTGAATTAATGAAGTACACTTTTTTCTTTTTATTCTATATCTTTTGTTTTTATTTCGTTAGATAATTATGATTTATTTTTTGTTTGATTTCATGTTTAGAGACACTATATGTAAGGGAAATTGGAATAAATGATTTTTTGACTTTTGACTTGACTAGAGATTTGTTTTTAAATGGTGCTATGCCCTTGAAGGATCCGTAAATGTTTATAAAGCCTTTATGAAATGCAAAAATATGATTATAATTAATTATAAAAAGTAACTTCAGTGTAAATTTTGATTCAACATACCAAGGCTTGCGTGGAAAGTACTTATGTCATATCAGATGTGTAATTGGAATGTGTAGTCCAAGATTTTCAAGGCAACTGTGATATCAGCATGAAGTCATGTACCTATGTGAATAGAATTATTTAGTCTTAGTTTATAATGAGTAAATCTTCAATAAGACCGTCATTACCGCTTTGTTTAATTCATTGGGTAAGATAATTGTTCAACTTGAACCAGTTGGTAGAAGACGCACAGACCTAACATTGCTTATAAACAAATATTGTTTCAAATGTTTAAAGTACTTAGGTACATGGCATTCCTTCGAAATGACAATACGAGAAAACTGTTCTACGATTCTGTTGTATGTACCTACAAACAGCTCACTGGAATAGGCAAATGACCTCGTCGCGCTAATTTTGCTCATTAGCGAAACAATAAGGCCGTTCGGTAGTAGTTTTTGAAGCTGCCCCTGTGTCGTGGGCAATAATATAGCGTTTTATGGCTGTCTCCGATCATGCGGTGCAGGGCGCAAGGACGTCGCAATACATTTCCCATGGCATACATACAGCACGGGGCCGGCCGCTGGCCGCCGATGGGTCGATATATTTCTGCGGCGTTTTCGCCATTTCCTCTACGTCTATACTATATGTACGCACGTCATACAGCCAATAACTAGTTTCAGCGGTTCAGTCGCATTGTTTCGGGTCGGTGAGTCCGATTACTCTCTTCAAGGCTGTCAGTGATGAGGTGTGGGCGAATACAGGGTATCGATACTATAGTGTAGTATCGGTAACTGCGACGCACGTAAACGAGATAGTGTATTGGAAAACGTCTTCATCGACGCAGTCTGTTTAGGTTTACGTTCAATTCAATAACTATAAACCACAAATAGACACGGCTATTTCGCACGCGGATGCCGAAACTTTGCAAACACGGGAGGTTTGTAAACATATTAAGAAATTTCTGAGTTCACGCGTTTGATGTCCGTTATATGCAAAGGCAACACGGGAGCATTGTTGATATTACCGACGAACCTTTCAGCGGGGGGAGCTGCACCATCAAACTTTCCTTATCGGCATTTGGTATCGGCGTGGGGCGCTCGGGCGAGACAGCGGCCGCGGCGGGGGGCGGCGGGCTGCGCGCGTCAGGCGGCGAGGGCGCCTTCTGCTGCGGGCCCTGGCCCTCCATGCCGGAGCCGGCGAACAGCGCGAACCGGAAAGCCCGCGCAACGTCCGACACGCTCTCTGAGCGCTTGGTGGCCGCTTGGTTGGCGACGAGATCCAAGCCCGAGTGGAACGACGGAGACTTTGGGATTCCGAGCGGCGAGACGGCGCGACGCGGTTTGCTCTCAGCGGCGGCGAACATCGCGCGAGAGGGCGCGCGCGCGGCCGGCCCGGCGTGGACCATCGCAGGCGGCGGCCGGCAGCGGCATCCGAGCGGAGGCCCGGCAGCGCCGGGACCGGTGCGAGCTGCGGGGGCGGCCGGACTGCCACGCGCCGGTCTCTGCCGCGGACAAGTACTGACGACGCCGCACGTGCGCGCGCACTCCCGCCGCACCCCGCTCGCGCCCCAGCCGCTCTATACAACCTCAGCTAGGGTTGTCAACTTACTATATACACCATTTACATAATGGCTACATGGATTGTTACTGCAATACAATAACTCCTACACACGAGAGTGCGTCTCAATAGTTGATTGCGTCCGTGTCTCGAGCACTCTCGTAATGGAGTAACGTTAGTTACCGGAAGCAACATTGAGAGCAATGAGATCAGTAATGACGCAGATTCGTATTACAATGTACCAGCCCTGTACATATTACGACGATTTCACAAGTCGAAGAGGTCGGGGGTCGCGCTCGCGTCACTTCATGAGGAACAGTAAACAAATGTACTGTTACGCGATAACCAAATGCGTAAGATTATAAACACTGCCTCCCGATATACAGAATGTGGTAAGTAAACAAGAATCAGCTGTGAGCTCGTTATCTTGCCAACAGTTTGCTAATAACAAGAAAATGTGTATTAGGATGAGGAGCATGAAAATTGTATGCCCATTTTTGATAAATCAGCGCAAAAGTTTTGACGGCAAAACTGCAAATTGCCCGTAACGACCAAACATAGTCGGCGACATTTTTCTGGGAAAGTGGAAGAATAACAAGGGGTACGCAAGGGTAAGTTTGTTTGGGTGTACCGCGGTAGGGACCGCTCGTTCTGGCTGGGGTGGCATCCTTGTGCCAGACTGGTGCGCTCTCCCCTGCACCATCGATCGTTTAATTGACTTTAATTTGTCTGACTCACTTCCTAGATAGTTATCAACTAAGTGAAATAAATTTTAAATGAAAAACCAGATTTAGTTAAATTGGTATCGTGGTGAATTCTGGGACTTCACCGATTGTACCTACTTTTGGTTTAAACTGCCGTCGTTTATACGGGAAATAAGTCTAACAGTTTCTACAGATAGGTATTAGATTGCTAGTTACCCAAACATTAATGAATAAAAAAAAATAAAGAGGGGTTTTTAGATCTAGACCGGAGCACCTGAAATTTGTGTCAAAATTTACATTTCTTAGGAGAGTACTTTTCTTCACAAGCGTTTTTAAAATGGGATATTAGGGTACAATTACATTTAAGAGCTACAGTGATTACGGAGGCTTTATTATAAAAGGCTTTGACTAGGTTCCATGGTCAGAATTCAGATATAAACTTCTTAAGAAAATAGAAAAAAAAAACTTTCGTTAATTCTAATTGAATTTAAAACGCCGAACCGAATAGGAATCAATCGCCAATAATGCAATTTATGAAAAAGGAATCCATA